CCCCCTCAGGAATGACAGACCTCGTACGCAGGGAACACGATACACTCTACGTCGATACCCTCTGTGGTTTGGGCCAGTAGGTGTTGTAATCTCTCTGGAAACGCGCCGAATGTTTCGTCAGTCCCCTTGAAGCTAATGTCGTGGTCATGACCCATTGGTGCAGTGAGTCCATCGGGTCTCGAAAGAAGGGGGCAGAAGCGCGACAGACCCGTGGATAAACACGACCAGAAGTTGCTCCCCAGCGACTTTCTCTCCCATAAGTTAAGCAGCCCAGTGTATGGATAAGCTGAAGATGCGGTGGTTGTTGGTTACTTAACGGGAAGGTTGATAACCGGCGGGTTATCCTGATAATGTAGGCTATACTGTATACACTGGGTACATCACCCATATTGAGCATGCACAAAACTTTGAAAATAATCAGTCAAAGGTCAAACTTCTTTCATGATTGTCCATTGCACAGTCAGTGAAATGAATTAGAATAATACTACTTTTGAGTGCGCAAAAATTTGATTGTGACACAGGATATGATCTTTGTTCAGCACTGTTCAATGAACTTTCATTTGTTTTGCAAGGCAACACTATGAACAAAATTTGACCTTTGTCCGGTTCCTTTCACACTTTCTCGGTGGCTCAATATGGGTATTGTACCCAGTGATATCTGAATAGATAATGCCCTGAATAAAAAAGGATTTACTAATACAAGCAACCTCAGGCCAGCACTCGAAATTCTCCCGCCACGTTCAGTTGCGTTACTGCTGTACCCAGACTTGGATAGACCCCAGTGATGAGCAGTGGATCGGAAGGAGAACGTCCTCATGCCAAACGTCTTCGGTGTGGTCAGTCCTAGCATTCTGCGAACCGTTCGGTCAGGATCAACCTGCAATTATCTCTCGTATGGTGCGACCCCATAGACGCCGAAGGGACCGCAGCCAATCCGCCGTCAGGCGGCGACCACACGCAATCCCGTTCCTTTTCCCCCGAACTGCCTCGTACAAGCCCCCTGCCTGAGTCCGGACCTGAGCTGTTCGCGGCGAGGCGAGCGTTGTGGCTCACCCCTGCACCGAAGCCACCTCGACCGCGAGGACCAATAGAAGATCATGCCGATCATATATGTTCCCAAGATCCCCGGAGCGAGAGCGTTTGGAAGAGTCATCTCGAGCGAGTTTATAATCTGTTAATGACGGGCCGCCCTCTCAGGCGCAGTATGAGTATGAGATTTATTGTGAGTTACCCCCCACAATGTGTCCTCCCTCTTTCCCGGCTGACATCTATTTAGGTCAGGGTGGTCTATGCTGGTTGGATTCACGAGGGGCTGTGGCCTAAAGGTTTAACAGTAGACGATTCAGATAGCTTTCTAGGAGACGATGCTCCACTATACACTCCTCCAGACCTTCCTCCCGAACCTGAGGGGCCTCCGTAACTTTGTACTTCTAGTTTCTGTTTGTCGGGAATAGAGGCCTACGCTTGGCCTGCAGTGACTGGCATTATTGTTGGGTCCGAACTCAATCTATCTCCGTTCTTAAATCTCTAAATCTACGTCTCGCCGACGAAGCTGCACCGTCAGCGACGGTGCAATTGAAGATAGCTCACGGAAAGCCCATACCCAGATTACTGTTGGTACTACCTGTACACGCATGAACGTCTAATATCTGCCTTCGCTTCGCGGCACGTATCTACCCGTTGCGATCGTCGTTCACTATGTAGACAGAACCTCGGCCCTCACTATCGACCACGGACACACTTCGTCCGAGCCACCCAAAGCTCTCGATCGCTGCCCGCATCCACCAGAATGGTACGCGTGCAAGAGTTCCAACATGGGAAACAGCGATTTGAGAAACTTCGCGACTTCCTCCACTTTGTCCGGAGGCATGGGACAAAGGCCAAACCAGAGCTCGCGGACGCTCGGGTTGCCCAGACCATCCAGCTCTACTGTGAGTGAGGGGAGTTGCGGTAGGGCACCATGCAGGTCGATGGCAAGCCGGACACACCGTAATTTACGGCAATGTCTTGCGAAGGGCACAAGACCGCCCAATGTAATCCTACCTCTTCCTTTCGTATGATCGCTAGCCCCAATCGCTATGCATTCCAACTCAGGCCACGCACTCGCCATATCATCCGCCAATGAGTCGTCAACCTCGACGTGACCGCCCGGAAGCATGATTAAATCAGTCAGTCGCGAGAATGGAAGTATCGGGAGGATGACACCGCTTGGATGACAGAGGTTTCCTACAAACGCCGACCGCTGCGACAAACGTAAGAACGTGAGGGTCGAAGGCGAGCAACATTGCGAGCAGACCACAACGAATCGCTCCAAGTCATCCTCGGCTGGGACCGCGATTCTGACATCTAGCTTCTCTAGAGCGGTCAGGTGTAGCGGCCTGAATAGAGCGATACATCCTGCGAGCTCGGGGACAGACACGTCCAGAAAGCGTAACCTCTTGAAAGCTCGATCTCCCAAAGCTGGCCCGTCTGCAGGGTAATCTGGGGTGGGCATGACATCATACGGATCATAATCCAAGTGCATCGTCTGCAACGGTGACTCCTGTACCAAGCTCAGCAGAGCAAAACAGAAATCCATCGCGGCTGTCTCGATTGACAGTACCTGCAGCCGCGGAAACGGCGTCTCCGGTATGGCGTATGTCTGGTGCCAGTTAGCATCTTTGACGGTCGTGGGGGATAAGGCGCGGATGGTGAGAGTGAGTTTCTCGAGCAGTTGTAGGTTCGAGAAGTGTATCATTGCCCGGTAGCCCAGGGTGCGGCATCCAAGGGTCAGCGACAGCACGCGCAAATTTGCCAGCGATCCCATGAAACGTGACCTTGCTTCAGCTATCACAGGGGACTTGGTGCGATCCGCCATGTGTATCTCCTCGAGATTAACGCATTTATGCTGTATGCGGTCGAAGGTGAACATTATGTCTTGCTGCGAGTGGTGAGCGAACACGGAGAGCTGGAGATAAAGTATATTCGGGCCCAAGAAGTGGTCGACAGAGGAGAGGGCATTGGGATTGAGGATGTTCCACACGAGATGGCGGAGTCTGGGAAGGATCGGAGAGGTTGGTTGGTACTCATGTAGGTAGTGGAACACCGATGGATCTATTTTCTCGCCAGCTCCTTCCCGGCCAGCTTCGTTCGTGCCTAGCGACCGCACCCTCGACGCATAGTATGCGAAACGATTCAGGTCAGATGGGGCGGGTGGTCCTCGGAAGAACTGGACAACACACGCATTACACTTCGTTAGCTTGATGGACACAGGACACACAAGACGCACCAGGGTCACTATTTCTGACAGTCCCCGCGGCGACACGTCTTCCCACAAATGCGAGGGTACGGTGGCCTTGATAAGCGTGCTCAGGCACGCCAACTCCCTCCAGAGTATGTCGAGGGCGGGGTCGGCGAACGCGCGACACGTCCTTGCCAGGACCGACAGCTCTCTCTTCCTGTCATGAAATTCAAAGATACTCGTCAGGAGCTCGCGGACGACCAGACATCGATGCATATCGTCAAGGAGGGATGGCTGGTACGGGCTTAATATCGGCGCTAGTACAAATATCAGGTGAATTGCCGTGCATTAGGGGTCGCGCAGGACGGTAACACCGTACGTCAAAGGTCCTTTTGTATTACGTGCAGCGATCTTCTAGGGCGGCACGAGCATCTGACAAGAACGTCTTGTCTCAGTGAGGGCTCTGTTCTCTGCCACTGTCCGCTGCCATCGGCGTCCTCCGACCGTCATGTCGGAAAATCTGGAAAAGACTGATAAGCCCTGACAGAACCTGACGGACTGATCAGGCATTATAATGTTATGTTTCAAGGCAGATAAGCCCTTATCAGGTGTTGTCAGGTTTGGATTAGGGTGCTGTAATATCACAGGAATTCTGTAGTAGATCCTGTACGTCGGAAACATCTTGAAATACGGTCGTAGCCTTTACACGGATTGAGTGTTTTAAAGGTGGCATGTTGACTACGGTAGCATTATAGTCTAAGTCTAAAGTTATGGCGAAATCTACAAGAGCCGTACGTCAGAGGACGTGAGCGCGAGCGACGGTAAGTACGAGTCGCCCGGTAAGGCAGTATGTATGATATATATACCAATGTGAGACTCACACAGCTATTGTTGCGTAGTGTAGTAGTTATATCGTTAGTCTTTACATATGTCATCATCGTTCAACTCAAGGCCGCTCGTTCGAATCAAAGTCGAAGTACCTGTATTAAAGTGACGTCTTAGATAGTGGTGTCGATGACCATCGGGTGGCGTGAGTGGCTCCTCTTTTTCTCATTTCTGGGACCCATGGCCTTATCCGGGCTTATCATGCCTTATAATGGCTTGTAACCCCCGTCAGGGATCAGCCTGACGGAGGCTTATACGCGCTTTTCGATCATTTCTGAACCCGATAACTCTCCTCGAACCTGATTGACTTATCAGTGCATTATCTGGCATTGTATAGCAATATCATGCTTTTCTGATTTTTCCGACACACGGTCTGGCACCGAGGCCGAAAGAATCTGACATCTACGACATGTTCCCTCAGAAGTTAGAACGTACATGTATACGTTGTGATCAGCTCTCACGACCATTCAAACTGAAGGCCACACCGAGACCTTCACTATGTATACATTATCCGAATTCCGAAATACACAAAAGTTTGGCATGGTACTGCATTTACGGGATTATATGAAGATGTACACTCGGACTCTGCACTCGAGCTTAGTGTATTATTCGGACTGATACGCCTTCTTGACCGCTACGTTTGTATATACGTATGTTGATCAATGGACGTGACAGGCTGACAGCCGGCGCCGTTCAGCAAAGACTCAAAGATGACTCGACTCCTGCCGCCACCCAAGTAGTCTCAGCGGAAGTCCTTGCGACCGTCGGTGCTGTACGTACACCGGCGAGCTGTGATCATGCCTCTAAGCACTATCAAGCGTGGAAGACGTCGGCTTCGTCGCGCCCGCCTTGCGGAGTACTTCTGCCTCCCCTCCGGGTCTTCGACTCAATATCACAGATAGGGACAGAACCATATAGCAGAGATTCGCCAGATATTATTTATGGCGGCCGGGTCTACATCCTCGTAATAGGCTGCGTGGCGATTTAGGGAACTATCCCGCTACCTACGACTTGCTGAAGGAAGCCTCCCAGTGTTTGTGCGGACCCGCTCTTCCGAGAGCATAGCACCCGTGATATCAATATCCCAGCCGAACAACAATATCTCGTGTTGGTCGAGGTAGCTGAGCTATGAACGAACACGAGCAAAACCATATCACACCGGTAGAGAAGGTACGCGATTAGGTTGCTTCATATTGCCGGGTTCGATGTCGCTTGCGCTGCTCATATACAAAGTACTGCGAGCCGTGCCATCGTCTTTGAACCTGACTTGCCCTCGCTGGGCGGAGGACGAATCCAAGATGACCGCAATGTCAATGATCTTGCGCCCTGCATATGTTTCAGCGCTATCTGGTAGGGATCGGTCTGGCATGAGTGATAGTGAATCTAGTCACTCTCAACAATTGGATTTGACAGTACTTACAAGTAGGTGTACAGAGCATGATATATCACCGCTTCGAAGGCTCCCTGATGCGACTCAACGCCCGCGTATTGCTCATCCAATAGCAAGGCCAGAATGTGACATCATCGGCCTTGATAAACATCACAGCCATCACAAGTGATTGAAGATCTCGATCGGGCACTTGCGACATACCGCGGCAACGCTGGGTCCGCGCGCATACCGTGTGCCCTTATCCTTGCATTTATAAACATGCTCGACGCCGTAAAGCCTCCCTACTCCTCTTTGCCATGGACGACAAAGGCACTTTCTGGGCGGGGAGGACGCAGATGACGACGAAGAGGCGGCCATGGGTGGTCGGCTTGTGCGCACTGTTCGCTGCAGCCACTATCCTCGCTAGCAATGTGCTCTTGTCATCGCAAACAAGGACTGAGCGTATTCCAAAAAACGCACAGGAGATATTGGGACGGTGCTCTTCCTTGCGACAGGCAGCAGGGCCACCGCCGAGTTTTGCAAAAAGAGAGGTCTCAGACAGGTTCGAGCCCGGAACGAACGCGACGCTCATCCGGAATGCTCGCATATGGACGGGAGTAGACAACGGCACGCAAGTACTGCACGGCGATGTGCTCTTGGACAGGGGGGTTGTCAAAGCTGTTGGAAAGGTCGATCGGCGCCTGTATGCGCCGCTGGAGAACTTAACCGTGGTAGACGCGAAGGGTGCTTGGGTGACGCCGGGCTTAGGTACGACCCGAATATACTCATTCAACGGTCCTAGTTAATATGTCCCATTAGTGGATCTACATTCTCATGTTGGATTGCTCCCTCTACCGTCTATGCGCGGTGCGTAACGATAGGATCTGTGACTTACGTTCTGCTCTTACGTCCTCCCAGCCACCTTCGATGTAAACTCCCCGCATGGCCCCGTCGTCCCGTGGCTCCGCGCAATCGACGGTTTCAACACGCACGACGAAGCATTCCAGCTGGGCATTGCAGGAGGTGTCACATCCGTGCAGGCGCTGCCAGGCAGCGGAAATGCAATCGGTATGCTTATATCCAATCAGTGTCTACCATACGGAAAACTCATAGGTTGGGCACTGCAGGAGGCCAGGCATTTATGATGAAACTAAGAAGGACATCCGACCGTTCTCCTTCTTCGATGATCCTTGAGCCCCCACACAGTATTAACGGCACATCAGTCGACTCATTGTTACCTCCTCGCTGGCGGCACATGAAGTGTGTCCCGCTCCCTTCCTCATCAATCCCCCGTTTCTGATTGAATTTGTGGCCAGGCAAGCGTGCGGCGAGAACATCAAGTGGTACGGTACCCGAATGGACACGGTATGGGCTTTCCGCCAGGCGTACAACGAAGCGCGCAAGGTGAAGAATGCGCAGGACGACTTCTGTATGAAGGCAGAGCAGGGCCTATGGGGGAGCATCGAGGGGCAGGCGTTCCCTGATGACTATAGGTGGGAGATGCTGGTGGACGTGCTGAGGGGACGGGTCAAGGTGGGTTGTCAGCTAATCTTCATCTTGATGGGCTTCTAGTGACGCGTCAACTTAGATATCTCATCATTGTGAGTTCAATACTTTCGGTATAATCGAGGATTATATGCTGAGATTCGCTCAGGTTACGAAGCTGTTGATTTCGATGGTATAGTCCGGGTAGGTCGCACCTGCTGAACGTGGCTGGACTCCGACTCAATGGTCAACAATATCCCAGCTGACGAACGAGTTCCAATTTCCCATCGCCCTCTTCCACCATGCCTCTGAGGCCTATCTGGTGCCAGATCTGCTGAAGCGCACGTAAGCACGTTTCGGCACTTCGACTCTCGGGCGCGGTTGTTAACCCTGCATGTAGGTGGGGAGGTACCCCTGCCATCGCGATATTTGCCACCAATCATCGGTAAGGCAGAACCGCTTTCTCAGACCTCCCTAGCAAACATTGACATGTGAGAGACGTCTAGGTACAAGCGCGAGTCGTACCGAGGCTCCGAATTCGCCCCGCGTATTCTAGCAGACAACGACATACGCGTAGTTATGAAGGTTCGACTGCCCCTAATTACCGCTGTCGCCAAAGCTAACACTAACCCCAGACCGACCACCCCGTGATCAACGAGCGCTACCTCCTCAACGAAGCGCAACAAGCACACTACTACGGCCTCTCCCCGCACCTCGCGCTCGCAGCCGTGACCTCCACCGCCGCCACCGCCGTCGGCATGTCCCACCGCATTGGGGTTCTGCGCACCGGCGCGGACGCGGACGTCGTCCTGTGGGACTCGCACCCACTGCAGCTTGGCGCGACGCCTGTGAAAGTGTGGATCGATGGGGTTCAGCAACTGCCTGAGGACGTGCAGGTGGGCGTAGGGAAAGAGGAGCTGGAGTGGAAAAAGACGCCGGGCGTGCCGGATTGGGGGAAGGAGAGGAGGGAGACGGTGAAGTGGGAGGGGCTGCCTCCCTTGAAGGGGAGGACGGAGGAGGGGACGGTTGTGTTCACGAATGTGGGGAGGGTTTGGGCGAAGGATGAGGAGGGTGACATCGAGGAATTGCTCAGGGCTGATGTTGACTCGGAGATGGCGACGGTGGTTGTGCAGAAGGGAGTCCTCGTGTGCGCTGGGTCATCCTTGTCTTGCCTGCACAACTTGAAGTCTTCAAGCCCGCCGGAGATCGTGGATTTGCAGGGAGGGACTATAGCGCCTGGCTTGATGACGTACGGGTCGCCGCTTGGGATGGAGGAGATCCCAAGCGAGCCTTCTACAGGAAACGGGGAGCTGTACGACCCATTCTCGGGGGACGTCCCAAAGATTATGGGTGATACAGCTGGTGTCACCCGGGCTGTTGACGCCCTCCAGTTTGGTACCAGGGATGCCCTGTGGGTACACCTGCCCTTGGGACTTGTTCACGGTGCTGATCAGCCTCGGCAGTTTGTCTTATTACCGTGCAGGAGTTACGGTCGCGACGTCCTCGCTTTCGAAGACAACTCTCTTCGTCGGACCGAACAGTATCATCCCTGGCCTGTCGGCAACCTTTCGCACAGGTGCGACGAATGCCCTGGAAGGGGGTGCTTTAGTCAAAGAAGTCACTGCATTGCACGTTACGATTGGGAGGCCTCACCCAATCGGCGGGAGAAACGGACGCGGTCCGGGTGTCAGTGTAAGCACTGAGATTGCGGCCTTGAGGAGGTTGTTGCTCGAAGGCGAAAGCAAGGACACTGAAACTGGTCGATGGTTCAGGAAGGCTGCGGAGGTACGTAGCTGGACATCTCAGACTTCAGTATTGAGGCACTGAGGAATACTCTAGGGAACTATCCCCTTGGTCATCGATGTCTCCAGTGCGGACATTATGGCATCCCTTCTGAAACTCAAGGAGTATATTGAAGAGGCCAGAGGTACGACTATGAGGATCGTATTCTCGCACGCGACCGAGGCGCATTTGTTAGCGCAGAAGATAGGTGCATTCTAGCCATCACGGTCTAAGTGAACGTGTTGACTTATGTCGTCGTGCAGCAAAAGCCCGGGTTGGTGTCATACTGATACCGTCCAGGCCATTCCCAAATGTGTGGGATGACCGACGGATGTGCGTTCCTACAAATTATGGTCATTCTCGGGACATTTCCCTGACTTAGTGATGCAGACTTCCAGGCCCGCCGCTGACGAATGACACCACGCTCGTAAAGCTTATGAATCACGGAGTCACGGTAGCTATCGGTGCGCCGGAAGGCTGGCAGGCGGTCAACACGCGTTGGGACTTGACATGGGTGAGTGACTTGAGTGTCTCGAGCATCGAGTTTGTTGATGGCGTGTTGCTTAGGCCGCACTTGAATCGAACGGTCGTATTGACGAGCAGCAGGCGTACGCGTTGGCTTCGACAAATCTGGAGAAACTGCTCAACGTAAGGATACCGAAGGACAAGGCCGACCTCGTTGCATATACTGGTGGGAGTGCTCTGAGTATGTCGAGCAAAGTCGCAGCCATCGTATCTCCGGAGAGGGGCATGGTGGAATTCGTACAGTGATGGTATCTCGCAGTATTGTACAGTGCATCGAGGCCTGGAATGAAAGAACTGCGTAACCTTCTGTCATTCGCCTTTAAACAACACCGAGAAGAGCAGCACCGCTTTTGATCCCCCGGCCTCGACTGGCGGCCAGACTGATCGCCAAACAACTGATCAGGAACCCAGTGAACCTGTAATATTCAGAAGGTCAAAGGGCCAGATTCTTTAGACCTCAAAGTAGTCACAATACCTGAAAAATGCGACACGTGAGATTGATCGCTCCTCGAAGACTGTGCGTGAGGAGGCGAATATTGAGCGCAAGACACCGGGCGTCACAGGAATGCGCGATGAAGGGTTCGGTTGAGGCTGGGGTGGGGGCTGGACTGGTATGGCCCTGTAATTTGAGGCTGTCACTGTAGGCGTAGACGTGGTCGAGGTCGACGACGACATTCTGGCTGCATAATAAGACAAGTACAACGGCACGGTGGCACCGTAACCCCTTCTGCTATCCCGGAAATAGCCGACCGTGGCGAGTCCATCGGTGGCTTTGGTCGAGTCGCTGGTCGACTCTCGTTCTGGCCTCATATCTAATTCAGATACCATGACTATGCACGCAGGATCTCGCGCGTTCAGATCGTCCTACTTCCTCCAAAGTACAGTGAACCGGCGTAGCGTTTACGAGGCCGTATAAATATGTTGTATGATGCTGAGCTCGACGCTTTCTCCATCCCGGACTCGTCATCTGCTACGTGATTCTCATTTTCCCTTGACATACTGCTTGAACCTCACCGCCGTTCTCCACCAGGTCAGAAATTGTCACTGGCATGAGGACGTTTGACCGCCTCCCAACTCGAGAGGAACGCCCGTTTGTGCGGCACCTCATCCTATCGCGTGACACGGATGTCCAGGTTACGGACGACACCCTGGCCGAGATACTTGCCACATGCAATCATTTAGAAACCGCCTTCCTGAGCGGTATCGCTGATTTAAGCGACAGAACGCTTATTGTGCTAGCGTCCACTGCCGTGCAACTGGAAGGGATCGATCTAACCTCGTGCAAAGAGGTGACAGACGTCGGCGTATGCGAGATCGCAGCACAATGCGCGGGACTCCAATGGATGAAGCTCAATGGCATCGTGGGTGTCACCGATCCCTCCGTGTCCTTGATTGCAAAGACAATTCCCCACCTGCTGGAGCTCGAGCTGTGCGACCTCCCGCTCCTCACAGCTAACTCGATACGGGATGTTTGGATGTTCTCAAGGAAACTGCGCCGGCTCCGGCTATCCCATTGTACTCAGCTAACGGACCAAGCCTTCCCCGCTCCCCGAGGCGGGATATCTTCGGACTCGTTCGCCGGGATGTCTGCGGCAGGCGAGGCCGATCACAGCGCTCCCAGTTGGTTAGACTCCCTCCCGCCGCTGGTCCTGCAGCATACGGCAGAAGACCTGCGTGTCTTGGACGTGTCCTACTGTCATAAACTGACGGATCGTGCCATAGACGGCATTATACAACATGCCCCGAGACTGCAGACGTTGGTTTTGTCAGGCTGCACAGCGTTGACGGACAAAGCGGTCGACAGTGTGTGCAGACTCGGAGATTTTCTCGACGTCCTGATGTTGGCACATGTATCCAATATCACCGACAACTCCCTGGTCAGACTAGCGCGGTCATGCACGAAGCTTCGGTGTGTCGATCTCGCGTGTAAGTCCTGACCTTCACGGAGTTGCCGCAGGCATACCGAGTTCTTCCTGTGCTGACACTCTCATCATCTAGTCTGTCGCCGCGTTACCGATCTCGGGGTATCCGAGCTAGCCAGCCTTCCGAATATTCGGCGGCTGAACCTCATCGGGCTGCGTAAGGTCACAGACAACGCGCTCTTCTTCATGGCAGAGTCTAATTGCAGGCTCGAGCGACTATACTTATCCCATTGCGACCGTATCACATTGGACGCAGTTCACGTCCTTCTAACAAAGCTGGAGTCCCTCCGCCACCTCACCGCTACGGGTGTCCCCGCCTTCAAGCGTAGAGGCGTAAGTCGCTTTTCCGAAAAGCCTCCCCCACAGGTACGTCACGCACGACCTCTGCCGCACGAACCCACGGCTTACATGCTGACCGGGACCCGTCACTATATTTGCAGTTCTCTGAGACGAACACGTTTTTCGTCTTCTCGGGTGAGAATGTCCGCAATCTGCGCCGGTTCCTGGACAAAGAACGCAAAAGACGGCGGGATGCCGAGGAGAAGTGCATACCTTTTAGGCCGCGATCTGACGATGCTATGGATCTGTATTGATCTCTCACACGCTGGGACTGCTTGGACCGAAGTTATACCTTTGCTGTCATCATAGCAGCATGTTCGATACCCATATGTGAGTGGTTCGCTGGTCAACGTTCAAGCAAGCTCAAAGTAATTGTTATCAGTTATATCCATCATTGATTTATCATATCGAGGCGAGTGTCGACGTGGATATCTATCGATGCTCAAGCTGACTCGTCAAAAGGTCACATATTGTTAGACGCCCTTTGGCCTGATATTATTGACAGGGTCTAGAGAGGAACCTGTGTACACAATCTGAGGAAGGACATGGATCGGTGGGCAGGCAAGGGTAATTCACTTAAGAGCGATAGCTCGGGAGTCGGCGGTGGAGCCGGCTGCAGGCATAGATGGGAACTGGTGAGACACGCGATTGTGGTTCACATGTTGGTTGCGTGCGGTATTACCGCTACCAATAGGCATGTCTTTATCGCGTTCGCGGTATTTTTACGTGCGAGTTCCTCCGGCGGATGACAATATGTGGGCCGCCGGATCTCGGTTCTCAATCACTTGGGAGTCTTCTTGCGACTAACCATTCGTGGACAACTTATCGACAACAAGCTCTGGACGTTCTGTCGTCTCATGATCAGACGCCACTGTATCTGTGCACTAGCGCTGGTGCTCGTGTCCTTGACATGGCCATGATTGTGAGACGCCTGGTTTGCGCTCGCCCCTCACACCTTTCACTACTATGAACTGTTCACGTAAGAGTATCTTATTGACGGCCACAGTCAATTTGGTATATTGGCAGAGCAAGATGTGGCTCCGAACGGTGCTCGGCATGGGGTGGGCGAGGCAGCGGGCACTCTGCTCGCAACTCTCGGTACCAGCATGATGTGAATCGGTCTGGGACCTGGGTGCAATCGTGCATCGCACTCTGCTCGTCGAGTCGACCCTTCCTATACGATCGGTTATTTCGCATTAGTGCTATTGGTTTACACTCCTGGAAACGTGATCCTAACCCTAAGGAGCCTCTCACCCCAAAGTTCGTTGTAAGTACCGCTGTTTGACGGCTAGCCTGACCCGAGTCGGAGATTCGTCACATCCAATTATGAGTATCTAGTGGCGCATATCGAGGCCTGTCAGTGTCCGAGTCTATCATTGTCAATGACGGATGTAAGTCCCGGTCGAGGAACCCACTTCCCTTTACTTACCACAGCCATTGTTGCTGCTTCCCAGACTATATCTTGGCACGGAAATCGGACATCGCACCTTCTATTGTCAATACTGTATGCTGGAGATGATGCGCGCTCATTCATTCCTTGCGATGCCAGACCATCTTCAAGACACCGTCTTCATCGGGAGTTGAGGTGTCCCAACCATATTATACTGATAGACCGGATACCAATGTGACTCCGTTCCGTCCGAGACTAACCTCTTATTCACAGATATCACCAACGTGCACTCCGTAGGAGGCTTGGCTGGGGCCGGGACTTGTGCCTGCGTGTTTTCCGAATGCATAGACAGGGCTAGTGTTGCTCCGGTGCAGCGTCTCTTCAGAATCACCATCTGATCAGCAGTATGTACGGGGGAACCGCCAATACAAGGTACGCATCGAACGAGACGCGCGAGCAATCCAAATGGGACGTTGACATTGACTGACAGTGTCCATTCGGTATGTCATAGTGCGCGGGTGGCTGACCCTCCGATGTCCTGGATGCAACCAGATGTAACCACAGGGCTCAGCTTGGACTGAGAAGCGCCCCAGGACCTGCTAGATACGTGCCCAGGCTGTACAGCATATATCTGTAAGCGATGTAGACCATACTGGCGCGGTCCTCCGGCGTGCATGTGATGTCTTGGATGCGCCATTTCAGCGTAATATCCGGGCTTTATGTCTCCTGTCTCGCGGGGTGCGATCCCCGTACTCCCCGCACCCCAACGAGAAGCAGAAAGGAGAGCATTACGTCGTTCCCCGCAAGATGTGAATTGAGGAGAGATCGTCATGGGGGAAGCATACCGGGGACTTGATCGTCGAGCCCGGCCACAGGCCTAATCAATTCATTACTGGTACTGCGCGTCCCAAGCTTCCGCTGGGAGGAAAGTTCAAGTCCGATAACGAACCGGGTCAGATCAGCGTCGAATGCCCACGGACGAACTTCGGGAAGCGCTGTGCAGGGCTATCTGCCCGGGTGCCGAATTCCTGTGTGTCCAGCGGTTCAACCGATAGGCTTGCGAATCGCGTATGTGTACGCCATGGCAGGGAATGTCTGAAAAATGCGATCTGAAATCCTGCGACGTCAAAAGTGACTCACGGATGCAGCGCACGCCGACGGCGCGTACAGCGTATGGAAGGGTGTCGAATGCGCAGGCAAGTCGCAACTGCAGTCGCGGGCTCAGATTGCTGGCGCTCCGGTGGCCCGTTGGCCTGGCGCCAAACGTTGAATATAAACAAAGTTCACTAGTGTGGACTATAAAACGGCGTCACGAGCACCCGTCTGCGCACTGCCCAGGGCATGCAAGATAGCCCGTTTGTAGACAGAAATAAAGACATCTACGGGTGGCAGGGAAATGCGGCAGACAGGAACGGAGGTCGTGCCGGAAGGACGAGTGAACGTGTCTGTTGTAACCAAAGTTGGTATGCGAGCAGTCGCCTGGCAGACGGAACGTTCTTGGATTGAGCGGCATCATAATCGCCATTCGCAGCCAGTTTGACTTGTTTCTGACCTGTTTTATGGCGCAGAAGACCGGGTCGCCGACCTGACGGGCGTGCTGTATTTAAGCCCAGCCTGATATCTGACAGGACGCTGTTGCTAGCCAGCAGCGACCCGCACGCCCAGCCGCACGTCGTTTGCCCCGACGCCGAGCGCGCCGACCTGCTCTGGCCCCTGTCCCTGCTCCTCGCCGTCTGCTGCCGCGGTAGGTTTCACCGACGCGTCCCTCGTGCTTGACAGCTGCGACAAATCCGTGTTCTCAGACGACGAAGGTGTGACGCCATACCCCCCTGGCTGAAAAATCATCAGCAGCTCGTCGCGCTGCAGCAGCTTGTTTTCTCGATTTCCCCGCTTGTATAGCCCGGTTGTACGTCAATACGCTTGCAAACCGTCTAGAACAAGTGCGCATGTTCCCTTAGCGTGCATCTTTCGGTATGTTACTTGCTCTTCTATCATCCGGCCAGTCCGTCTGCAACTGTTCTCTCGCCCAGTTTCAGCCCCAGCTTTGCTTCGCGCGCATACAAATCCATTCTGCGAGCAAAACTCGCAGCGGGTATGGAGGTCCTTGTATCCCCTTCTATCTCTCCTCCCCCGTCGCCGGAGAAGGCAGCCTCGTCCTACGCGTTTTCGTCTTCGTCGGCGCGCTATTCATCCAGTTCGCTCCTCGACCGTCGGCTTGGCCACGAGTCCTCGTCGCCCCTTAAGCTCTCCCAGAGTCATCCGGCGTTGTCGGATGGCAGAAACACCTATGTATCTTTACGGACAAGGCCCACGCCTCGTCTTCCCCTCCGCAATCCACATAAGCCCTCCACATCACTCTCTTTCAGCAACCCCCTGACGCCAATATTGTCACCACCCGTCACGCCTGCAACCTCTTCCCTTGCTTCTCCCAGTTCGGGAGTCGCAAGTCCCCGGTCGGACGATGATCATGCAACTTCAAGTGCTACGACAGCAAGTATGCAGGGAGACGCGCATACAGCGGGTGCACAACAAGAGGATTACCTCAATAAGGGCAAGACGTCGTCCGCAGCTACAACTCCGATCACGGACATTCCTCCTGTCCAACATGACCCCGTCTCGACTCCGCCTTCATGGAACACCATTCCCCCCTCACCTCCTTCCAGACTTGTCGATAAGGTCGACTCTGGGACGAGTGGGCTGCGCAGGCGGCCATCTCCTGGGTCGAGTCGTCGACCTGTCTCCTCACTCTTGGCCTCGGTACCCTCACCGCCGTCGGCCTCGACGTGTAGGCGGCGCGCATCAATGCCTCTGATGCACATGTCTCTGTCCAAACCGCTTCCTCCGACGCCACCTCCTGTTCCATCTCCAAGTACCAAGCCTATAGCGGAGAGTCCTCTGTCGGCTAGTGTGAGCGCGCCGCTTGCCGACACGCGGTCGTCGCGAGAGGACCGGGAGGGTACTCCGAGGGCTTCGTCGAAGAGTACTTCTAGGGCCCGGTTCCATATCCCCTCCGACAACGAGGATGAAGGATACGCGGTGAGACACGGGCCGCGGAGACACGAATCGGACAGTGGGTCGTCGAGCAAGAGCAGGGTCGAGGACAGTACAGAGAACAGCACGGAGAACAGTACCGAGTTCCAGGAGAAGTGGGAGAGGAAGAGGGGTGAGGACAATGCACGGCGGTACCATGCACTGCTGGAACTGCTGATGACGGAGGTTAGCTACCTCAGGGATCTCCGGGTACTGGTCACTGTGAGTGCTCTTCGTCCTTCACGCTGAGCGCTCGTAGTGACCTATTCTCAGATTTATTTACAACAATTCCCCACCATCTCCACACGAGTGCATATGTCATCGTCGAGCTTCATGCGGGCATCTCCATCGCCATCATTCATATCCACTACCTTTGGCAGCCATAGCCGATCGAACTCTCAATCGCAGCTCCTCACTCAACCACCTCCTCCGAGTGCTTTCTCGCTGAATATACCTTCAACCGCGTCGCAGTCTAATACCATGCCCGGCCTGGGCAAGGAACATGAAAAGGGCAAGGAGAAGGAGAAACACAAGCTTACCCTTGTGGTATCGGATGCTGATGTCAACTTGGTGGCCCGGAACGCCAAAGAGTTGCTCGAGTTCCATGAGCGATTTGTCCACGAGCTACGTAATGTGATGACGCCCTTCGGGATGTCCGAAGCCCTCGACGAGTCCGCCGTCGAAGCAGAAGTTCACCGGCCACAGAATGTCGCGCATACAGTCGTCGACGAGGCGATCGCTAGCGTCTCTGGCAAGTTCTTGAATATGGCACAGGCGTCTGGCTTCAGCATATACGAGTCGTTCTGCGCGGGACATCCTGAGGCCACGGATGTGGTGAGGAAGGTTCAGCAGCACCATACGTCGGAGTGGGAGGCGTTCGAGCAGCGGTGCACGCATCTCGTGACGGGTATGGATTGTCAAGGACGGCAAGCGATGGAGGAATTTGGTAGCGTTCCCCTGAGTGCGCACGCTGAGCTTGGGGGCTCGCGTTTGGACGGGTTCCCTACCGTGACCGACTCGAGTGCGGACCTCGCGGATGTATTCTCCCGTCGGAAACGCAGGCATTCCACGTCGTCGGTCAGTCTCATGGCTTACGGGATGTTCTCTGCTGGCTGCAGGAATACGACCCACCTCGAAGTGGTTCAGGTTAAATCTGATCCTCCGCCAGATACCAAAGGGAAGGGGCAAGGCACTCGGTTAACGTTTATGGATTACATGATCAAGCCCGTCCAGAGGATTTGTAAATACCCGTTATTGCTGGATCAGTTGAAGAGCGCGAAGTCGCTGTGGAAGCATAAGCCCAGTTCCTCGGCGGTCGCATGTACCCCGCCTGCAGCACCATCGGAAGGCGACGCGTCCGCGGAGCAAGCGGCGTCTGCAATGAGAGATGTTGTTGCTTCAGTCGACGAAGCTCGCCGCAAACGGGACGTAGTCATCAAGTCGTCTCTGATTACTTCGCGGATCGTCGCTTGGTATTCTGCTCATCCCTCCAAGGAGACGAGTCCTCCTAGTCACCTCAACCCGGACTTCATGAACTCCCTCGGTATTTGCATGCTCTCGGGTTCCTTGGACGTTATGCACTATGATGTGGCCAACTCTTCGAACAGCGGGCCTGTCAAGGTTAAATACTACGGTGCCTTTCTGTATGCTGGAGGGTATCTTGTACTAGTAAAGGTGGGGAAGAGCAAAACGGTGTACGAGCCAAGACATTGGTTTCCTCTATTTGGGTTTGATGTAGTCGACATCGATGATGCTGATGGTATGTTCTCTTCCAATCTTGCTCCGTACCCTGGGATTAATTAAAATTTATCTGTTAGGGCTGCTTCCCTGTTCTTTCGGCCTGTTCCGCCGAGATCACTACTTCGAGCTTGCAGCAGCTTGCCAGAAGGAGAAGGAAGTGTGGTTGTCAGCTATCAGGGAAAGTGTGACAACGAGCCCTGTCTGGCGCAACGAACCTACGCCGAGCCTTCACAATTGCACGGCTGGTGTCACGTCCGCCCTTGACAACGAGCCCGCGGAGGTCCTAGCCTTGTCCGCGTTGCAATCTCGAAGGAATTCGTTTGAACTCACCGACGAGCCAGAGAGCTATGGCACAGAGTCTCATGCCACGACGGAGCCGCCATCGAGGGATGAACCTCTACCAAGACCTACCGCTCACTTTTCAGGAAGTCGTCGCTCGTCTACGACCTCTGTGAAAGCTCTTTTCTCTCCGGCATCATCCGATACCATCCTCATACGGTCAACTGCTCCGCTTCGTCAGCTTGTCGAACGTGGCCTATTGGATGTCTTCTCTGAAGCATGCCTCACCATTCGGTTTCAAGCTCAGACGCATGATGAGGAGTTGTTTCAAGCACCGAAAGCGTCCAGCACGATGGGTATGAGTGGTGTCATGGGTATTGCTGCTAAGAGCCGACTGTCCAAACGTGAGAGCGTTATAGTCCCGAGACGAAAGAGCTTCGTGGATGGTTGTGACCTTGCAGACATGGAAGCAATTGCTGGCCTTGGGAAGAAGAATACATTGTCTCGCGCGAAGTCTCTAGCAGCTCGGAGGCAAGGCAAGAAGTCTCTGAGGGTCATGGCGCCATTGCCTTCCGGTCGTCATGACAATGATGGTGAAACCGCGTGTGCTTTGGATAACACGGATGCAACCGTGGAATCGCCCACACCACTGTCACAGTGTTCCTCTATGGGAACATCTCACGCCGGGTCTGCGCTAGCTAGTCCAACGATGGAATCCAGAGCGTTGTCCCCTGGTCCTGCCACGGATTCGATGCCCCCCGCATCCGTCCAAGGTCATGAGTGCGCAAGACGTGCAGAATATCTCACAGTCGTCGATCCTGACTGGCGACCGAAACGTACACGCTCAATGGTAGACAACGTCAGGGGCTTCTTTTATTCTCGATCTAGTTCCCCGACGCCCTCAATCGACGCCAGCTCGTCGCGCGCTTCTCATGTTGATTCTGGCCTTTCAAACACCCCTGAAGACTGGAGTCAAAGACCTCCCCCTTCCCGACTAACCAGGTGGTGGAAAGGATCGCTTAGACGCCGTGTGCAGAGCGCTCCCGAAGTTCCGCGAGATGATCCATCTGTTTCTGTGGACGTATCAGCGACTATACGCTCCTCCATGGATACCCCTGACGTGCCTGAGGAGGACGTTGCTGGTGAGGTTTTAGATGCTGCACCTATGAGGCGAACCAACACGCTGTCGCGGAGGTTCAAGCCTGATGGAAAATCACACCTACCCAACCGCCGGCCATCCATGTTCTCTACTTTCCCTCATGACCCACGCGACACAACTTCTACAGCCCCTGCGGAAGTAGCTCCTAGGAAGAAGACGAAGACAGTTTCATTCTTTCACCGACTACATCCCAAGACGAACTTGGGTAGCTCAGATTGATCCCAGCTGCGATCAACTGCCATCACTTATTCATAAACATCTATTAATGTTCGTTGCTGTATACTAGTAGATTCTTCACTAGAGATATACCCACTTCATGTCGGCACCTTGCATCTTACCTTATAACTTTCGCATGTATCTATCTATTTTCCCGCCATACTGCATCGAGTCCTGCATATTTGCGTGTATAACTATACGATAGCCAGACAAGGAATGCCATCTATTTTGTTTGACATCAAGAGCAGTGATACATATGTGCTGAATACAAACAAAGAGTGTACACCAAGAGATAAATGTGCAGAAAATTGGTCGATACAATGCGTAAATTGTCGGGATATACGATGCCGGAGGGTGATAAGTCCGTGACGTCAAGGAATGAGTCCGTGGCTGCGTAGAATCTTGCCCCATCTGAGAATGCACGAGGTTAGCGACAGCATGAACAAAGGGACGACATGCGCACTCTTCTTTCTCTGCCTCCTCCTGTGCAAGTCGCCACTTTAATTGCCTAGCCCGTGGGTTGAGTTGCCAATCATCTATTACAGTTCAGATTGACGCACATATTCTCCCTCTCCAGTCGGCTCCTTTCTTCCGTCATCTGCATCCAGACAAGAGTGGAATCCTGGGAGAGGGCCATGCTTTCGGCATAGGTCCCCAATTCCTCATTGAAGCTCTATGAACGCCCGTAAGTAAACATGAAGGCGTGATTTTATCTACTCACCTCATACATGCAGTCTTTTTCCTTCGAGATGTTGTCATATAAATCCCTGAATGCTTCGATTTGCCTTTCGCACGCTCTGCGCTCGTTCTGCAGCTGATCGTACTCAGTGGCATCCTAGGTAGGCGGTGTTAATCATCTGAAGGAGAAGGAACCACGGTACTTGCTTCTTTAACATTCAGTTTCAGCTGGTTCAGTTTCTGACAGAGAGCGTCCTGGTTAGCGATAGCTTCGGCCAACTGTTTCTCTAGGTCAGACATCGACTTTTCTATAGAACGGGCGATGTCGGTGGATGACGATCTCTCGTGCTGCCGAGGAGACGACGCATCCACCAGACTGCGTGCCCGGTTCCGTCCAAATCCGTCTCCAGCAGTTCGTTTCGCAATCACTGCACGCATTTCTTGCATACGTGCTTGAGCTTCCCGGGTCTGCATGCAAAACTTCCAACAGCTATATGAGAGCTCGGTGAGTGGCACTTACCTGAGGCCTATCTTCGGTCGTTGCGGGAAGACTGCTGCGTAATCTCTCAACCTCTAGCTTCAGCTTTTTGACGGCACGATGAGAGCCTTCAAGCTAACAAGTGGCAGCGGTCAGTCGTGATTCTTCCTGCACTTTGCTCACTTACGTCTTCCTTCGTCGTCGCAGCTAACAATGTCAATGATTCTGTCTCATCATAGCGCATCATCCGTCGATTCATCCGATGGCGTGGCGATGTGCTAGCGTCATCGGGTTCCGCTTGGGCCGTCGTCGACTGAAACAATGGCGAAGTAGAAGGGCCCGCCCCCAGTCCATATCTCCCGGAAAGTGACAAGACCGCACTCGATCGAAGGGACGTCTTCTTCCTAATAGACAAAGGTTCAATCTGAGATCGAAGCTTCTGCCGGAGGTCGATGGAAGGCTTGGGGGTATTCTCTAGGTTTTTCATAGGTTCAAAGGGCATGCGTTTGCTGCGCGGGAGCGGAGATGTTCGACCAGTTAGCTGAGCGGGTGTGGTTAGAGCTTGTGGTGTATCAACCAACGTTGCCTCAAAGACTGATTCCGCATCAGACTCCGGTAAATCTGGAGGTGACGGTGGTGGGCTGTCTTCGCACGAGGAAGGACTCCTTGGGCCCAGGGGTCGTCGTTCAGGCGTCAGTAGCGAAGGCGAAGGTGGCGGATGAACAGAGGCCGCAGATCCGGGTCGAACCGTAGCCGCTGTGGAGAGCAAACTCGGAACCTCCATTGACGCTCGGGACAATGGCCTGTATGATCGCGGAGGATCTTCTGCAGTAAGGTGTTATCGCTTGTTCATAAATTCGCACGTGGAGAATAAACTCACGGTCATAAATCGACTCTTCTACAGGTTCGTCATACGTGGCGTCCAACAGCGTCCCGTTCTGAATTTGGCTGTTGTGTCGTGCCAATTCCAACCGCATGCTTAACTCATGCTCGCTCTTGTTTCTTGGGACCGCAGTATTACGACGGCTCGGGAAAACCTCCTCGTCAGGATCGCTATACTCGAGCTCCCTGTCTGTGGACCTCGATCTAGATCGAGAACTTGCGATCGAAAGTGATGAACCTGGTCTTTCGAATTCGCTGCTTGGAGACTTGCCCCGCTTGGTCAACTTCCTCCTGGATCGCGCAGGCTTGGGAAGGTTATAGGCTTCTTCCTCACCACTGGACACAGTTGTGGCAGCCGTAGTCGTCGAGTTTGCTGAACTCATCGACTTCATCATGCTGCTGTCAGCAGTGGCAGTGGTAGCGGTAATGGTCGAGGTACGGCTCATGACCGTACCGGAAGGCTTCTGACGCCGGTTGCCCATTCCACTCCCGAAGATGTCAGCTGTCTTCGTCCCCGGACGGACGTTGAAGAAGTTGCGCGCTACAGCATCGAGACTGAATATACCAGCCTTCGATCGCTGCGTTGTCGTCGGAGTAGACGGGACGGAATTAGGACCAGTGCGGAATTTGAACAGACCGTAGAGATGAACTTCAGGGAACAACACTCAGGACCACAGCACCGAAAAAGGTACAGAAAACGGGACACATACTGGTGTGTCTGATCCTTGTTGCAACGCATGAAGTCTCTACACAAGTTTCTTCCCCGGGGTCATCCAGATCGCTGGACGTCACCGTCCAGTGACATGACTCTCCTGGAACTGGTTGCACTCGTATAACAACAAGGGGAGGTCCACCACCTAAACCGAAAGGGATAGGATCCGCATCTCCCCTGTCATCTATATGCAGCACTACCTTCGTCTGCCCTCCGATCAACAACCTGCAACTGCATCAATGCGACCCTTGAGACGCACCTTCTTCGAGGCGTTCAAGAAATTCGCTCGCTCGTAAATATTGTAATACACCCTCGCCCTTGTCACCTTGGCGCCCTGTGGTTCTCCCGCAATCCCCTCTTCGCCCGCTAACGCAACGCTCTTCTGGTCCTTCGTTCGATACTTAGCCTGGACGGCCCACAGGTTTTCCACGAACCTCTTCTTCGCGGCTTCGGTTACGCTGGGGTTAAGGTTTGGAGGATTGGGCGGGTTCACGACTGTCAAGGCCCTGAAAGCTCCGCGACCCCACCATCGGTCAGACGGTACATTCTCGAGGTATATGTGCATGTCTGACGCCTATAACATCAGTGGAAAATACGCAACGGCGCTAAAGTGGCTTACCCGAACCGCCGACGTCGGTAGCTACAACATCTGTCACTTCCACCACGAACTTGGAGAGCAGCTTGTTCTTCTTCTTTCCGAGCGGCAACAATGTCTTGTCACCATCCAAACCCGCTAACGCCTTCTCCCCACCCTTCTCTCCCTCAGGTCTCTTCACGAAAAGCAACTTGTCGTCGAACAAGAACAGTGTGCCATGCAAGGTTTCCCTGCTTCCTCCCGAAAGACTGTCCTCGCTTCTCTCATGGGTGTGTGATAGAGAAGAGGTGCCCTCCACATCGACCCAATCCACGAATTTCCTCGTGTGCGAGTAAAGTTCAGGAGGGAAACCTTCAATATTACTGTAGAGGGTTGCTATTGCCGACGCCGTCTTCGTGTTCTCGTCAGCCTCGGCCTGCGCGATAGCACTTGCGATCTCGTCCGCCTCTTCCAGCTTCGCTCTCTCCGGGTCGGCAGGGGCCATATATTTGATCATGTTGCGGAAGAGTAGCGTATAACGCGGTATTCGCTGAACAGGGTCCATGAGCAACTCACGAAGACCCACGCGGTTCCTCATGTCGGCTGATTGATATTTGATGCGCTGGATACCATGGTTAACACACAGTGGCAGACACAGGGAAATGACTCACGTCGACATAGTTGGAAAACCCGCTATTCTTCTTCTTCATCTCGCTCTCGAACATAGTCTGGGCCTCGTTGCGATTTGAATAGTATGTTCGGTATTGCTCGAAGCCACGTGAGTCCCGGAAATGCTTCAGCGCCACATCGCCGATGCCCTTCCCATCCGGTGGTAGATTTTGTAAGTCGGCTAGGAATGCTTCATTGACTGGTAATAGCTTGTCGATGTTCCCGAATATTGTCATGGCTTCGTACACGGGTATGATCGCCGTGTCTCTCGATCGGGCAAAGGTGCGTAGCGGGTCAGCGTAGTCGTTCTTGAGGATCTGGAGGCGTCTGACGTAGGATGCTTCTGTCGTGACGAGTTCTGTGATCACGTCTCGTAGTGCGGATGAGTTCGTGTTGGCCCGTTTACGCGTAGGCCTCTGTGCGGGTGGTGTGGGGAACTGAATTCGAGCAAGCGGGATAGATCTGTAATCAGCTTATCCGCCCCTAGGCGTATAGGAGTGGGACCCGAAAGAGCAGGAGACACAGGAATTGGTTCCGTCAGACGGGTCAACTGGGCACTCACGGAACCTGATCGTTGCCGCCCGGGGCTCGATCGAGATAGTATCCCCTCCGTTTCAGAAGACAGCGGGTCGCCCAGCGTCGAAAGCAGCTCTTTCACCTCTGCGGAAAGTGAGTCCGCGGTCGAAACACGATCGACAGGACGTACCTCTGGAGCGCAAGTCCTCGACCACCACGCCGCAGAAGAAAGCGCGTCGTGTGAGGAGGGGGCCGGCATTTCTGCTGGAGGAGGGGTCCCAGTCGTCGCCGGTGCTGAGGGGGATGACCTTGCGAGGACTTGCGATGAGGGCCATGCGGCGGGAGGGGCGTGGCTTGCCACAAAGGAGTGATTAGAAGGGAAGGAGGGGCACGCGCTATAATCACGTTTAGAACTTGAACCAAGCAGGCTGTTTGGATTTGTTAGGCCGAAGAAGACGTAACGCGATAAAACGTATACACGTGATCGCGAGCGGTAAAATGACGCCCAGGGACGGAGGCAGATCTGGATGGCCCGGTCGTTCGGAGCCTTGCTGGGGGACCTGGGACACCCGACTAAAAATATTCCTCGTAGAGCTCATCTGCAGAACACCTGCGTTTCGACATGGATTGAGGCTCGCGAAAGTTGCGTCTCGAAGCAGAGCAATAAGAGTCTCGCTGCAAGGAAAGGGTGGGGAAGTGCCAAGAGACTCGCGAGCGATATGCGCTGCTTTTGCTGAGGCTTTGATAGGACTCACTCGCCCGACAATTGTATGTATACGCCGTGCGCTGTGAGTAGACACCTTGGAACATCCAACCGTCTACCAATGCGAGTTTACCATTTGTATCATAACAAGCGGCGGGAATCTCTCAACATGTCTTGGGCAGCCTTGCCGTGTCTGTGGTATGCACTTCAGAACGCATCTGCGACAGTTGCGCTAAAATACAGTAGCGTAACTTCCTCCGGAACTGTGAAGTCGGTACTTGCATGTGGGACCCACAAAGGCTAACCTAACCCTAGGGTTTGCCTGTCCGAGCCACACCCCAAGATCGAAGCATCACATCTTGAATCACTTGTACAGCTCCTTCGGTCAGTTCTCTCGGTTGAAGATACTTTCCGCATACCTGTGTAGATTTATTGCCTCGCAAAATAGATGTCTTACCCAAGCTATCGTCGGGCGAGATGGCGGAACCCCATGGACCTCCTCGGGAGGTCACGGGATAACATGCATCGCTGCGACGAGCTTCCGGGCGGGGTTATGGTTTAGATCTGTTATCAATGAGTTCTCCGTCAATTGGCTATAGATTACAAGGTACGAGGTAACAGCTGAGTCCTTTGGTTACGTACCGCCCGATGCAACCTTGTCCTCTTTTCGGACAAAGCGTTCGACCAGCAGTAACCTTATTCCGTATTCTAGGGTTAAGGTCTACCGTCAGTATCAGCCTTTAATCTGTCTACTGTATATGTCTTGAAATAGTGCAGTGGCTCCGGGTGACCAGTCAGCTGTAGCGTCAGCAGTGCATATCGCGAGGCTAGCGTACCAATCGATGCTCTCAGTTCCAATGCTTGGCCGTGCTATGATCAGAGTTAGAATTATGCTTGGTAGAAGTTTCACCGTGCGGACTGTCATAACCCGTGTTCGAGGTTCTTGCAGGGGGGCTTATCCTCCATCATAGATCCTGATTAAAATCAGCAGGGTTGTTGTTGAACAAACGTCAGCCCGTGCCCTATCATCAGGCTAGCATAAAATAGCTTACCTACAGTTACAACGTCTCCGAAGAAGGAAATCAGGCGGGTTAGGAGCAAGCACAACATCCTGTCGGCCGCAGAGAACGTCGTCACGTTGACCTTGTAGGCCATTATCGCGCCTGATTCTGAATGAATAAGACAGTACAAAAGCAGTAGCTCGTTCAGATCACTCTAGAGAATACTGTGGCAGATGCAATGGTGCAAGCTCAAGGCATCGCGACTTTTACCCACTCTCATTAGATTAGAGAATCAAGACGCGTCTTACAAGCGCTCGTAGCGTGACCGCATATACCAAGGGGTACCAGAGGTCCTCACTTTGGACTGTCCAGCAGATCCGAAAAGATCCCACACTTGTCCGGTTTTCAATTACGGGGTGGTTAGACGCCGGCGGCTTGACCGTGCTCATTTGCTCATTTGTCCTGAAATGTCATGACGTCCAGGTCCCCAATCCCAATTTCCTGCGCGACTTAGGGCTCTGCAATTGCTCTGAATATATCTCTGGTGTGGGTTGACTATACTGTGTGGCATATCTATCTCAGAACAACCTGAGGGCACGGATACCCCTGGCCAGGCGCGACTTACATTCAAAGCATCGAGAATTCGACGTAGAAGGGATGCGCAGTTGGGCTGTTCTGCAGGGCACTTTGTGAGTCTGCTTGGTCATTCCGCCAAGGTTTATGACATACCCGTCAATAAATGCGCACCAAAAAAATCTGCTGCCCTCTTCAACTTGAAACACCAAGCGCGAATTGACAGCTCCCGGAGACCCCTATCGACTGCTGTGCGTCATGACAGGACATAACACAGCCATATGGTAGGATTGATCTGCCGTAGGAAAGAGGTCCGTTCTGATGGGAAGGGGATTGATAAAACAGAGGCATTGAATATTGAGGTGCGTTGTTATCATGAATGTACCCTCGTTCTGTAAGAAGAGGTTTACCCTACATATGCGTGTCATACAGCGTTACGCACCCGCACTCCGAAGGAGGCGTGGAATACAGTTCTCTGTTCCCTCCCCTCATTCGACCCAACACTCCCTGCCCTCGTTGGTTCAAGGGGCTATCTCGTCGGCTCCTATTCCCTCCTCCTGGGAAGGGTATCAATAATGTGTCACGGAACTCTCTTGAATCCGGTTCTCCATATCTCTGTGCAATCTCAACGCAATCTATCTGTCCATAGGTTTTCTATGTCTTCTCCCCTCCGGCTGCCCCGGCTCCTCAAGTACGTTTCTCGTATCGTATACAACTGGAATACATACACGTAAGCCTGCGGCGCACCAGTTACTCAGCGTATTGCTCTGTGTGATCGACGGGTGTCGGGATCGGGGAGACAAGACGCGTGACGTCATCGACTGTTCCCACTTCATCCTCCAGATCGGGTCTTCGCCACCTTTGCACTTGGGCTTTTTCCGAACTGATACAAATTATATGCACTCCACGATAACGCGCTGGGAAGCTGTATGCACCCGACAATTGATGTTAGCTTTCTCAATCTGCAGAATATGTCGCTCGTGGGGAGATCGACGGGGACCGTAGGAACCAAAGTTAAATTTACGAGTCTCCAGGGTTCAGAGGGCACTGATAAGCTGGACGCGCAGAAATAGCCCAGCTTCGATCCAAGCTTCGCCACTCAACTCGGCTCCGGATCCTGCGTCACAAGTACGTTTACAATGATACCCTGCCGAGCAAATGCATGTATTTTTGGATAGACTCTGTGTATATAAACCAGTGCCCTCGGGGAAGCGAAATGCATTCGAAGGAACCCGAGCACCATGGCCAAGTTCACCCCCCCAAAGACGTACAAAGCTGCCGCTGTAACCAAGAAGTCCGCCCTTGAGCTCATCGACGTCCCGTGGAAGGACCCAGCGGCCGGGCAGGTCGTAGTGAAAGTCGAGGCATGCGGCGTTTGTCGGAGGTATGCTCTCGCCGCTACACCGTGTCTTTTCATCGGAAGCTTGTGCTGACACTGCGTGGTGTCGCAGCGACGACTTGGTGGTGAACCAGTTAATGCCCGCGGGCCTGCCGCGCATCCCGGGGCACGAGATTGTCGGAACGGTCGTGGCCGTCGGGCCCGGGGAGAAGCTCTGGAAGGAGGGCCAGCGCGTCGGCGGGGGTTGGCACGGCGCACATTGCTTCGCGTGTCGGCAGTGCCGCAAGGGGGATTTCAATACGTGCGAGAATGAGCAGGTCAATGGTGCGTGGTTCGTATACGTCGTACTTTGAGCTGGTATGGATGATGGGCAGGCGTGACGATGGATGGCGGGTATGCGGAGTATGCGACGTTGAAGAGCGAGGCCGTCGTTGCGCTCCCTGAAGGGATGGACCCCGCAGAGACGGCGCCTTTGATGTGTGCTGGTGTAACCACGTACAGTAAGTATCACGCACGTATGCAGGACCCCCTTTGATTCACATCGTCGCGGCAGATTCGATCCGCAACATGGGTTTGAAGGCAGGCGACATCGTCGCTGTTCAGGGCATTGGGTCCGTCGCACCCGTTATATGCTATGCAGTGTGTTTATGACTGACGCATGCCCGTACCTTTCTTCTTCTGCAGAGGTCTAGGCCACCTCGCCCTGCAATACGCTCGCGCGATGGGCTACAAGACCGTCGCGCTGTCCACCTCGGCATCAAAGAAAGCCCTGGCGAGCGAGCTCGGCGCGCACGCATACCTCGACGCTAGCAAGGTCAACCAGGCGGAGGAGCTCGGCAAGATGGGCGGCGCGAACCTCATCGTGTGCACCGCGCCGAGCGCGGACATCATCCAGGCGCTCGTGCCCGGGCTCGCGGTGGGCGGGACGCTGCTCGTCCTGGCGATCGCGCCGGACGACCTCAAGTTCAATGCGAGTGAGTTGCGATGGTTTTCTTGCTTCGATTTTGCGGGCGGTTTTAAATACTGTTGGATGTAGCGCCGTTCATTACGAAGAGGCTGTCGCTGCGCGGGTGGCCGTCGGGTCATGCGAAGGATAGCGAGGACTGCGCGGCGTTTAGTAAGCTTGAGGGGGTGAAGTGCAGGATCCAGAAGTACCCGCTTGAGAAGGCGGCGGAGGCATACCAAAGCATGATGGATGGGTCGGCGAAGTTCAGGGCTGTTATTGTTCCTTGAAGGGTGTAGAGTCAAGAATCGGGTATGTTAGAAAGATAAAAGCTGTACAAGTATTGTAGTCTATGAACTCGAGCAACTTTTCAAGTTGTCCTGAAGTTAGGCCCTGCATGTTGGAAGGGCACAGTCAGTCCCGACACCGGTACCCAGAGAGCGGGCACATTGTTCCTCGAAAGTGCTGCAGAGATAGCGCAGATCAGCCGAGACAATGAGATGCGACGCGTTCGGCGTGACGGAACAATGGCGTGACTGTTCGCGTTGCTTGGTGCTGTTTACGCGGTGTTGATGGGAGCGGCGTGCAGTGGCCGAATTTATTGCGTCTTGCTCTCGCCCGCGTCACCTTGCACTGAACGACCGTATGACTCCACCCATGCACCCCCGCTCGTCCCGCCACCGCAGAGACCCGCTCGCAGACCTGCCCCTCGACCGTTTCATCGCCGGCGTCTCTATTAGCAGCCCGTTCAAGCCACCCGCGAGCCCCCTCAAGCAGTCCCACAAACGCCCCGCATCCCCTGCACCCCCCTCGTCTGCCCTTCCCAACAAGCGCCACCGCGCCGACCTCTTCTCCCCGCCCAGCGGCTCCCCGCTCAAGCCCGCCGCCAGCCCCGCGCGCAGCAAGTACGCCGCGTCCCCGTCCAAGGCCATCGACGCCATGACCGCCCTCTCCGCCGCCGCCGACGACCCGCACGCCACGCCCAAGCGCGCCCCCGCCAAGTCCGCCACCCTCCTCGCGCCGTCGCCCGAGCTCCACGCGGGGCCGGGGGCGGGGGCGGGGGCAAAGAGGGCCGCGAAGGGCCGCGAGGAGGCGCACGAGGACCACATGCAGGAGTTCTTCAGCAGCCCCGCGCGCCGCCCGCCCACCTCCGCGCGCGAGGCCCCGCCCTCGCCCGACCGCGCGTCCGTGCACTACCCCGGGTTCGACGTCTACCGCGACACCCCCGACGACGAATCCACCGAGCTCGACGCGCCCCCGCCCGTCTTCCACATTCTGCCCGACGACGTGAAGGAGAACAAGGCGCCGCCGAGGGTGGAGGAGGGTAAGAAGGGTGCCATCCCCGGCTCGCCGTTGAAGCAGGGCATCGCGTTCTCGCCCAGCACCGCGAAGAAGAGAGGGGCGGCAGACGGGGGCGCAAAGTACAGACCCATGATCATCGCCAGCTCCCCGCGGAAGGAGACTAGCGCCGCGCCCAGACTCGCGGGCACCCTCGGGGCAGCGCTCGGCGTCCCCAAGGCGGCCGCCACCCCCGGGCGCTCGCCCAAAGTCGCGAACGCGCGCAGGAGGATGATGGAGGACGAGTTGGACGCGGCGGACGGCGAGGACGAGTTCTAGTTTTCTTTGTTATATTCTCCACCAGGCGACCGACCGAATCCCGGGCGACCTTGCTTTCCCCCACCCAGTGCAACCCGCAACATCACTCGGTCCTTCTCGCCTCACGACCCACGAGTCACGATTTGCATCTATGCACTACAATCTATTTCTTCCATATATGCTGATCCTTTGTTTCTGATTCATCTTGTCTTGTCCCGGCTATGTACCTCTATCCCCACCATCTCAGTCTCAATCTCAATCTCCCCGAGCGCGTATTGCGGGCAACCACCTGCGTTGTATCACATGGTAGTCTAGCAGACTACCAGTCTCCGCGCTCCGGCTTACTTTCCTTGCTTCCCATTCCTGTTTATTAGTTATGCCATATGACGATTATGAAAAGCTTTTTATTTTGGAATCGCGCTCAGGATCCAGACTGGTTGCCTATGCCTACGCCAGACCCAAGAAATGTCTAGATGATACACAATATGCCTACACTATCCGACAATATAAGTGTGCTACTTTTCATGCCCACAGCGCCTACTGCTCCATAGGGACCACCGCGCTGGATCCGGAGTTATCCTGCACAGGCATAACGATGTCGAACGCGCCCGTGCCCGTCATGTTCGGCCGGCCGAGGACGATGCTCCCCGAGGGCGACGTGAGCGTGTCAAAGTCGCCGAAGAGCGTCGCCTCGGAGAGGAACGCCGCGGTCGTCTCGTACGACGCCTTGAGCAGCGGCGACGACTGCGCGGAGATGCCGCGCCGGTTGAACGGCCTGTACCCGCCGTCGAACGTCTGCGATTACAAACACAAGTCAGAGACGCGCGCTGTGAGTGCACGGAGGTGAGTGAGTGAGAGGGAGACGAACCATGTAATCCGCGATGAGCTCCAGGTGCCGCATGTCCACGTCGATCTTGTACGCGTCGAACACGTTGCTCACCTCGCGGATGATCGCCGCGCGCGCCGCCTCGACGCCGTACGCCTTCAGGATCGCGTAGATGTCGTTCGAGTAGATGCTGTTTGCCTCCACCGTGCTCTCCTCCTGCTCGCCCAGGACCTCCCACAGCCCTTGGAAGTTCGAGCCGTTGGTCGTGAGCTGCGTTGGGTGTTATGTCAGTCCCGAATGTTGGGGGGACGGGTGAGGAGAGCCGCACCTTTGTCCGGCCGTCCTTGGTCTCTTCCCGGACGCGGAAACAGTCGCTGATACCTGCGATCTCACGGATGACCGTCTTGCGACAGACGCGTTCCACGATGCCCACGAGCAACAACTTCGGGAAATCGGCGTCGAACTGTAAACAGGGTTAGGGGCTAGAGGAACATTTCCGAATGTGCCCGCAACTTACAAGGAGTTCGATCACGCAGTGGGACTCGGTGAACTTGAACGAGGTCGCCCGCGCGAAGTTGTCCATGAAGTTCCTCCGGACGACGGCGATCAGCTCTTCCAGGGACTCGCTCTTCACCGGCTCTGGCTGAGCGGCGCCGTCCTCCATGGGCTCGTCGTTATCCGCGTAAGCCGCCTCGATGGCTGCATCGTTCAACTCGTCCAAATCGACGTCCCCGTCGTCGTCCGATTCGTACGTCGCCTGCTGCTGCTTCTTCTTCCTCGCTTGCTTCTCATCCTCTACCTCGTCCACCTCGCTCCTCTGATCATCATCCCGGCCTGCACCAGCACCCTCCTCGTCGCCGTCGTCCTCCGTGGGCGCAGGTCCGGTCTCCTTCACCGCGGTACCCTTACCGAGCCCGGAGATCTGCCCCTTCAGGTCCGAATCGAGCTTCTTCATCTCCGTCATGATCTCCTTCTTGAGAATCTGTGGGAACCGCGAGCTGAATGCCGCCAAGATCTCCCGAGGCTCGACGTCGTATTCCGACCGGTACTCATCTTCGGGGAAGAACGCGATGTCGATCGTGTACTGTTTACTCCGTGCCTGGGCATTCACGGTCAGCGACTCCTTTACTGTGACCTGGTCGACGACCTGGGACAGGGCGAGTCGGCTGGCTTTCTTGCAGAAGGCGTCGACCTCTTCGACAGGGACATCGGGGCGAGTAGACATCGCCATCGATGGGGTCTTGGGTTTCGTGGAGGCCGTCATGACGATTTCTCGTAGACGGGGAATACCCAGCGTGACGTTGGCGGCACCGTGACCTGTGGAAGTCAATTAGCTTAAGACAGAGCACTTGGTGCGTGATAGAAACATACCAGCAAAATGGAAGGTGTTCAGTGTCATCTGTGTCGATGGCTCACCAACACTGAAAACCCGGTTATTACTTCATGAGTGATTAAACATATATACACGTACCCTTGGGAAGCAAGGAGGCCGACAGCTTCTCCAGGCTCCACCAGGCTGCGCATATACTTGACATTCATCAGAAGCTGGAATTGCTTAGGTCCTAGTAGAGGATGCCGCCGTCTGATATCGAGCTCTCCGCTCATATCCTTGGATCGTAGAAGCTTGGAAGGGTTGGACTTGATATACTCAGCAACCTTCTCGGCAAACTTCTCGGATGTGCTTCCCAGATAACGGGAAGGGCTGTACCGAGAAAGAGCCGGTTCGTACTTGTCCACAGGCGGGCCATCGTCCGAGTGTTTCCTCGACTTCTTCTTGGACTTGAGAACCTTCTTCATATAAGCCAAAGCGTCCTGGTCGTTCACGTACCCGACGGTCTCCCTCGGTCGGTACCGATTGATGAAGGTGTTGGCATTCCGCGCAATAAAGTCAAACTGCATGATGTGCTTCTGCTTGGTCACGTCTAGGGCATCGCCGCCATAATGGAATTGGTACACTGCAGAGTCGCTTCCGCGGACTGTGTGGTCATAGTGTACTCGCATTCCTTCCAGGTGTTTGATCAAGCAGCGCTGTAAATATCCGGAACGAGAAGTCTTCACAGCAGTGTCAATAAGACCCTCTCGACCTGCCATACAATGGAAGAAGAATTCTTGGGGCTTGATACCGGTCAAGAATCGACTAGCGACATAACCTCCGGCGATGGCCTGAGTCTCGAAAGCTTTGAATGATGGAAGGGTCTTCCCACTAATCATGACAGGAACTCGACGACCTTCCAGCTCCTGCTGACCTAGCGCGCAAGATATCTGCTGAGCGTTGACAGCACTTCCCTTGGCACCAGACTGGGTCATTGCCTGCATGTGGTTCTGAGGGAACTTCCGCAAGAGCCCGTGAGGCATGACGGCGTCCGCTATTGACTTCGTGAGTTTGGCCATCTTGGTCTTCACCGTGACATCCAATCCAGCCATCTTGTTATCGTCGCGCAGAACGTCTTGCAACAGGGCACGAAGCTGCTCCGGCTTCTCCTCTGGAGGCACTTTCTCCAACGTTGGGAAGTTCTCGATGGCACCTTCGGTTCCGAGGTTCCGACCCTTCTCAAGTAAGTCTCGTCTCTTCGAATCACCGTCCGGTGTTAAAGCGAGATCATCCATGCGACAAGTAAAAGCCCGGTGTTGCAGGAACTTCGTGAAGAGTCGACTGAGGATACCAAGGAGTCTGCCGGCAACCTCCGCGCCGTACAGTTCGTAGACCGAGTGAACGAGACCGTAATCAGTTGCACCAAATGACGATTTGTCCAACACACCGCAAAGCAGCTCGCCGTCCCGGAAAATCACCTTGTCTTCTTCCGAATCCTTGCCCCATAAGCTACCAGGTACCTTGGCTTTAGAATCGACGTTCAGACCTTCCGCGTGATCAGGGGTGATGTTCAGAAGCACTGTCGAGATCTATGGCACTATGAATTTCGCTCGCTCAAAGTATGCCGACACTGGAAACACGCACGATCTGCTTTCCTGTCCATCGCGGTTTCGGCTTCCAAATCGCTGGTGGCAGGGTCGCTAGCCGTCCAGTTGGATGAGACTCATCCTCTGGTCGAATCGCGCCGTAAAGAAGCTGAAAATATTCCTCGCGAGTGAAGAACGTGTCTTTGTTAGTCATCCATACACCAGCAACTACGTGGTCCTGGATGAGGCCTCGTAGAGGTTTGCCTGAAGTAGGGACAAGGTACTGGTTGTCGGTATTGGCGATATTGTATGCTTCCGCACGTGCGACCTGGTTCTCTGGTTCATGACATATAAGACACCCTATGACGACTGCCAAGGAATATACTCACGGGGGAAATGGATGTTCATCTCTTCCAGAAACGTTAGCATTCTCCGGGTGCCATGATCCGGTGCAGTGCTCACCGTCTCCGTCGAAATCAGCTGCAATCAAACATACGTGAATCACCAGACAACCGGCATCGGAGACAATGCTTACCATTATATGAGTTACTAGAAGGAAGAAGGAAGTGATGAGCAGCGCGGACGACGACTATATTTCCGACATACCAGTTAGCGTAGTGCATCCGGATGGTCTTCTCTCCATGCAGCACTTTGGCCCGATGACACATCATACTCGGCTTGTGCAGCGTCGGCTGACGGTTGAGGATCAATATGTCGCCATCCTGCAAATGTCGGTACACCTTCTTGTTGACCGAAGGTGTCCTCGTCTGAAGCCCATACCGGCTGGACGTACCCTCCTGCGGCGTAAGCAACTGGTTGGCAATGGCTGTCCGCTGCTCCACGCTTAGTTTGTCCTAGAAGTAACCGTGTTACAATTGAACTGACTACGTGAAAGGGCACGCCTCACCAGGAACTGAAGGTGTCCATCCTCGAACTCGACCATGGTGGCTCCAGGATACTGCTTCGGGCCATTGATGACGTACTGACGCAGTTGATGGAAATTAGCAGGTGTGACGGGCTCCGGGAACGTGAGCTTCTGGGCGAAGACAGGGGGGATACCGATTTCGCTCGGTTCGATATTGACATCGGGGGAGATGACAGAGCGGGCTGCGTAGTTGACACGTTTACCCTAAGTAAAGAATGTTGGTCTTCTCATAATAGCTAGAAAGAGCAATGCATACCATCATGTGCTTGCGGAATAGACCCTCCTTCTTCTCCAGCAGCTGCTTGACACCAGGAGGCGGTAACTTACCCTGACGCATAGGCTGCGGGTTCTTACTGCTATCGATGAAGCTGTTCACGTCTACCTGCAGCTGGATGAGAGAATCCAGAAGCTGTCCCAAAATCCTCCGTTGCGTCGCTTCATCCGAACCTGAGCCTTTCGCACTAGCGGCGCGGAGCTCGAGGTTGCGGTCGCGCAGGCGGTAGCACGTATTGAGCACCTTCGCTAGCAGCTCGTTCTGCGGATGCTCGAAGAGCATCTCGCCCATCTTCGCGGGCGGGCGGAACCGTGTGGGGGTGACGGGGAGCACCTCCATGAAGAACATGTCCGGACTCGCGACGGAGATGCCCTCTGGTGTGATGGCTGCGAAAGGACCATGCCGCCCAAAGAGGAGCGAACAGATTTGTGCCTCGTTGGCGAAGAGCCGGCGGAGGTGGGCGCGGCACTCTTCCGAGGCCATCACGCGCTCGTTGCGCCCCCGGGAGGTCTTTACTTTGCCGCTGGCGGACTTGGGCAGCTGGGCCTCCGCGGGCTGGGGTGCTTCCTCCTCGAATTCCTGATCAGAGAACGTGTTCTCGCCCGGGCCCTCTGATTCCGGTTCGGACTCGTCAGTGTCAGAGTCAGCTCCAGCGCGATTCTTCGCCGAGCCATGTGTTGACACAGGGGAAGACAGAACGTTTGGCCTCTTGACATTTAACATAGCGTGCTGTGCCTTCTGCTTCTTCGATAAATCATATTCGATGATTTTCGTATGGCCCTCCTTCCGGAAAGTGTAGCCGAACCTTCAGACCTACTCAGGACAAAATCAAAGAAAGGCCCCAATAGCCACTCACGCGTTACAGTTCTGACACTTTTTGAGAATCGTAGCCTTGAGGAACTCTATCATGAGGTCCTTCCGCGCCTGGTACACAGCAGGGTCCTTGTAATCATCACGCGTTCGGCCTCTTCTCGCCGACAGCACTGCGAAAACATACGCGTTCACCCTCCATTCAAACTCCTCAATAGACTCTTCCGCAATCTCATCGTCGTCGCCCTCTGTATCACCCTTCCTCCGTGTTGCTCGCTTGATGTCATCCACGATGAGGGCTTCCTCGAGCAGACCGCGCTCTAGTAAGCGGAATTTGGCGATATATTTGCATATCTTTCACACGTCTGCATCAATGCCAATGGGTCATGCGTAGGCTATGCGAGCGTACCGTTGTCCTGCTCATCTTGAATTTGTGACAGAACAGACACGTCCCTCGCAGCAGATTGTACATGTTCACCATGAACAGAGGGTGGAATACGGGTGACGGTAGCTCTATGTGGCCGAAGTGTCCAGGACAAGTGAAATAAGTTAGGCGGCATGTTGCACATCTACAGAGCAGGTATAACCACTGAAGTAACGGACGGAGAGAGCAGCTGCGTACATGTCCTGTTTATCACTTGGGCCAAGAGCGGGGTCGTACAGACCGCCAATGTTCGGCCGATTCAGGTCATCCAGCAGCGTTGGGTTGACAATTTGTTTGACGGATATTCGTCGGATTTCTTCTGCGGTCAGGAAGGAGAAGGAAATGCTGGTGACGGTGGAGGGGATGGGATTCGAGATATTCATGGCCGTCAGTGTTCACGCCGTCCGTCCAGCACCTTCCGACCCAGGTAAAAGAATAAAAACCAGAAGACCAGAAACACCAAAGCTGAACCGCGACCGCGCCGAAATCCCAGCCAAGTCTGACAAAACTTTACTTGGAAAGTGATCGGACGAGCCCGATCTCGTCCACGTGACGGCAATTCAAATGAATGCGTCCGATTCGGGTTAGGATCGTCATCCAAGAGCATAGGCTTGCAGCCGACAGATAGCGCTAGAGTTGCTTTTCCTCGGTCCCCCATGAAGGCCTCGCGGGTAATACGCATTGTATGTGGACTGTTATTTCCTATTATGCGGACTACCTATGAGACTAGGCTTCGTCCTTGTCGAGAAGCGCTGCGTACAAGGAGCGGTATGTGCCTTTCACGGCTATTGATAGCCTGCGGTCGGAAGACCAGCAGGGGGAACGCGAGCAGTGAGACTCATTTCTGCACGAATAAATGGACGTCAAACTTATGAAGTCTGTGAGAATTACCGTCATGAATCCAGCAACCGGGGAGGACCTCTGCACGTAAGCTTTTGATGCCCCATTCGACCGCAGGACAGCCGTCTGACATAGCAGAAAGCGTCGTTTCCGCCTCTCAAGCGGACGTAAAAGCCACTGTTCTACACGCGCACGATGCCTATCAGTCTGGTGCCTGGTCTCAAGCCAGTGTTCACCATCGATCAACCGTCTTGTCACGTTTAGCGAAAGCCTTGCACAACCGTGTCCCCGAATTCGCTGAACTGGAAACACTGCAGACTGGTCGAACAATACGAGAGATGAGGGCCCAACTCGGTCGCCTTCCGGAATGGCTGTAAGCCCGTCACAGAATGACACCGCGGAGACTACAGCCTCAGAAGCGAATATTACGCAGCACTATTGCGAACGCACCAAGCGTTCGTCGCGCCCACCCAAGGGCCCCTATTCAACTATGTGCAGAGGGTTCCCCTGGGTGTGGTGGCGCTCATTACGGTATGCACCCGTGCGGTCGACTATCAAGAGCCCCTGATTGATGTGGTCTTCGCTGGAAGCCGTTTAACCACCCGCTGCTCATTGCAATCAAGAAAATCGCACCAGCCCTCGCTGCTGGTAATAGTGTGATTGTCAAGCCTTCCGAGGTGCGCATGCTTACAACCTATATCTTCCATATGGAGCCGCATGCCTTCGCAGCTTGCACCCATATCCGTGCTCGAATTCGCCGAGATGGCCAGAGATGCAGGCAGTCAGTGATTTTGCTTACTGATCTTGTGCGTTTTCATCTAACTCTCATCTACAAGTACCGGATGGTGTGCTTTCTGTGCTGCCCGGCTATGGAGTCACAACTGGTAAGGACCTCGTTTCGGAGCCCTTGATAAGAAAAGTCGACATAACGGTAAGTGTGGCTTGATAAAGGAACAACAAAAATTAAATCTCATCTTCATCAGGCGGGTACTGCCACCGGCAGGGCCTTGGGTAGCATAATCGGGTCGAATCTTGCGACGTTCACAGCTGAGCTGGGCGGCAAGGTATCTCATCCGACGTCTCCTACGTTCACACCCACTCAACTTGCGCATTGATAACACAGGCACCCATTATCGTATTCGATGATGCAGACGTTGAATCCGCGGTCAACGGCGCTGCATTCGCCTCGTTCGTCGCCTCTGGGCAGACATGCGTGTCCGGGACGCGTCTTATCGTCCAGGAGAACATCTACGACGCCTTCATGGCTCGCTTCCTCGATAAAGTGAAGAGCATCACCAGGCGCATGGGCAACCGTAAGCTCCCAGTATTCATAGCAATCTCACTCCCTGAACGCGCGATGCAGCGCTCAATCCGCAGTCCACGATGGGCTCCGTGATATCGCACCGCCACCTAGAGCGGATAGAAAAGATGGTCAAACAGAATCGTTCCGGAAATATCTTGGTCGGCGGCGAGCGGATGACTGGTAGGTCTGAGCTCGACGGCTTCGACTTCTCCGAGGGCAGCTTCTTCGCCCCGACCGTCATCGAGGACGTCGGCCTCGAGGACGAGCTCTGGCAGGAGGAAGTATTCGGCCCTGTGGTTGTCACCAAGTCGTTCTCCGTAGGTCACCTACTGCACTCTGGTAGAGGTAAATGCTTACATTCATGGTATAGACCGAGGACGAAGGAGTTCTCCTGGCAAACGCGTGCAAGTATGGGTTAGGCGCAGGGATATGGACGACAGATTTGTCCAGGGCGCACAGGGTCGCTGCTCGTATTCAGGCGGGTCTGGTCTGGGTGAACACCCACCATCGTAATGATCCCAGCTCACCATGGTACGTCGAAAATTTCCTGTCGCAGTAGTATAGTTTTATTCACGAGTCTGATAGGGGAGGAATGAAAGAGAGCGGTATCGGTCGTGAAAACGGCATTGAAGCTCTGGAAGCATGTGAGTCCGTTTCAGAAGAAGCCGTGACAAGACTGACTGCGTTTATGCACTAGATTCTCAGAGCAAATCGACTATCGTGAACATCGCCACTGTCGAGGACACCCGGCTTACTGATGACTGGTTTGCGGAAGGTTCGACAGCCGCCAGGCGATACGGCTGAGCGTTCCGTAGCATCGTGATAGCTGCAGGGAAAGCTCCAGCAGGCATAGGGATATCTTTCAATTGTCCTAATCATACATATTACATGTTCATGCAAAGCTGAGGTTACATACACTTCGTCTGGAGTCTATCTACTCGTGGCGCAGCCGCATGACCCTATAATCCCGTGATACTAAGCTGTTGTCTTGACTGCTTCATGATGGGCGGGTGTCTGTCGTATTCGGATTAGTTAAACTGATACGGAGGCGCGACCCGAGACTCACCTCGTTAAGCTCGACAGGGGCCTCGTCTACAAAGTCAGGCGCCTTGTTGAGATCAGCTAGATACGACGTGCTCTCTTCATCTTCTTCCAAGGCTAACGCATCCAGTTCTGTGAACGCCGGTTAGCAAGGCTGAGTGTGGCGAAGCAGCGAAATGAGCGGACCAGCTTCCAAATCCGCCTCATCAATCTCCTCCGGCACTGCATACGACCGCCCCAACGTCTCCTGAATCTCATTCGCCTGCTCCAGCAGGTCCTCCATATCATAATGCATATTCTTTACAGGCATCATGAGCCCAACGCAACCGCGACGACGCGCATCCAGCGCACCTCGATCTTGTCAATGTCAATCTTCCCGTACTGCTTCTTGATCTCCTTGTTCGCCTGCTTCATCGCCTCGACGGTGGCCATCGTGTTGCGCAGGTTCTCCGTCGTGAGCGCGGCGGACTCCATGTTGAACGTCTGCTGCTGCAGCTGCGCGAGCTGGCCCTCGTACATCCGCTTCTGCTTCAGCGTGCGCAGCGCGCGCTGCTGGATCGCGTCCTAAACGCCCGGGTCGTCATCATCTCTGTGGATGGACGGGGAGGGGAGGGGGTGAGATGGGAGGCGTACCTTCCCGGGCCCGTTGCGCAGCTTGCTCATCTGCTCCTTGTACCGCGCGAGCTCGCCGTCGAGCTTCTTGATCTTCACCTCTATCGACGCAACGCGCGCATCTGTCTGCGCGGGTGACGCTTCTGAGATCGTTGCATGGCATGCCAGGGCGGGTGAGAGGTGCGTACTGAGTTGATAGCGTCCTGTAATGACGGCTTGGGCTTCTTGCTCGACGACGATCCAAATATGCGGTTCATGTTGACTGAAGGGTGATGGTATAAAGCGGAGAGTGGTGTTAGGTCGCGTCGATCCCTTACAGTATGGACTGGTTTAGGTACGCAGTCGATCTGCGATGTTGTCCAAGTGCACATCACTGCGTCGGCAAAGGCCGCTGCCTTAATTGTGGGCGCATATAGGTGCATGTGCTCTACGAGGAAACACAGACGCAAGCCAATCTCAGAGGGCTCTCATGAAAGACGTGCTGTATTAGATGCACGACCTTGCTGGACGTCGTATATTACGGGATCTATACAGCACTGATGTACGTAGAAGACCTAGTCTTCCGAGATCTACAAGCAGGAAGAAGAACGGGAGACTATGGATACACGCTGCACCCGCCACCCATCGCCTCACAAGAACCCCCTAATCGCGCCCCCAACATTCTGCACATCCAACCTATAATCCCAATCAGCATTCATCCCCACATTCATACACGAGCACTCACAAGAACGTATCGTGCCCCCACACCCCGCCGAGCTCGTAGTAGCTCACGCGCTGGTTCCCCGCCATGCGCAGCGCGTCCGCGACCTCGCGCTGCTGCTCGACCGGGAAGAGGATGTCGCTCTGCACGCCGAGGATCAGGACGGGCGTGTTCGCGAGCGGGGAGAGGCCCGCGGCGAGGTCCGGGAGGTGCGGCGGCGGGTTCGGCGGCGGGGGGTGGTGCTTCGAGTGGGAGGTATGCCTGCGGGGCTGCTCCTGCGGCGGTTTGCAGGGAGAAGCAGGATGAGTCAACTGCGATGGGTGCGAGCCACTTGGTGGGGGTGGCGAGAGGTTGAGTTCTTGCAGCGCGGGGAGGGTCATGTCGAACAGGTCCATCGCTTTCGAGACGTAGATCAGCGAGTTCGCGTCGTACTTTAGGCAGAACTGTTCGCCTTGATGGTCGAGGTAGGTTTCGATCAGGAAGTCCGGGCAGAGCGCGGGGGGGCGGGGCATGCCCTTCTCCGGTTCCTCTGAAGGGGGCAGTGGGCGGACCTTGCGGCCGAAACGGATGTCCCACTCTGGGCCGGAGCGGTAGGTTATTGTGGCGATTTCTGTTGAGTGGAGGATATCCGGGTCAGCTGCGAACCCGAGGTATTCCTGGAAGATACGCACGCCTAGCTAGCTTCATGCCTGTATGGGGCGGTAGACGGTCATAGTAAAAACCGTTATTCCAGTTCGGGTCTGCCATCAGCACTGGAATGGCGGCGATCTTAGAATAAAACCAGACTCGAAGTGTCTGAGGCGCTTACCCGCACGCTGAGCGAAGCGCATAGCGATAGCAGACGGGCTGCTGCGGGCGGTCCCGCTGATGCTGACAACCTTCCCAACCCGCTGAGGATATAGCCAACCTGCAGCTAAACTCTGCATGGCGCCCATACTGCTCCCGACGCTCGCATAGAGATGCTCGATACCGAGGTGGTCGAGCAGGTGGAACTGCGCTTGGACCATATCGAAGATGGACAGGATCGGGAAGGTGGTAGCGTAGGGCTGGTTAGTCCGGGGGTCGATCGACGAAGGGCCTGTGGAGCCATAGCAGCCACCAAGGACATTTGTGCAAATGATAAAGTATTTGTCGGTATCCAAGGCGAGCCCGGGGCCTATAAATTTCTCCCACCAGCCCTGGGAGGGGTTGGCTTCTGTGGACGCGGCGTGCGAGGACGCGGAGAGACCGGTGTGGAGGAGGATGGCGTTGTCCGTGCGGGGCGAGAGAGTGCCCCAGGTCTCGTACGCGATGTCGAATGCGGGCAGACTCGAGCCGTACGTGAGAGAGACGGGCGTGGGGTGGTGATAGACGCGGTAGGACTGGGGCGAGGGCCGTGCGTACGGGGGCTCCGGGCCGTCCTCAGAGGCAGGCCGGGCGTCGGCGGCATAGGATGCGCGTATGCGGGACTCGCGATGGGCATGAGCGTCTACGCAGGGGAAGGACGGGCGGCTGGGGGCGGAGGAGGAGGATGCGCGGGCGAGAGTGAGCGCAGCGCGTGCGGCCTTGAGACGGGATCTTTTGAGGAGGGCGGCAGCACCCTGAGCGCAGGCAACAGCAGTGCTCATCGCTGCTCGCTGTCGAGGACGACGTCGGGGGCAAAGAGACGGGCGCCATGGCTGATGAATTTCGAGTGCGACCGCGATGGTGACAACATTTCGACATTGCGGGGTTTGCCGGGTTGAGTTTAAGTGTAACACGCACGGTCAGCAAGTGTTCCTGGCCATTCTTAGCCCAGCACATGCGCGACGTTCATGGCAGAATCCATCCAGTCCACGTCCCAGTCTTCCCTCGCCCCGTCGACCCCGCCCGCGTCCATCCAGAACGCCTTCCACGTTGTCGCTCCCGCAGCCCCCAGACGAGCATCCCTCGCGCTCCTCGACTCTGCCCGCATCAGACTCTCCAAAGACGTATGTTTCATTCATCTCGTGTCCCCCCAAGCCCATTTACACGTGTCTCCCCAGCTCTACTCGCTCGTGCACTCAAATACAAAGTCCAAACGCCACTCGTCTGCCCTCTCTGCTCAGGTATGTTCCGACGCGTCTCTATCCCCCTCACACGCGAACCGTTCACGCGCGCACGCGCCATGGTCGCCCAGGTCGAGACAGAAGACGACGGCGAAGCCCTGCTCTTGACGGGTTATGCGGCGCCCATGGGCCAGTCCGATCTCGACATCGCACACCTCGGTATGTACCATGACCCCCGTGAACAAACGGAGAGCGGTCCGAACGGCAAACAGACCAAGGTGCGCCGATGACCCCAATGTTAGCCTCTCGATCTAAGCGCGCCTCGCGTTCGACGCGTATTTCAGTTTTACACTTTCATTCACCGCCCACGTTCCTCGCGTCCTGTGCTGCCCGCAGCACGCCGATCACGATCAGCGGAGCCAGTCCCCCCTGCTGGCTCTGCCTCCGTCCCTGACTCCCAGCGTCACACCCGACACTTTAGCCTCGACGACGAGCCCGACGACCAGCCGAACGACTCGCATCATGATCACACCCCCAGATCGAAATCGCGTACGCAGCCCAGCAAGCGATCGCCGTCGCGTCCCCTCAGCGCCTCCACGGCCGCGACGAACTCGACCGTCACGGACCACGACCACAGAAAGAAGCTCCGACGGCACAGACGGCCTGAAGGGATCACCATCTCGCCCCCGGCGCACATGCCCGATGTGCTCGACCTCACCTCTCCCGTCGCCTCTCCCGTCCGAGGACCGTCAAACCCCCGACCGACGCCACACCCCGGTGAGACGCGCGAGCGCTCCCGGGCCAAGTCCCCCAACCCCTTCGCGAGGCTGTTCCACGGGCTCTCGAGCCCGCGCAAGGCCTCCACGCAGCTGCCGTCGTCGCACTCCCGCTCAGGATCCCCCACCCCCCGCTCCCGCCCGCAGAGCCCTTCTATCGGGGTATCCTCCGTTCCTGGCTCGCCGAGAAAGGAAAGAGGCCGCAGCCAGACGTGCTGGCGCTTCTTCTCCGGGGCCGCGCCCGGCGCCGCGTCGACGAGTGCGGGGAAGCGCGCTGCCGAATCTGGCTCTGGGATGCCGTCGGAGAAAGTGGACGGGTTGCATGCACATGCGCCGAAGCGGGATAAGGAGAGTGGCAGCCCGGAGAAGAAGGCGGGCGTCACTGTCGTTGCTCCGCGCCCACTGCCAGCGAGGGCCATTCCTGCGCATATGAACGGCGCTGGGTACCAGGGTGTGCCCCCCGTGCGGGTGCGCACGTCGCCGCCCAGGCTGGACGGCGGGAATGCGGGCGAGCGAGAGAGTATCGGCACGGAGAAGCTCGGGCGGTGTTCGCCGTTACTCCTCAGTTTCGGGCACAAGGGCAAGAGTAAGGAGCGCAAGGAGAAGGAGACGGCGAAGGTGGAGATCAGGGTCGTCGGCGAGCCGATTATCGCTAGGGACTATGGGAAGGATAGGCACGCTGCGCGGCCAGCAGGCGCGATTGGCCGGCCGTACGCGTCCGGGAGTCACCCTGGCGCGTCGACTGCCAAGGTGCACAGGTCGAGCACGGGCTCCGGGTCCAAGTCGGGCAAGGCGGACGCGAAGGCGGCCAAGCGGCTCAAGCACGGGAGCTTCGACTTTGAGCGGCCCGCCAGCGGGGGCAGCTCACTCGAAGGGCGCACGAAGAGCCTCAAGGACAAGGAGCGCGCTCTCGAGGGGCATCGGGGCGCGCGCGTCGTCGATGCGTCGTTAACTGCTAATACGCGGAAGCACCCGCAGCGCATCCAGTTCAAGAGTCTCTCCGAGACCGAGGATAATGGGCTGCCGTCGCCGCTGAGGCGCCGCGGCACCGGGGGGTCTGCTGCGTCGCGCGCGCATGGGTACAGCCATTCGCAGACGACCGTATCTGCCTCTGGGGACTCTGCGGAGGGCAGGGAGGCGGGGGGGAGCTGGGGGAGGTCCCATCATCCCCCGCGGTCTGCGCTGCAGCAGAGACACAGGCATCTCGGGGCCTTCCAGTTCGAGCCCGCGGTTCCGTACGTGCCGCCGTCCGCGCCGAGGGACGGTATGTTCGCTTCGCGGACGACGGGTGCGCCGCTGGCTAATAAGACGCCGAAAGTGAACTTGGTGCCGGCCAGCCCGTTCTTGGACGACTCGAGCAGCCACTCTGCGCCGAGTACGAAGGCGAAGAGCCTGGATCTCGGGCTTGGGCTCGCGTGGGCGCCTTCAAGGGTGAAGGAGGACCATTTCTTGCCGAATAGCCACGGGATAGGGCTCATGCGGAGCAAGGAGCGCGAGCAGGTGCTCACAGAGCTGCGAGCGCTCGTTGGGGACGCTGGTATGCAGCGCGTCGAAAAATGTGCGTGCGCTTTTATACTGCTCGTGCAATGTGGTAACCTAAGCTCCATGACAGACATCCGTCGGTGCGAAGCAGGCCAGTTGCCGCTCGACGGGCCCTCCGGCCTCGCGTCGCGCGTCAGGAAGGTTGTGGAGTTGTCCCCGTCGCCTATGCATGGTTTCAAATCGGACGAGCGCAGTAGGAGACTGCTTATCGACCGTCTTGTGAGGGCGGTGCAGGCTGGCCCTGTCGTTGCGACATAGTTGATCCTTGGTCACCGACATGCCATGCTCTGCTCCTGTTGAACGCGTTTGGCCCCCCGTGTGCAAAGCTCTATCTGACTCCGCCCGTGTCGTGGGCCCGTCTGTCTTGCGTCTATGACAAAAAATCACGTTATGAGGTGATGATCTCACTGTCCGTTTCCCGCTGTTTATGGATTAAATCTGTCTTATTGCTCTGTTTATTTGTATCTGCTTCCGTGCGCTGTTTTGTATGTGCTTTTGTGTTGCAATCTGCATGTGTACTTGCATCCGCATCTTCATGTTCTCAGTTTCATGCTCCCTTTACACATCGTCACGACATATTGAGGATTCATTGCTGCATTTGCATTTCATCTCTGGTGCTGCGCCAACTTCGTGTTTCTATATTGCTGTTTGCTGTGTACATGTCTGTTTCGCTGCTACTGTACCACCCATTGCCTGACGGGCTGTTGTTTCATAAATGTCCTGATAGATTGCACTATTTGTAGGGAGTAGAAGTATGGTACTGGAGGCTGGAATGATATAATACGCGCTGCTTGCTATCTCTGATCCTGAAAGAGAACTAGAAGTACAATATGATGTACAAGGAATCCAAACGATCCTACATGCTCAGACATTATGCAGGCCGCAGCGCCCTCAGCCTCTCTGCCAGTCGAGCATCTTCCTCCATGACCTTGTCCTTGGAACTACTGAGATCCGCGACACCCTGGAGGTCCTTCGATGCCATGTCATGCTGGAGCTCGATCTGCGCTTCTTCGGCAGTCTGTTGAATCAGCTGGTCGACCTGATCTTGAGGTGTCGAGACGGCGGTGGTGGATCCCATCGTATCCTCCATGTACGCCGTCTGCACGTCGAGGTCGGCGAACTGTGTCTCGAACTTGTCCATGATCAGGGAGATCTACACAGCCGAGCGGAAAGGTGAATATCAGCAGATTGGATGTGTGCAACGGAGGAGCAGACGCACTCGTTCGAGGTTCATGGATTCCATCGCCTTGTCCATGCCTCGGACTACGGACGTCATGTTCCCTGTCACCTGGCGCATGGTAACAGCAGTCTCCACTCTGCTGGCGACGGCATCTATGCGGCTCGCGAGCCTAAGCAGATTGAGCGCCTCGCTCTTCTTGCGGATGGCGTTCGACGCGTATATCCGCGCACCGTCGGTGTTGCCTTGCTGAAGCGCCTGGGATAGCGCGGATGAGCTATTGGGAGCCGCAGCACCAAGGGTGTCACGTACCTTCTTCAGCCGCGCTTTCTCCTTGTTCTCGTCTTTCTGCGCGTTCTTTGCCTGCCGGTTCAACGACTTTGCGGTAAACTGGAGGACAATTATCGGGGATTAGCTTCCCCCTCTTCCCGTGCACCATTGCACAGACCGCCCACCTTGAGCTGGAACAACGTCTCTGTGTAATAGGAGTTGTGAGTTGGCGTCATAACCAACGCAGTGGCTCTTACTTTCAAGGTTACTCATGATACTGGATACGATACAAAGCAATAGTGAACTGGTATTAAGGCTGAGGTGGGATCACGGTGGCGTACCGACATTCCACAGCCACAGCCACGGTCGATTACAGGATCGATCACGTGGAGGCACCGCGCCTTTACCCCGCCTCGACGTGTTACAGCAGTTGCTCGTCTACTAAGTCTTTTTTAAGAGGCGCAGGATCAAGCCTATTACAGTACTCATTCTGCAGTTGCCCAAACTAGAGGCTTCCCTGCATCACTGGATGCCGTTATTGCATTTACTTAGGTATGTATACTCTCTATCATACCGGTCATAGCTAACATCCCATCTCTTCCCTCAGCTATGGAGCTGCTCTAGGTGCCTTCGTTTTCATGGTCCTCTCACTTGGTATGTTCGTTGATCGTCTGATTGCGCTAAAGTGAAGGCTTAAACTGTGAATAGCCAGCGGACTGCTATGGATTTCCGAGGTTATTGAAGAACACTCGAGATCTTCCAAAGTCATAGGTCAGAGGGGTATTTATGTCGGTAGGATGCTGTTTGGTGGGCATGAGAAAGATGATTGACTTCTGTCTTCAGGTTGTTATTGCCCTGCACGTACTCCTCTACTTCTTCGACTCCCTACCTCTGCCGCAAACGCTTTTCTCCATATTCTGCCACTTTGTCTACCTCCAAAACTTCTCGGCGTCCTGGCCGTTCATCTCCCTGATGTCTCCGTCGTTCCTGGCATCGTGCGCGCTAGTGGTGATTGACCACTTCCTGTGGTTCTTCTACTTCTCTCGCATCACCCAAGAAGCCCGCCAAAGGTCCCACCGCGCTTACCGTGGATATCCAGGCTCAGCACCTCCTGTGAGGGTTCCTGGGTTCGCTGACATCGCAACATTCTTTGGGATCTGTGTGTGGCTTGCCCCGCTCTTTTTGTTTCTCAGTCTGAGCGCAAATGACAATGCCTTGCCTACTGTTACCGGTGAGTAGTAGTTCACCATCCCCATGTTCGGCCCCGTTGAACGGCATGTTTTCAGGAGAGCCCAGCACACCCACAAGCCCCTCAAAACCTATCCTTGTGCAACCTCGATCTTCTCTCTTCAAATCGCTGCTCAGGATCCTACCTATTGACTCCATGCCTCGTATCCGCCCCCGAACGCGCAGAAGGGAGACAGAGGGTATCATTGCACCGTCCTCCCCAGGCGTGCCTCCATCACCGGGACTTGGACATACGTACAGCAACATTCCATCACCCATGTTATCGCCGAGACATTCTGCAGAAGTGTGGGTAGGTGTGGGCGCTGACGGCGTGAGGCCGCCACCTTCTTTCACCTTGAGCCCTCCACCTCGAAGGAGCACAGCGCCTCCGGGAGCAGATGGTTTGGGTTTGAGGAGAACTGCGAGTACCACACATGATACTGCTGTAAAAGACAGATAGCGTAGTTCATAGAATTAGTCTGACTTTGGCCATGGTAAATATCTACGTACATAAACCACGTGCGTAAGGACGATCGCTCGGATCGGACACCTTGACGGCCCAACTTGGAAAGGTTGTGGATAGGGTAACTCGTGTATACTTACCCCAACATACGTCTTTGCTTTCTGACTGGGCTGCTGTGCATACTGAGAACTGCGCCGCAAGACCTCGTACCCCGTCAGCGCTCACTGACGACGGTACAGCTCGCTTCAGGGAGGCCACATCTCCCGAGAACGGTGCAGGGCGGTCAAGATGCATCTCTACCTTTCAGAAGGTCCTCGGACTCTGTACCTCGTTACTAGCTCAGAAGACGAGAGATCTGGTCGACCGAGGCGAGCTCTCGTCTTTCGCGCGGCAGAAGGCAGTACCTCGAAAGCTATCGTTGAATTCCTCCAGAAAGATGATGTTGACTTCTCGAATGCCGTTCGACTGTCCAGTCGGGCTATCAAAGGATGCCTGGGACTAATATCCGTCTCAAATGGTGCGCTTGCCTGTTATTACGACCGAAAAGCATGAGTTCCTCACACCCTAGCAGAGATGTTCCTAGCGGTGGTAACGTCAGCTACTGAAGTAGGCAATACGAGACCATCAGCATCCTCTCCGGAGTCTGTCGCTCGGATACACGATGTCTCCTTCTACAGTCTCACTTCCTCCACCTGGGATGATCTCTCTGCTGCGGCCGATGCTTTACCCAGTCCCAGCTATACCGACTCTGTGGACATGCTGATGATGCAGAGAAATGAGGCGTCCAGCGCCCAGAGCTCTGCGGCTGCTGCGTTTGAACATCCCTGTGCCCCGCTGACCAAAATTCTCTCCTCTGGTTCGTTTTACTATGCGTTGGAACCTTACTGGGATATTTCGTCCCGCCTATCCCAGCGGCTGTCCCGAGACCGCGTTAGCATGAAGGACATCAACACGTTCGACGAGCGATTCGTTTGGAACGAGTACATCGTCCGTAGTTTGCTGGATTTCCGGGATAGATTGGACCAAGACGAGCGAAATGATCTTGATAGGTGCCAGTTTATCGTAAGCCCGGTCTCCGTGACTCTATCGGCAGGAATTATCCCATTTACTATCCATAGATTCTCACCATCCAAGGATTTGTGGGGCTCTTTACCTTAGCCCTGCCCGCTCCGCCGACCAACGGGTCGCCTACCGTAGCCACTCTCACTTTAATATCGCGCTTAGGGTGGAAACGTGCAGGCACAAGGTTCAATACGCGTGGCGTCGATGACGACGGAAATTGTGCTAATTTTGTCGAGGTTCGCGGACTGACCGCTTCTGTTCATGCCCAAAGGTCTGACCAGCAGGCTCTGTAGACGGAAACGCTATTCAGCACGGATCAGCATTGCTTTAGTTACGTACAAGTGCGCGGTAGCATCCCACGTATGTGTTATATTCCTCGAGCAATATATCCGACATCTCACCTTTCGGAACACACCTTACGCAGTATTCTGGGAGCAGCAAGGTTTGCAGACATTTGGACAACGCATTCAAATTACCCGTCCGCAAGCGTCGCAGCCGGCATTTGAACGTCATTTTGCTCAGCTGACAGAAGAATATGGTGCTGTTCACGCCATCAACCTGCTGAGTACGAAGGAGAGCGAAGCAAGTTTGACCGCTGCATATGCACGGCACATGCAAATTGCCCACAATGTCTTCGGTGCCGACGTAGATATGACACACTTTGATTTCCACAACGCCGTCCGGATAGGGGGACATGATAGTGTCATCCGTGATCTGAGGTAGGACGGTCCGTCCGTCCTGAGACTGTTCAAGATATTAACAACTTCGGTGTGCTGGCAGACGCCTCGAGGGCATAAATGATAACATGGAAAGGTTTGGATTCACCATGTGCGACTCAGCTACAGACGAGATCATCACCGAACAGAAAGGTGTCTTCCGAACAAATTGCCTAGACTGGTATGTTGCAGGATACATGGCTGGGACGATGAGATGCTTACCGTACGTGTAGCTTGGATCGCACGAACTTCGTGCAAGACATATTGTCGAGGGCGACTCTGGAGCAGTTCTTGACTTTGGTCCGGAGGGAGTGGCTCCGCGCGGGCTCTCTATGGTCATATCATCGAGAACTGTGGGCTGAGAATGGAGATGCCTTGTCTCGCATATACGCGGGTACGGGGGCGTTGAACACGAGCTTTACTCGCAGTGGAAAGAGAACCCTAGCTGGTTCGTAAAAGAGCTTGACATAAGCTGTTCTCTGACCGCATCTTCAGGCGTGCTATCTGATGCCACGAAGAGTGTTTCCAGAGCTTACATCAATAATTTCCAGGACAAGAACAAGCAAGTGGCGATTGACATGTTCTTGGTACGCCGTACTACAGGAAGCGTCCCGCCTAGAGTTCACGTAAGAATAGGGGAATCTTAGTGACCAAAGACAAGTGACGGTGTTCGACCCTATTCACGACTCCGTTCGTGCGGCGTTGGAGCAAAGGTATGTTGTCTCGAGTACCACGCTATTGTACCAATCTGAGCTTTACAGGTTGTCGGAGTACTCCACGACAAAACAGTGTACCATATTCGCTGGGACCTGGAACCTCAATGGCCGGGTAAGTAGGCGGGCCCTCTTTCTATCCACAATGCAGCTGAGTCTGAACTTACAGCCCCCGTCCTCGGAGTCGCTCTTGCCCTGGCTATTTCCTCAAATAAGTAGGTTTTTATTGATCTTTTGTCACTCACGGTGATCCCCAACCGCGCGTAGATGTCCCGGAGTGCGTCAGCTAGTTCTTGTAGGGATATAGGTATTAATCGAGGAGCAGACCAGATATCTTCGTGATAGGGTTCCAGGAAGTTGTTCCCCTGACTGCCCAACAAATCTTGCAGACTGACCCTGAGAAGAGGTCGGCATGTCTCTCAACTTCGATAACTCCGCTCATTGTCATCGTGTAGGAGAATATGGGAGGCCAAACTCTTGGAAACGCTCGCGCGGCATCCAAACAAGAAGGAAGAGTATGTCATCCTGCGAAGCGAGCAGGTGAGCTCATATATGGAAAGAAGTTTCAGCGGTGGCAGCTCACGGTTTCACCAGTTGGTTGGGACGGCCCTTATTGTTCTTGTCAAAGCCCAGTTGACTTCAGTCATCCGCAATGTCGAAGCCACAACCCGTAAGGTAAGTGAGGCAGCGCGAGTCAGTCGGATTGATCCCAAACCTCATGTTGTAGACTGGCTTGCGAGGCATGTCTGGTAATAAAGGAGCCGTCGGGATACGTCTAGATTATCATGATACCAGCTTTTGCTTCCTCACGGCACACCTGGCTGCTGGGCATAGCAATATCCAAGAACGAAATGCTGATTACTGGACGATCGTCAATGGGCTACAGTTCCTCAGAGGAAAGACTATCAAGAGCCACGAGTATGTTATCAGCATACCCCATACACTCGTATACTCATTACTCATTTCGCCCCCCTAAGCAATGTCATATGGTTGGCAGACACCAACTATCGCATCGATCTAGAGAATGAGACCGTCAGAGCTCTTGCCCTTTCCGACAATCTTGATGCGTTGCTTGCAGCAGATCAGGTATGATGTTCATTTGTCATCTTCGGGAACAACCTCACCGTCCTGCTCAGCTGAAACAAGTGATGGACGCCAAGGCCGCATTTGTGGGATTTGAGGAAGGTCCCATCCTGTTCCGACCAACATACAAGTACGATGTGGGAACAGACAATTATGATACCAGCGAGAAGATGAGAATACCTGCATGGACGGGTGAGTTCGTACGTTACCACATCTTACCTTAGGTTAACTGTGGCAGATCGTATCCTGTATAAGGGTAAGCAGTTAGACCTTACGGTTTACTCAAGAGCGGAATTACGGAGTTCGGATCATCGACCTGGTAAGTGACGTGCAGGATTTGTTCGTGGACTGTCTTACACTCAAGCTGCCAGTTTTCGCTGTATTCCGGGCCGAGATACGGATAATTGACAGCATTAAACGGGCCGCACTTTCTCGCATGCTTCTGGACAGTGTCACCTCCACCGCTCCGGGTGAGAAATTGGATGAGAAACTTGCTTCATTAACTTTCCATCAGGATGACACGGACCGTAAGCAGAATTCTCTTCGTGCATGGACGATCTACCAACTTGATCCGTGTCCGAACAGTTCCACCGCCAAGTTCCGATGACGCAGCATGGTGGGATAGCCCCGGTGAGTTGCTTTCCACTGTCGTTAACAGATGCTAACCACAGTGCCACCGCAGATCACCCGAATGGAGTTTTCAATGTATCGGAGAGCAGCGTCTCAACAGGGCCACAATCCAGGAACCCGTTTGATTCTCCGAGCGACTCTCCCCTCTCAAGCTCACCGTCCTCATCAGATGAGGAATTATATGCACATGCACTGCAATTGCCGACACCTATGGCACCCACTGTCGCTGGACGAAAACCACCACCTCCGCCTCCACCACGGAGCAACAGACCATCTCGGCAGAACGGCGATGCAGCGTAAGACCCTTCCCTGGGTTATTCTACAATGACAGTACTGTACGGAGGGTGGCCCAAGATATCGAGTGCATCTAACTTGCGAGAGGCATCCGTAAAACTTCATAAGAGTGACTGCGTGCAGACAAATCGACCGATACTAGATAAGGCCTTGCTTCTTCAGATCTTCGTATGTCTTGCGGTTGTACACATTGCCTTCATCATCCTCGAGTTCTTCCATCGTCTCTTGCTCGAATATTTCATGACGGCCTTCTCGCTTTAATCGTTCAGCCACTAGACACAGGAGTTAGCTTCTATCCCAGACGGGGCTGGCGATGATCATAACGTACAGGCCAGGGCATCTTCAATCCTAGTAATCTCATGGAAGTGCTTTGTATTCGGGAGTCCAAGAGCTCGCATTCCGAAAGCGTGCCTTGATTCCTATGGAGCAAGGTTAGTACTCCGACAACCCTGTCTTCTGGGACGTACCTGGAAGTGTCGCTCAAAATTCTTCCTACAAGTGTAGAAAGAGGTCAAACACAGTGCCTTATCGTAGGGTGGTTTGAGCGTACCTTCCCATGTACACATGATCCGAGCAGATCTCACACCGATATTCAACCCCCAAACCGTGAAGTTTGTACAGCCAATAGGGAATAGGTTTGCCATCCCATCCTAAGGGTAGTTTCAAGGGGTTGTATATCCGCTCTTCCTCTTCCTCCTCCTCCCCTTCGCCTTTGGCAGCGGGTGGCGGAGCCGGTTTCTTAGATTGCTCGACGAGTTCTTGCTCACGTTCTCGAGCGGTGAGAGAGAATCTGCGCTCGACATTGGACTTCGTGTCGTTGAGTGTGGGAATTAGCGAGCGCAACAGTGCAGTCGAGAGATAGGTGTAAAGCGCGGCAGATCGATGCTTTGCAGCATTTGACTTCTGGGGAACCAAAGAGGGAGGCGGCATAGACCCGGAGCGCGTACCATTGGGATTTTGTGGAGGCGCTTCAGCGGTTGCTTGCTTGGCCGTAGCCTTGATGTGTCGCTTTGAGGTCAGATGAGCGTCATAGACAGTCTGCTTCGCGTAATGTTTCTGACCTGCAGGACATTCATTAACAGGTCCCAATGCCAACGTCGTGGAACCTACATGCGGCACACCACACACCACCTTCCGAGCCATTGGCATCTGGCTGGGTTTTGGAACGAGCTTCTTCCCAATCCGACAGCTCTCCCGCCTCCCATTTCTTATTGAAGTCCTCTGCAGCTTCCTTTTGCGCTGTATCGACGTCCACAAGAGGTTGCGTCCTTTTCGTGAAAGAAAGTAGATAAGCATGCAGAGACTTGATGTATCTTAGGACAAGCCCATAAGATGGAATTCGATCTACAGAGTCACAGCACGCACAGCTCATAATCTCTTGATAGTCGAACTTCTTTGGGCAAGTCTGAATGAATAGGACCATTCTGGGCGGCAATGAGAATGTCGAGGTACTGAAGATAGCCAAGTCGTTTGCCAACATTCTTGATGTTGTTGTAAGTATTATGATTGGCGTACAGGTCAAGGTATTTCCCATAAGCTTCCTCACCCGAGAACAACAGGGCGATTGCTGGAGCAGCAAAGGGGCATGAATGAAGTCGGAGTTGCAGGGGGCGTACTGACTACTCACGGTCTTCCTGCTCCTCGTCTTCGTCCTCTCCCTCGACCTCCTGTCCTTCCTCCAGAAACGCCGCGAGTTCCAACTCAAATCCCCCTGCTACGGAGTCAGGGTACTTGGCATAGTGCTCCTGGATTTTCACCAACCGCGAATAGAACTCAGATAGGTCGTCGTGCTTTGAGGAAGCAGACAATGATTCTATCTCGGCATTCCTAGTATCTTGGTCCTGATAGAGACCATCCAGAGCAGTTACGCGAGAGCCAATACGGTCTAGGATTTGAGATGCTTTGTGTTCCGTCTGCAGCCGTTGTTGGTGGTTTGGGTTTGGCTTGGACAGCAACTGGTACAAAGCTCTTTCGTAGCGTTCTATCTCCTCGTGGGTCTGCCTTTGTACTTCGATAACCGAGTCCATGTTGGTCGATGTCGAGGACGAACGAGAATGCACGCGCACAAATGAAGCGCCCAGTTGGGATCTCTCGCTGTTTCGAACTCAGCAGCTTAGTCAGCATTTTCGCCTTCTGGGATTGCTTGCTCTTCCCTTCGGATCCGGAGGTTCGCGTTTGCATACAACCGTCAAAATGTCTGGTCTTAACGCTGGAGACGAAGTACGTGGAGGGAATTGTCTTTCGGTGGAACGGCTAACCTGAGTACTGCTGTTTTAGAAACTTGTGTTCGAGTCCTCTGAGGCCGTCCCGGTCGTCTCTACTTTCGACGACCTTGGTCTGAAGGAGGATCTTCTCCGAGGCATCTATGCGTACAGTGCGTCGCTACATCATTTGCACGTCTCTTCCACTGACTCAGGCGCTCCCTCAAGACTTCGAGAAACCCTCGGCCATTCAGCAACGCGCTATCTTACCGATAATCCAAGGGCGGGACGTCATTGCTCAAGCGCAGTCGGGAACTGGAAAAACCGCGACCTTCTCTATCTCAATCTTGCAGTCCATCGACGTGACGGTCCGGGAGACGCAAGCACTCGTGCTGTCACCTACGCGTGAATTAGCCACTCAAATTCAGTCCGTTGTCCTCGCTCTGGGCGACTACATGAACGTTCAGTGTCACGCCTGCATCGGCGGTACGTCCATCGGAGAGGATATTCGGAAACTGGAGTATGGTCAGCATGTGGTGTCCGGAACACCCGGACGTGTATTCGACATGATAAGGAGGCGGAGCTTGCGGACGCGGAACATCAAGATGCTCGTCCTTGACGAAGCGGACGAACTATTGAACAAAGGGTTCAAGGACCAAATATACGACGTTTATCGATACTTACCCCCCGCTACTCAAGTTGTCCTCCTCAGCGCTACCCTCCCGTACGACGTGCTGGAGATGACCACAAAATTCATGACGGACCCCATCCGTATTCTCGTGAAGCGTGACGAACTTACGCTAGAGGGTATCAAGCAGTTCTTCGTGGCTGTGGAGAAGGAGGACTGGAAGTTCGACACGCTGTGCGACTTATACGACACGTTAACGATCACTCAAGCTGTCATTTTCTGCAACACACGGCGGAAAGTCGACTGGCTAACTGAAAAGATGCGAGCGGCCAACTTCACAGTGTCATCTATGCACGGAGAGATGCCCCAGAAGGAACGAGACGCGATCATGTCAGAGTTCCGCGCGGGATCATCGTGAGTAACCACGTCGCAAGCTGTTCCTTGCTTATGACTGACTTCTTTGCAGACGTGTTTTGATAACAACGGACGTTTGGGCTCGCGGTATCGATGTGCAGCAAGTATCGTTGGTTATTAATTATGATCTTCCTTCGTACGTCCTCGTTCAGGTGGCAGTTGCCTGCAGTTAGTGACGATCATCCCCAACTAGAAATCGCGAAAATTACATCCACCGCATTGGCCGTTCTGGTCGTTTCGGAAGGAAGGGTGTTGCCATCAACGTGCGCATGCAACATTATTACTCCTGACCATAGGCTAATGATATTCTAGTTCGTTACGGTCGATGATGTGAAGATTCTGCGGGACATCGAGCAATTCTACAGCACACAAATTGTGAGTGAAACATATTCGTCGGGTTCCGTCGGGCTGGCAGCTGATCTTCTTCTGTAGGACGAGATGCCCGTCAACGCCGCAGAATTAATCTGATTCCGTTGAACTCGGTCAATTGTCGGTCGGACAGAATATTCGATCGTTGCGCTATCAGCGAGCTGTTGTCATTTTGCTGTGGTGATACCTGATGTAATTATAGTATGTTGCCGCCCTGTATTATTGTTTTGAAGACAGTTTTTGCACGCTCGGAACATCTCAGAGTTCTGTCAGACCGTCTGCGAGCTGAAACAAGCGTCCCTACGAGCTAGTAGACGTGCGTTCGATGCAATTGCAGGTTGCATTCCTACGGACGAACGAGCACTGCGGCGTCTCGATCGGTTTTTGTAACAGAATTAAACAAGACCTACACCTATGCAGAGTTGGCCAGCGTTACTACCTACCGATCCAATCCTAACGCCGAGGAACCTCCACTGCGCAGGCCTGCAGCTAGATTGCTCCTAGCGGATCCAGTGCCACTGCAGCTGTCGCATGGGTGCCCAGTGACTGGGAATGCGAAACATCAGGCGTGTCTTGTAAATCTAGCAGGCTTATCACTCTGCGGGGATATGGCCGCCTGCATCTTCGAGGACGCTCACTATATTAGATAATATCAGACACGAGTTTGCTAGATATTAGAGCTAGCAGCAGCAGCTTAGCACTCGTTCCAGACGGTCGCTGAAGATCGCAGTCGAGCCGTTCGACGGAATTAATCTGATATCGCCGTCAACGTGCGTTATCTCCAGACGGAGGAGTTGGCCGAGGATTGGCGGAGTGGGACGCGCTCGGCCTTCACCGCACAATAGTGGAGCAGCACGGTGCGTGGACGGAAGCGGATGGAAGGACCAGACTTCGATTCATGGAAGAGATAACAACTTTGGACGATGAACATAGTCGCGCTTGCGGAGAATTGCGATATCCTTGATGCAACGCGGCGGAGGCGAACGTTCGGCCCCAGATGGCACAGTGAACACCCTGAGGAGGTGGGAAGAGCGTGCCGCAGCGTCAGAATGATGTTTCCTAGATACGACAGTCTCACGAGCGTCAGAGCATAACGAGGACTTCTCAGAAATCCCTAACCGCGCTGACCGCTCATGATAGTGCTGTGGACGCTCCTGTCGCCAGGTCCTCAGAGATAGAACGCATTGCTAGAGGAGGGCAGAACCACTCAGTTTGTGCGGTGAATACGGCGGCGCAAACCTTACACAGTCATGGAAAATGCTTCTCACGGAAGTGTAATTTCGGCAGACAGTGAATGGTGAGATAATCAATGGCCCGGAAACGTCCTTCGTTGCACCGCTTACCGACCTATATCCCCCCGTCTGGAAAGGTGTCGCAATAATGTCAGTCCTTCAGAACGTTCGGCATCTTCAGAATGGAGTGCAGACAATATTTGACTACTCCTAGAGAGATGAATATTGCGCAGTAGCATCAGCATTCTAAGTCGCCAGCTTTCGTCATGGGATGTGAAGTCACTCACAGGCGCCTGGTCGGATGCAAGATGAAATCTCCCTCCGGACCGACTCTAAGTATCAAAGGTACCAGATGACATATCAACACCAGGAGTACGGCTCTGGTCATAACATCATATTTCGCTTACGAATTATGTCTGCCAGGAAGCTAAGTATGCGAAAACACCCGTAATCCGATTTACCCTTCCTATCCGCCACACGTAAGGAACGCGTTATCGGCATGCCATCATGATTGCCCGGAGGGGATCCTACAGGGAATGCGCGCGGTCACCACAGTTCTTAAGGTCGGTTCCAAGTCGTCCTGCTTTGTGGACGAGTACTGGTGTAACTCCGCAAAAAAGCTGGCGATTACTATCCGCTCATCGAAAAGCTCACGGCAGTACTTACCATCGTTCAGAGATAAGGAGTCAAAATCAGATAGCGCCCTTTGGGAGGGTGAATCCCCAGAGCTTCAAGTCCTGCAACATCATTGGCATACATGCTTGTCAGTCCCCCAGCTCCTCCGAGGAGGGAACAGAGAATTCCACTGCTCGCACCCTGTTGACGAACAACCTAGCCATATATGGAAGTGGCTTCTCGTCTGCTTCTTCGCAATGCGATAAGCCGCGGCCATGGACGCAGAAGGTAGGAGATCGTCTTTATGCGAGGATGTCTATCGAAATCCATGTATAATGCTCCGATGAGTGCAGAGATAAGTCATCCATAGGTTGCAGCAAGGCAGCACGAACCTGGACGGAGAATGTCTTGCATCAGAATCGTAGTTCGAGGCAGCCCAACCCGACATCCGATGCGAAGTGCTGATGTATGACCCGATTTAGGCCACCTGAAGATCCCGATAGACTATCCAAGCATCATCATAAGGTAGCAATGACTCTGCAGCTTTTGTTAGTCGTCATCATTCTCATCTGTGCTCTCATCCGATAGCCTCCGGGTCGTCTTCAGAAAGCCAGCCTTCTTTCGGACTTCCGCAGATTGTCTCCCCTGGACGACTGGCCTACTGGTAGCCTATCTTTCGATGACCCGCCAACTGCTGGGTTGTCGGATGCTTTATGTGTCGACGTCTCATCTCTATCCTACCAACGGATGGCTGCTTAGGGCCTTTAATTTTCGTGCGGAAAGGGACGCCGTATTCACTTCCTCGTCGCAGTTCCCATTCCACGCAGCTCGGGTCACATACTTGTGTAATTTTAGAGGCGGATGTCGGTTCTGCTACTTGCTCTCCCGATTGTCCCCCGCGGTATAAAATCTGAGCGGGTAATCACTCGAGTTCCTCACCTCAATCTCCATCCTCAATAACGCTTTAGCAAGCGACCTTGTACCCTCACAACGATGTGCTTTTTCCGCAGGCAAGTGTTCACTACCTTTTGTCAGGATTGTCGGCTTATTCCTCTGATCGTTGCAGAGTCAGGAATGTCTACCTCAGGTAAACCAGAGCGCACAGTAGCCTTCGCCGTATTGACACTTCGTCACCAGATGCGGTCATGCCATCAATCTCCCGGAAGAGGAGGTGACTATATATCGGTTGTCGAAAGTTGCCTGCTGACGACCGTTAAAGATTAAGTGCGACTCAGTAAGGTGCAAGTTCAGCCCGAACCACCCGCCCAACTGTGTGCCGCCTTCCTGTACTCAAACTTGTTGGCAATAGTACGTAGCTGCTTCTATGTCCGTCGAGAGGCCGACTGAATTGGCGATTGTTAGCCATCAATTCCCACAACAATATGGTCCGTATGACGTTTCACCCCGGAGAGGAGCATGCATCTCTAACTTACCACGACAGCTCCGAACATCGACGATTTTTGCCCTGCTTGCAAGGCTCACAGATAAATAATGACCTACGGAAAGAAACAGTACACGCATAGAATTTACAATCAGGGAAAGGGATCTATACCTTGTAATACCATAGAGATAATCGTACAGCTTGGGATATCCGATGAGGCCGCGTCGAATTATCTAATATCGTGTTCCAGAGATTAGGTTTCAAGCGTGAGTGAATTCGACATCCGCTCGGGGCGTAACGTGCGGGAGAAACTTAGGTGAAACTCAGGCTTTCAAGCGCGTTTGACGACGGGATAGAAGGATCCGTGAGGCGAAAGGACACCGCGGATCCGGACCATGGACGGAGCATAGTTTACTGAACGATCGGCTAGGGACGACTGCATCTCAGGCCATTCTTCAGACGTTACGGTACTCAGCAGCTGCTCACCAAGGACTCGTGCCTCTAACACCCAGCGATCTGCGACTCGCGCGAAAGAGCAGGCCGGAATCAATAGAATACAAACAGGTGGTGATACAGGATTAAGCTGTTAAGCATGGCAGATAAGAGGATTGCATGTGATAAAGGAGCTATCCGAGACGACGGAGAAAATACGGACTACACGATCAGCTTTCATCCTTGATGTCATGCTTCTTCTTCAACTGAGCTAACTCTTCCTCTCGGCGGGCAAGGTCGGCTTTAGCCGCCGCTGCGTCCTGTTTAGCGGGCATGTGGTACAGGACGACGATATATCGGCCCTGCAAATGGAAGCCGTTCAAGTGGTCAAGGGCATTCTTAGCCTGCCGTGCACAATGAGTCTGCCAGCCGGGGAACATGTGGAAGAGCCGCACGTACATCCATCACATCATCGAATACTATGAAGGCAGTCCCCTTCGTCTTTTGCTCATTCCCTATTCGAATCTGTCTTATGCTCCCGTAACGGCCAAACAACTCGTATAGGTCTTCCCCGGTGATGTTGTAGTCCAAATTCTTGACAAAGAGGATGCGATTTGCACCTGGAGGTAATTTCGTCTAGAGCAACACAGAGGATGAGCGCAGTCATTGGATAGTATATAATGTAAATGCACCGTTGGTCTAGCCAAGGCCATCTGCAGAGTTTGTGGGTGGACGGTGGTGGAAAGCACGAATACGAAGCGGCTTTGGTGAGCAAACCCTAGAGTAGGTTTACACGCCACGCGTACTGCTCACTTGGTACGCTGTCGGGTTGTCAAAATGCCGCCTTGTTTATAATCTGATTACGAATCTAACACGCGGCAATCTACAGTGCCTTGCATAAGAAACTGAACATTGCATTTCCGCGCGCATTGTTTGTTCGCGCCAAATATACCCTTTTCGGGTATCGGCAAATGCGCGGCAAAGGAGTCGTCGAAAGGGAGAGTGATTGGACACACAGCTGGGGGCAAGATATATGCATTCTGTCCTTACTGTAATTATACAAAGGACATATCATGCATTTTCTGAAGCCTTTCGAGCCCCCTTGAGGCGTCTGCGATTCCCTGCCTAGCCAAGGGGTCCCGCGAGAGGTCTTCCGAAGTTACCCAAAAAGGGCATATTTGGCGCGGACAAACAACGCGCGCGGAAATGCAATGTTCAGTTTCTTATGCAAGGCACTGTATATACTCGAAGGAGCAAAACAAAGCTTGTCTACAGGCTCTATCAAGTTCTTACAGAAAGTCTCAGAAAACCCGTACAATTGGCCATCACTGCGTATATCATTGCCAAAATTGCAGACATCGGACGTCGGAGCAAGAAACATTAACACAGTCCAGTGCTTGTCCTTTATAACATTCCCTTTCTCACCTATTCATGCATAGTCCATTTATGAAACGACCTCGGTTTAAGGGAGGGCGACGACGTCAAGATACTAGCGGTGAGGCAAGTGTATGCCTTATCCTTATCCAGGTTTGCAACATACCGGGTCGAGCCCAAAAGGATTCTTCATGTGTGGTCTACCGGTCATAATGCCGCTGAGCTTGAGTTTGAAGTCAGCGGCTGTTGTTTTCAAGTCTGTCACAGCCGAGAAGGGGTACCTTTCAACGCGTCGTTATGAGTTACTTCCTGTTACTTCCCTTAGTGTTTGAGCAGCGTGCATGCGCCAGAGAATGCATGCTCACTAACCGAAGGAACATGTACAGGATATGATGGGTATCATCACCGTCTGCGCATTAGTCTCTCAGCTTCCTGGCACCCTTCTCTGCCCCTAACACATAGTACGGTAGCACCACCCTTATCCTGCGCGTCTGGAATCAAGCATTTCACGTCCTGCACGTCCGGGCAAGGGCAGTCAATCGGGTTCGAGACGCAAACGAGCGTATCGGGGCAGAGGTAGTCGGAGCATGGAACTACAACCGCAAGGTGAACAGGCCGACGAAAGAGCTATCATAACGGTAGCGTACCGATATCAGCATTTGCGGTCCATTGCGAAGTCGAAGACGCCTGCTGGTGCCGTTGTTGCTGCTGCTGCTGCTGATGACCATGGCCAAACATCTGCTCGAAGAACTGAAACTGAGCCTGGGTCGCTCCACACAGACCGAGGAGGACAATTAGCGTAATCTGAAGCCAGACCATGAACCCAGGAATCAGCCGAGAGGGCGAGGGTGAAGTAGATGGATAGTGTGCAAACGGAAGCTTTTCTGAAGTGTCGGCGTGGCTGAGAAGGAAAGGGATCGCTCCCATTGGCTGGGCCCCCACGTGGCACGCATGGGTAACATTCCAAGGCGGTCTGCGCTGGACTGACAGCCTGCGAAGCCAGAGCCCTTTGAGATCGCTATGGCTTGCTTCCTTGCCTACGACTCATAGACTACGGCGCCTCATCCCAGACTCGTCAAGCACGGCCTCTGGGACGATGGCGAGCGCGCTTTCGCCACTGGGATCTGAGCCCTCGGCTGTTCCGGACCTGGACCGTGACTTCGCATGGGCTCGAGAGGAGGTCGTTATCGTTGTCTGCAGATTCAATTGTAACCTAATGCTATCCCGTGCTACTAGCTTTCCAGCGCTGCCAGGCGGCTCACCCACGTCCAAGAATGGCTCGCTCACGGAACGCAGACGTTTCAGGAGGAATCCCGGGCGCTCCGTTCTGAACTATCGGAGCTCAGAGCGCAGAGGATCAATGACTCTGAGACAATAGAGAGTCTTCGAAGGGAAAACGAGGCACTGAACAGAAGAGTCGATCCATTAACGAATGCTGCTGTTGCGAAACTACGGCGCACTCGACAAACTTTGCGAGATTTACTTGAAGAAACGGAGGTAATGTTTACCAACAGTTTGATGATGCCACGAGTTAACATGTCGCTAGGTTGCTCTGAAAGATATTACGCAGATATCGCCGAATAAGATATATGGTCGCGATACTGAGGAACCGGACTTATCGTTCCCACCGGCGGGATCGACTCCAGAAGGCCATGGACGGTATGCGACTGCAGCTCGAGATAGCGGTTCAATATCTCCCAGGTTCGAACAAATCCCGGACATGCCATCGGAAGATATGCTGGGACTTTCTGGAGTGCGCATGGGTAAAAAGAGGCCAACCTCGGGAACAAAGCTCCCGATGCGGCAGGAGGGGTCGCGGGTCATAGCAGATCCCCCGAAATCAGGCAGCGAAGATACAGCGGACAAAAAGGAGAAAGGTAAAGGCCGTGCGACCAGCGTGACAGCAACGCCCCCACGAGCGATAACTCCTGTCTGCGTACACCCGAGCCCGCACGAGCTATCCCAGGAGGTCACACCGAAAGTCGATGCCCCAGTAATTCCGGTGCGTGGACCATCCAGTGGACGTAGCACATCAGCAGCCAGCACCCGCCCAGGAAGCAGTTCTAGGACGCACTATGAGGCTGACACCAAGGATTCCACGACTAGTCCGTCCGAGTCCGTATCAGGGTTTTCCGCGGCAGTGATGTCTCAGCCGGAGACAACTGGTAGTGCGAGGAAAATAAAAAGGCGGTTCGTGCAGTGGACGAAGCCGCCGGCCGCTTGTAAGAGGCCATTCGGTGCTCTAAGCGTGGAAGACTTGAGGATATATTTGCATTTGGGTTTCGATACAGTGAGTCTAACTACACAACTGAAGTAAAAGCATTCTGAGTGAGGATCTCGAAGATAACGGAGTTGACGAGGTGAGCCCAATGACTCTTATAGTGCTACCAATACGAATCGACTTTCCTCAAACGCGGAAAGGTTACCTCTGGTGAAGGAGCACAGAATGAGAGTCATGGTGGACGGGAAGAGGGCCTTCTTATACGAGCCTTTCATACTGGAGACGCCCAGCTCCTCGTACCTGATCGATTGGGGGACCGACGATACAAACCGGGAAACAGAGCGGTACATCCTTGGCGAAGATGAGGCTGCTACTGTATTGCATACTTTCGTATACCCTCCAAAAATGGCAAGTCAATGTATTTTTGCAAGGAGCGATTATACTCTGACCGGTTGGGTAATTCAGGAAAATTGGTTTTACATCGGAGCCCTCCGCTGGAAGCGAACACAACTGAGAGATGTGTGGAAGACTCTGGTACCTAAGGTGAGGCCACAAGTAGTCCGTCATGATAAAACTTGCTGATTGCCTGTGCAGGCGAAGCACCAACTGACAGTCAAGCTAAGAGACAGATGTCCGGAAGGGCCGGGCGTAGCCGACCTGGCGGAGATGCTCAACACCCAGCAGCTTAAACAGCTGATTTTTCATCTGGATGCAGATCAGCATATCGACAGTTCCTGCGCATTTGCAGAGGAACTTACGGAGAGGATGCAGATGAGACGAGGCCCGGGTTCTCCGTAGAAGGCTGTCCTCGTCGTTCTGGCCTCGAATGCGTACTACAGTGTGCTGGCGTAGATACGTATAGCTGATGACTGCCACATTCCGTCTGCTGCACTGGATTTAGGCACTATACGTGCCGAGCCGCTTTGCCGAGGATGATTGGCAAGTGATGGCCGGCTTGAGACAGAAGCACCGATATTGCATGCTGACTAAGCTGGTCGTTTAGGCGGGTTCTGGACAACGTCGGCCTGCTCACGAACTGCGACGACGACGACCTCTCTCTGTACTTCATACACACCGGCGAGCCCGCCGTAGCCTCTGTTCTCTTCAACGATGCGTCGCTCGCCGTCATGCGCTGCGCGCATCCTCACAATCTTTTCCCTTGCACTCCTTTGCTCACTCTCCTTTACTGTCGCTCTGGCACACCCCGCCGATATTAACGGCATCGTGCTGAAGAGACAAGACGGTCCCAGCGGTCCAGCGAACCCGTCTGATACGCCTGGTCCTAGCAGCTCCTCGTCGTCGTCTTCCCCTGCGACCACCCCTTCCAGCAGCTCTTCTGCTGAATCCTCCATTTCGGTTGCATCTACTACGTCGGATACCCCGTCCACGTCCCCCACTACAAGCTCAACTATACCCTCAACTACTTCCACTTCTTCGAGTGTCGAGAGCTCGTCATCGACCTTTTCTTCTTCGTCTTCATTTTCCAGCTCTGCGCCTCCTAGCTCGTCGTCGAGCGTTGTCACTACTTCGTCGTACGTTTCACTGCCTAGCGCATCTTCAAGCCGCCTGAATTAACCGTACGTACAGATCTCCGCCGTCCTCATCGTCTAGGCCATCCAGCTCGTCTACCCTTTCGACCACGTCTGTGTCCAGGACTACGGCCAAGGCTATCACTGTGATTGCGACCACCACCACCCCCGCTAATGGAGGTACGACTCTGATAAGGCCGTCGGCTACATCCCTTGCGCCCGCTACCACCGTCTCAGCATCAGCTTCGGCATCGTCTACTCCCAAAAGGTCAGTCTAGCTGCTGCATCACTGCCTCGGGCATGCGTTCCTGACAATATGACCAGTTTCCTCGAAAACAAAGGAGCTACGGCAGCTGTCTTCACAATTGTCGGATTAGCAGGCTTGGGCGTCGTTGTGGGTGCGGCAATGTTCTTCTATAAACGCCACCGCCGTGACGACGAAGAGGAGGACGTGTATTTCGAGAAATACAACGATCCGGAGCCGTCCACCGATATGGCTCAAGTGCACGGCAGTTACGGGACTATGGAGCCGGCTGCTACGGAGGCGATGGCGCCCGCGGCTGGTCACGATGCGTACCCCGATCGTACGGTCCATTATGGTCCGTCAATGGGCCAGGAATACGACGCCGCATACGCGCAGAACTATGATCACCAGCAGTATGGCATGGAATACCCGCCTAATACGGCGTATGCGAATGCCACGGCGCATGAGGGCGAATACCAATACCACGGATACGACAACGAGCAGTACGCTGCTCCCTCTGCTTACGAGCCCGCTCCAGTGCAATATGAGCAGCAGCTTTCGCCGACCGGCCATCCTTTCGCCGACTCGAGGCATGCGGCTAGGGCTGGTGGTGCGCCTCCGGTCTCACCCAACCCGTCAGGATACTCTGGAGACTCGTACTACTCGCCTCAGTAAAATGGGGGCGCAATCTTGACTTCAATTCGGTACGATACATTTGTTGTTTATAGTTTTCGATACGGACGTGCCTAGCTCAATGCTATCCTATCCTCGGCTCTAGACATAGTGTACATATCCATACGCTACATGTAATGTGGCCTATCTATCATGTACGCCGGTCTGTGACTGCGCGAAGGGGATCCGCTGGGTTGGAGAGGAAAGGGCAAGGGAGCTATTACTTTGATTTTGTGTTCATGTGATTTGTACCAGGTCATATGCGTCTAGCATTGCGTTGTTGTTTGTCTGATTGTACGGTTTGGGACTCTAGACTGCATATGACCTGTAGAAATTGGATATAAAAGCCCCCGGACTCGAGGGTAACTGGGAAGTGCGGGGTCGTGGGCGCCAATCACCATGTTCGCCCGTCCTCTCAGCCACACACTTGGTGTCCTGCGTTACCAGAGACTGTTCACGACAGCGTCGCGGCAAGCGTTTCTAGAGCCTCTGCAAGAACATGCAGGCGTGACATGCCTGTCTCTGAACAGGCCAGAGACGAAGAACGCAATCTCCCTGAAGCTACTTGAGGTAAGGGGTGGACGGCAAGTCTCAGCGAGATGCGTCCTGAACAGTGAGGTAGGAACTGCACGGCTGTCTCGACCATGTCGCGTATGACAACAGGTGAGATTCGAGCTGCCGTGAGGTATTCCTGCAAGAGAACTGATCGTGGTAGTGTAGCGTACGCGTGCTGATCATCCGCTCCACGACGCTCGGATCCTTCTGCTCTGGCGCAGACCTCGCGGAGCGGAGGACTATGACCCCGCTGCAAGTACACAAGTTCCTTGACGACCTGCGCAATGCCCTGGGCAAGCTGGAGAACTTACCGGTTCCCACTATCGCTGCCATTGACGGGCCTGCACTCGGAGGCGGTTTGGAACTCAGCCTCGCCTGCGATCTACGCGTCGTATGTTGCTGCTGAGACGTTGTCCATTAGCCCGTCTTAGTCAGTGTTAGGCAGGACCAAGCGTGAAAGCCTTTGGCCTCACAGAAACCAGACTCGGCATTATCCCCGGAGCCGGGGGAACGCAGCGCATAACTCGCTTGCTGGGCCTTTCCAAAGCGAAAGACTTGATATATACTGCACGGCTTCTGAATGCTCCACAAGCATTGGAATACGGTATAACGTCGTGTGCCTCCTTCCCACCGGCGTGTCTGACCTGTGCTTCGAATTGAAGGACTCGTGGATTATGTTGCAGAAGAGGGTTTCACTGCTTTTGACCGTTCCCTCCAATTAGCCAAGGAGATATCGGTCAACGCACCACTGGCGCTGCGCGCGGCTAAGCAAGCCATCTCTCGAGCGCCAGAGTTATCGTTGGAATCTGGTGGGTTCCCCGTCGAGTGTAACATAGTGTCTGGTCTAAGGCCAAAGACAGGATTGGACTTTGAACGAGCAACTTACGAACCATTATTGAAGACAAGAGACAGGGATGAGGCACTCGCAGCTTTCAAAGAAAAGAGGAAGCCGGTCTTCAAAGGGGAATAAATATACACGGTCAAGGCAAGGCAAAGCGTACTTACGTTTGGTATCTACAATAGCGAGTATTACAACACAATGACAGCAAGATAGCAATGGTGACGGTGCAGGAGTATTAGGGTAACGCAGCGCCAAACGCTCTGGCTGAAAGGGAAAAGCTTCCCGTGAAACCACTTGGTATACTGGGCATATTCATCGTCATCCCCTCGCCCAACCGCAGCCCCTCCAGGTCTTTCATCATCATACTGAGGCGTCCGACCCCCAGACGCCCCTTAAGACCCTTGCTTTCCGGCAACCCAGACACGGTATCCTCACCCTCGTCGTTGAAGCCGCTCCCAAACTGACCCCAATCGCTTCGTTGGGCGAGGTATGGGCGTAGCAAGGCCGTGTCGATGCGACCCAGGTAGCTGTCCGTGATGAAAGACTTGAGGATATCGGGGCCGAGTAGGAATATGTTCCCGAGTTGACGGATGAACTCGAAACGCTCGTGCAGTGCAGGGATGGAGAATGTATCAATTATATCTTGATATGCCTTCAGGTCCCTGAAGATTCACGCATGGATATGAATATCATGCGAACTGTTGAGAACAACAGCACATACTTCACCAGGACGATACCACCGGTAGCATTGACAGGGAATTTCCGCAGATGCTCCAGAAGCAAGCTGCACGAGATTGATCAGCATTCAATTGCCGAGTTCGTTAAACCACAGACATACCAGTGGAAGGCATTCCCCACTTCCGTCAAGAACACTTCCAGATTCTTACCGCTGAGATTCTGCTTCGCAGCCTCACATACTTTCTCTAGCATCTCGCAGCACGCAACACAGGGCTCTGTGTTCGACGTACGCAAGTCGTCGTTGCGAGGCTTGAAGTCGTTCTTCTTCTGCTTAGCCAGCTGAGCAGATAGCCAGGACACGACGGCTAGCAACAGTAGTTAGTAATGCATCACGGAGCAGCCTTGTCTGAATGAGAACTCACAGTCGGTAATGCGCTGCATGAACGTGTTCGCAGTCCCTTCGATGCGGCTGATCGTCTGGTTATTGAAGACGACCATCTCCCGCCTAACGGTCACGGAAGAGCTTGCAAGAGGGAACAGCGCGATGTTCACGTATTGCTGCCATAGGTGGCAGATGAGGTCGACCGATCGCAGAACGGACAGGAGCTGCAGGTTAGGCTCAGCCTTAGGATCGGCGGCTTCCAGGCGTGCAAGGGCACTACTCCACGTCAGTAGCTGGATTATCGATCCAGCGGAAGGACGTACGTCTCGAGCGCAGTCTCGATATAGGCGCTGCCAATCGCCTCCGCTAGCACTCTCAACAACGCGAATGTATGCTTCGGGCTACATCCCCTCCGTTAGTCCACTGACCTACCAGGACCAGCATGCGTCGCACTCACACATCATTATTCGGCGTAAGCTCTACACATCTTCCAATCGCCTCCGCATGCCACTTCAGCATCTTTTCTGCGACCTCGATGCTGAGCTGCCCGTCTTCCTCCCTTAGGGGCTCCTCCGTGGGCGGCTCCTGCTTCTTCTCCGCGGTGATGCCCCTGAAGCGCATAAACGCCGAGGCAGCGGCCTGCGCGGACGAGGAGGTCAGACCGCCAGCGGTTGAGGTGTCGCTCGCCGCCGCGCTCAGCTGGTTCATCATGCGGTTGAACATCGAGGAAGGGCCTTTGTGTGATTTCTCCTGCGGTCAGGAGTCCGCTCAGAAACGTATATGCAACAGGTTTGATCACTTACGTGGTACCGCGTGAAATTCGCGAGATGGCTCGAGTACAGCTCCCCCAAGCTCCTGCTCTCCTTCTCAAGATAGCGCTGGCCCTCCGTATACGGCACGAACAGCTCCTCCATGACCCCCTCGAGCATCGAGCTCAGCGACGCGGTGGTGGCCGCCGCCGCCCCCGACGCGCTCGGCGCGGCGAGCATCGAGCGGCGGAACTCAGCTGCGTCGACGGGCGAGCGCGGTGTGACGGAGGGCAGCTCGTACGACTTGAGGTCCTCGACGAGGAGCGAGGTCTGCAGGTGCACGAGCTGCAGTATGCGCAGATAGGCGAGGTCGGAGTACGTCGCTGCTTTGTTCAGCAGCTGCTCGACGTATTGCTGGATCTGCAAGGGAGGGGGACGTCAGTTGGAGGGACGGGGTGTAGGTTAAGGGGTGGACGCACGGATTGCGCGAATATGCGTTGGAGGAATACTTGCATGACGTAGGGAGGATTGGGAAATACTGCTTGTACGATTTGGGCCTCCTGGCCGACGGTCGTGCGGATCTCGGCGAAGAGCTCCAGCAGACCGGACTCGGTCTTGGGCGGGATGCTGTCAGGTTCGGGAAGCGCTTGCCATCTGCCACGCTTGGTGAGTGGGGGGTTACTCTACGAATAGGAGCGCAAACGCACAAGATGGTATCGTTGCTGGTCGTGGTTTCTCGTATTCGGTTGATGAAGAAGTCGTGCTGGTTGACGTAGACTTGCACGCAGGATGCCCCTCCGTTGAAGTCCAGCAGAGTTTGCGCGCAGTGCTGAACCATATTCAATACCCTGGAGTCAACCAGTTCCATCCAGTCGACTTACGTGCATCATCTTCGGATCCCCCTTCCTGTAGCACCTATCGAACAGGTACAGCATATCCTTTTCAAACTTCTCGCAGTACTTGTCGATAGCTTCCCTTGTCTAGTTGATACATGAATACAAGGGCACACAGACGTGGCTTCCCGCACCTTCTCAGCAGTGGGTAGGTCGACCTCCTTCGCGACTGTGCTCAGGCGGCGCAGGATGACAGCGACCTGTCGGCGCCCCTCCCTGCCTTCCTTCTTTAGAGCGTCGAGTTTGGAGGTGTCGTCGCGAGAGAATTGGTTGTAGTAGTCGATCAGGTCGTAGGCGGCTTGTGCGCGTTGCCGTTCGAGGTGGACGGACTCGAGCTGCTCGCCTTTGATGTAGCGGGTGAGCCGGAGACATTAATATGGAGGAAGAGGTCTCACCAATCCTGATAGCTGTCCGTCCGACCTCGTTCATGCGCGCCTCCATACCTGAGAATGAATTTCCGACGGCCTACCGGTGGGAACTCACTCCTCCGCCTTCCCCACTCGTAGCTAAGGGCACATACCTCAAAGCCCTTATTCAGGTCCGCCATCTTCTTGGAGTACTCCCGCTCAGCAGTCCTGACCGTCCTCTCGAGCTGCTCCGTCCGGGCCTGCACATCCTTTCGCACTTTGATCAGCCTGTCTACGGCCTCCTCGAAAGTCCGGATGAAGGGTTTCGGGTCAAATGCTAAAGAGCCACTGGCTCAGTAAGAAACAACAGACGTGGGGGAGACCTACGGCCTGCATCAGACTTGGACTGGGTAATGAGACGTTCGGAGACCGATCCAATGAAGTCCTTCACGTCGAACTTGCCCTTGAGAGAAATTAAAGCTATTAGTACTTCAGCAAGTACAGTGCTTTCCGCTCATACCTCAAATGCCTTGAGCTGAAGATGCTCCTCGATGTTTGGATCCATGTTGTGTTACGCCAGAGCCGTATCGTATGCACAGGCTGAGGTTGTCGGACGGGGCCCGGTGATCTAGCGACGCGTCTGGGTTACCGGACAGGGACCCCGGACTGCGCGATCGAGTGCTTGACTTCAAATTCTTCGCGTTGTGTGCAGCTTCATGGCTTCCGAGGCGGGCCACCCGCTCAAGGCTTTCCTGCAGCTGCAGCTGGCGTCCGACTCGTCTGCTGTCCTGCACCTGCCCTCTGTCTTCAGCGCCCTCTCCCCCGACTCCTTTTCCCCCTCGCCGCATCTGCAAAAATGGACCGCTCGCGTCAATTCCTTGGTACACGCGCAGGATTTCGGTGCTCGCTGGGCCGGACTCTGTCTCGCGTACAGGACAGCCGTTCTGTCCAAGCCGGTGATGCTGGAATGTGCGCATAGCTGGATCGGAGCTGCTTTACCTATGCTTTCAGTCCGTGTATTGATCAGCTTTACCGTTGCACTCCGAAATTCATGCATTACCTTGAAAGAAAAATGAACCGTTGCCCAACTTGAAAGCTGCCATCAGGCTGCTGAGGTATATATTCTCAGGTGCTACCGACACACCGGAATTCCAGAGGCAGTTGGTCACGCCCAATATCCCAAAATATAGCCAGGCCATCATTGCCCTGGCGGAAAAGCAGGACGATGCAGTTCTAAAGGTACTAGTGACTTCACAAGAAACCTCTTTGTGCTCATAAAGTTTAGATCCTGGCGTTGAACACGTTGACAATGCTTGTACCACTGTATCCCACTTTGCACAAAGCCCTGCACGGCTCCCTGTCTTCCTTGACCCTTCGTTTTCTGAACGGAACGGCACCGACTCCACTATCAAGTGACCTCGTAAAGGCAGCATCGCGCCTATATGCCGTTCTGCACTATACCGGAGGCAAGGTCGGCGCCGCCGGTCAATGGCGAAAGTCGCTAGACGATACACTGGCTTTCACTTGGAGTGCTTTGAACAGATTATTGTCCACATTCTCGAATAGCGGTGCGTCAAGTCGTATTTTATTGTCGTTACTTTTGGACCGACCGCGGACTGCAGGAGGGGCACCAAATACAGCACCGGCGACCGGCGATGCTTTGACGAACGTCGCATTGAATACTGACCGCTTGAGATGCGGCATCACAGTCCTATGCGCGCTTCTGAGGTACGTTCCTGGCTGTCGAAGACAGTACATCCATTAATCACCTGGCCCAGATCCACAAGCTCTCGTCCTGTCCAAGTGCCAATCAATTCCGTGCTTCAATTGGTCACAGCCATGCTCAGCTACACGCAAGACGAACAGGTCTCCGGGCCGATCGACCAATCGCTCCGCGCCGTAGAAAATTCCGCTATCCCCCTTGTCTGGTCTCTGGGATGCGACCTTTTGGTGTCCTTCGTGAACTGGTAATTACGCCGCCATATTATCTTGGTTGGCATATTAAAGCTATAGCATAGCGTTCGGTACCACCTGACTCCGCATGTCCCGCGCCTGCTCACTATAATCGCATACCATCTAGAGCAACAATCACTAACCCCGTACGTCCCCCCTCCCCTCCCCCCTCTCCTACTCACCTCCTCTCCCTAGCCAAACGCGCCTCGCATTCCTCCGCGCCCTCCCTCCCCTCCTCTCCCTCACCCACCCCTCGCACGACGCCATCGCCCTCAACCGCCTGACCCGCGCTATCCTCCCCTCGCTCACGATCGTGCTCCTCGAGCGCCAGGCCGACACCGCGGAGAGCAGCGTGCGGAAGAGCCGGAAGGGCAAGAAGCGCCAGCGCGGGTATGAGGGCGACGAGCTGTTCAATGTCGCCCGAGAGGTGATTTGTCCGTCGCCTGCGGAGGGGGAGGTCGTCCTGGCCGCTCTCGACGGTAATTCGACTCCCCGCCATCCTTATATATCACTCAACATTGACCGAACAATTCTATTGCAGCGCTTCAAGCGCTATCGCGCAACCCGCATCTCTCGCCCGCCGTGCAGTCCCTCTCGGGCCGCATCCTGCTCTCGATGCTCCTCTCCCTCCCGCAGATCCCCAAGGGGCTGCTGTCGCCGGACCTGCGGATGCACGAACGGCTCCTCGCGAAGGTGCAGAGCCTCTGCGTCGAGCTGGGCGTCGGCACGACGAGCACAATGAGCAAGAGCCTCGGGCTTGTCGTGAAGGGCTTGTCTGGAGACAACGACCGTTATGTAAGCTGTTTGAGGATTTTTCACAGCGGTCAATGCATGTGCTGACAATCGTGTCTTGCAGCTGCATGTGATGGATCTGATGGTACACCCGCGGCTCCCGCCGTTGCTCAGGCCCTTGCCGCACGTCGAGTCGCTATCACTGTTCCGCGGAGAAGAGGGGGAGGAGGAGGCGCAATTGCGTGAGGCGCTGCATTTGGTACCCGGCGAAATCAGTGTGCCGAAAAATGAAGTACAACATCTGAGGAGCGACTACGATGCTCCTCGGCAGCCTCCTCGCACTTCCTTCTGGGACCCTGTCGTACCGAGGACGAGTGTCCCTAGCGAACCCGTCCCACGATCGACTGAGGCTATCACAAAAGCTACTGTCGCTCCGCTACATGCGGTCAGCAGTACTCCGTCTACATCCAAGGCACCTCCCCAACCTTCCCCCATCCCCGAAGCGATGCCCATCCTACCGGCTCGTGCCCGGTCCTCCACGCCTTCCTTACCGCCGCCTCCGGAGCCGCTCAATTCGTCGCAGGCAGGGCCGTCGAAGATTCCCGTGCGCATACCCGAGCCGGAGCCTATCCCGGTAAGGGTGGAGGAAGAGGAGGACGAGGAGATGCCGGCTATTAATATGGATTCCGATTCAGAGGGGGAGTAGCCCTATGTTTAATAAGTGTCTTGTAGCCGCTTGTAGGCAGTAAGCTGTAGTGAAGATGGATCAAGCGCGGACGCGTTTGCGAGGTTGGCCGTCGCTGTCGACGTTCATGGTGTTTTCGTCATCGGAGTCGGGCGGTCCCACTTGAGGATTTTGGCTGTTAGATGCCTGCGACATCGATGGCAGCTTGAAGCAAACCCGCGAGTGAGTAGGGGTATGACCTTAAGATTTTGTCAGACGATGTTACCTTCTCCAAGAACCCTTGCACCACGGTGTTGTCCGGGTCGAGTATTTTGCTTCGCTCCAGGTGTGTCTTCGCCGTGCGGAGGAAACTCGTGTCGACTGTGTGACTTTCTCCTTGAGGTTGCGAGAGATAAAGGCATATTAGACCCGCGTAGGCGTGTAAGACGGGGTTGTCTTGGTACGGGAAAGAAGGCAGATACCTAACATCCAAGTCAATAGGATAGTCTAGTCAGATAACGACACTTACAGGTCTAGCTCGTCAAGTGCTTCGTTATATCTTCCTGCTTGGATCAATCGCAGGACTAGCTCTCGTAGGATGGTTTGTTTCTGCGGCATATATCTCAGTCACGGCTTCTGCAGTGACATCTGCCCGACTTACTTCCTCTGGGTAACGAAGCATCATAGACCGCAGGAAATCGATAGTCCGAGCGCCTTCATTCTGAGCATGCCCATCCTTATCCGACATCAGCAGGAGGACCGCCGTTGTCCACATCGCCTTCCAGTGTATTTCTTTGCAACGCGCTAGGATAGCCCAGGCCTTGCGGGCTCTTCCATAGTCCCCTCGTTGGATGCAGAGTTGCATGACATCGTAAAGCCGTCGTATGTGCACTTTCCGGGAGGTGTCAGGGCTTTTGGAGTTTAGCGATGCAAAGAGGAATTCGGATCTGGACATGATCGTTGCATGATCGCGCGACGCGTTCAAGTTCGCGCCCGTGACCTCGACTGCACAAAACCCTCAGTCTGAGCTCCATATAGCCCAGCCTTTATTATACGGCTACAGCGAACACCATACCACGACGAGTGTAACGACTACAACATACTCGATGGAAGACGACTTATTCGGTACATCCATCTGGGGGGCATCCACTTCGTCCGATCCTGTCTTGCAGGCACCCCCGAAACCTGACTCGGACTTCTCTGCCTTCGGAGACTCAACAGTCCGGCATGAGGAGCCAGAGACGGGTGACGATTTTGATGACTTTGGACCTCCACCAGAGAGCGCTGGAGAGGATCAGGAGGATGACTTTGGGGACTTTGGAGATTTTGGAGACGTGCAAGCAGTGGACAGCGTAGGGGCGTTCGAGGAGGAAGTACCGTTCGCCGAGGAACCGCGAGCACCACTATCGGTGCTTGATGATTGGAAACCGCTGCAAGTAGATCCTATACCGAGCAAAGAGGAGCTGGAGGAGCAAGTTGACTATATACTCCGGCCTATATGGGCTCATGACGACTACCGAGAAGTCTTCACGGACGAAGATGTCAGACAAGCGGAGGGCCCGAGTCAAATATTAGTGTCTCCAGAGAGGTGCCTATATCCCCTGCTCTCCACGGAGGTTGACCAATTGAAACGTAGATCTCTCTAGTCGCGAATTCTACAAGAACCTATTCAAGGAGCCGCCCACTACCAAGGTTCCGAACTGGACTCGATCCGAGATCAGGAGACGACATCTTATTGCCCTAGGCATACCGGTCAACCTCGACGAGATACTGCCGAAGACGAACGGAAAGGCGTTGCCACCATTGCAGATTACTACACGACCAATGTCTGCGCCGCCTGGCCCCCGAGGGGATCCATCGTCGAATGCCCCTTCACCAAGCCGCTCGCGTGTGCCTACACCGCGCTCTGGTACACCTCAACAGCGTGATAGACCTTCCACCGCGGCACAATTGGGTTTAGGTCCCAAGCCGGACCTCGATCAAGGCAAGGTTGATAGTCTCCTCTCACTCGACGCAGGTTTGTCTTTTCACCTTTATCTGGTCGTAACATTTGCTGATGACCCATGTCAGAATCAATGGCTTTGATGCCCTTACCGAAGCTAGAGTCTTGTCTACGTGACATACGCGCCCAGACTGCAAATGCGTCTGCACTCTTGACGTACCTCCTACAGACGAGGGATGCCCTCCAGCAGGACTCGGAGACATACAATTCGTTGATTGCCGAACTCATATCGGAGGCTCAGAAGACAAAGGTCAACAAAGGGAAGACACCAGCCCGTAGGAGCAGCGGAATGAGATGATACAGTCAGCCGGACGCATCCCAGCGACCCGCATGCGCCTTCGAGAAAGCGGGAAGGTGTCGTCCGTCGCTTGCAGTCTTATAGATCATCCCGTACACCTGACGGAGGGCTTCAAGAGGAGCGGCGAAGGCGCGACAGAGGCGGGCAGGACGTCTACATCATACCCTAAGCGCACCTATTACGTATATGCGTGTTACCCTAGCATATTCTTGCATGCCATTTGGTAGTTGTCTGCTGTCGCGCGAATGCAAGTCGGCCGCCGAAGGCCGTCACTTCGCGAAGGTGTCCAAAACGTCCGACGTGAACTCGGCAAGAGCCGCAGCCACACTCAGCTTGCGACGATGTCTTCAGCCACTTTTGAATCCTTGCCGGTAGAGCTCATAGCTGAGATTCTGAGCGAACTCGACTTACAGTCGCTGGTCACCGCATCATATCTTTCTCGGAGACTGAATCAGATTGTCTCGGATCCCTCTTTGAATCCCTGGAGACGACCCATCTCGCGAAATCTGCAGAGTGGGGAGTATGAGGACTGTCTAAAGCATCTTAGTGTTCGATCGGTGGTCCCTCGACAAAACTGGGTTGAGATATTCAGCCTGGCCCGTTCGTCCTATTTGCTGTTTGAGTCGACGTCGCCAAACCTGAGGAGCGAGGAGTGGGAGGAATGTTTCAAACGCAGGTTTCTTCCAAGTTGGGTAAAGTGGAAAAAGGATTGCAGTTGGAGGGAGGCATACCAGAGGTCCGTTGTCCTCCTGATCTTGCTGTACATTGTAAATGAAACGTAATCGAGACTGCTATATCGGGTTTGGCATCGCTGTCAAACTTCTTGCACGGCGGATGAAGCATGGACAAAGTACGAGATTTGTATTTTAATGCGCAGAGGAGCTATCCTGACAACTTCAGATATATCATTCTTAATCGTAATGGAACTGCCAATGAACTTGAATCCTCGTCGAGGAGCTACAATCCTCTGGCCGTCTTCAACGAGATAAAGTACTTTGCAAGTACTTACTTGAGAAGCTATGGATCTGACTACTGTACGTGGTAGGCTGCAGAGTAACCTCGCTCATCTTGAGACCAGCGTAAGAGTGAGTATGACGGCGCGAGAAGACAGACCGACGTTCAAACGGGACTTTGCAGCTGGTCGTGCAGTTTGCAGATGTACGCATCCTGGCCCTTGGTGTTCTCCATAAACCCAAAGGATTCTTCTCTCTCAATCCGAACGCAAAAGCGTTTCTCCATCCGCCTGGTATAGAGAAGACATACTTGGTTGATGGGAGCAGCGAAAATAGTCTCGGCTCGGAGGCATGTTCCTACGAGGATCAGTCAAGTAAGCCAGCTATGTCCTTCTTATGCTTAGCGCTTATACACTCTAGTAGACAACTTTGGTACAGGCAGCAGCAGCAGATACTGGCCTCTCACCTACCCTGTGCCGGCCCCTTCCCATGCAAATTATCCCTTCTATACTCCCGGAGGGAGAGACAAACGATGGATTGGTTCTGGGCCCCTAGAAGAAGGTGGCCTTGAATGGGTTGGGAGACTCATGTCTGTTCGACTCCAGATTCTTGCCAACTACCGTGCGCAAGTCTGACCTGATCTGTGTAGGTTGACCGCGCAACTACTCGGTCCTATGACGGACATCCATGCAGACGGCCCGCCCTTCCAAGACATGGACTTGGTAGTAGGACCAGGCCGCGGCCAGTACGCGTCATTTACATGGGCGGATCTCGCAGCTATTGCGCCGTGGATGAACGAGAGAATAACGAAACGGATTACCGGTCCTGGTCTGGGCAATTAATTGTGTTTTCACCTGAAAGGTGAACGTTGTACGCATTGTATGTCTAGGGGAAGGGTCGCTGACGTATGCCCTTCTGGGCTCCATTTAGCGACCAGTCTCAGGAACTGTCTATGGCTGTACTATGACAGAGAATCCCTTGATTATTGGTTCCTCGTCAATTGTAGTGTGTCCAACCCATGCTCCGCCTTGACTTTGGGCAGCCCCCAGGCTCTTGCCCATATATTGATCCAATACATGATCCTGCATTTACGTGCCGCACACCAGTCAAAGCATGCTTGCAGTACAGTGGTATCATCTCCCTCGGCTACTTTCCCGGCTTTCGCCGAAACAGAAGCGTAGTGGGTCCTCCGGCTCAAACAAGACATGTCTCAGATAAAGGGCTTCAAGGAAGGGGGTCTTACTCAGAAGGTCCTTTGTCTAGGTTAGCATGAACTTCTTTTTTGTTGCTTGGATGGACGGCAATTGTACACGCCATCTGACCGCTTTCTTCATCGCCTTGAAGGGCGCGGCTGCGACGAGTGTCACTCCCAATCGGTCGCTGATGTCTGCGGTGACGATATGAACAATTGATTCTACGGCACCGATTTCTCAGTTTTTGTCGGGCGACGTACGACTCAGCATTTAAGAGCGGTCTCGCTGGTTTCGCGTCGTCGGCTGGCCTTCTCCGCTCGTTATATTACCTTCTCTTCGATCCCTTCGACCTGGCGTGCTAGTTCACGCCTTACGTACCGGACTAACGACTCTGTGCTGGCCACCAAGCTTCCAGACTCACGAACTTTCTTAATATACTCTAACGACCATATATCATGCCGAGGACCCGTGCAGGCCTTTCAAGGCAGGTGCGCAGGCGCGCCTGCCCTTCATTCGACAGTGGATCTGTTGCCCGCCCTTTCCCTTGCCCCGAGGACGGCTGTCTGTCCGCATTTAACCGTAAGGCAGACCTGAACCGTCACCACGATACTGTGCACAAGGGCATAAGGTGTGTCCATTTCTCACAAGCCCGGAATCGTCTAACTGAGGGGACAAAGGAATTTCGTGTGCCCCCGCCAGGGCTGTGATGCGCGTTTCCCGACGCGGAAGATGCTGGCTGACCATTACAATACCCAGTATGTGGCCGCATGGCATGTCCCGGATGGCGACTGACCGCACACTGCAGCACTGGCGAGAAACCATATCGGTGCAATATTGGCTCGTGCCACGCTGCCTTCGGCGAGGCTGGTGCTGTCTGTCGACACCGCATTGAAGTACACGGCAAGTTGAAGACTCACGTGTGCTGGATCCCAGGCTGCGGGGCACGGTAGGGCTGACATGTCGCGCACATTGATTAGAGGCTAATCATTGGACAGGATCAAGAGACGGTCTGCTTTCAATCAGCACCTTAAAACAAAACATGATCTCCCAGGGCTTCCTAGACTGCATAGGGGTGCTCGCCTGCGGGAAGCATTCAATGAGGGTAACACATCTTCCGAGGAGAGCAATGCCTCAGACGACGATGCCAGTTCGTGGGCCTCTTCATCCGACTCCTCGCGTACGCCCAGCCCAACGATTCACTCCGACGCCGAACTCGTGGCAGAAATAAACCGTGTCTTGACTCTTGATAATGGTACGTTCCACCATTCCTAATTGACATATGTGTAGTGACGGTTATACCAACGTTCATTACAGACCTTGATTGGATCACTGAGTCTTTCCCCGCATCATGCCTCGCGGCGGACGCTCAAGGGTTGCCAGCATACCCTTATCAAGATCTGCACATCGCGGACTTCCCACCGACGTTCATACCTGAGGACCCCACGGATTATTCGTATCCCTCAACTTGGGATCCAATCTTCGACACATGCCAGGTTGATGCGGATTACAACGTTCCAGTTTCTTTCCCCGCACAATATCCTGCGTGTTTTGATGATCTATCGTATTTAACTAATATTCCTTATACCGCTCAACCGTACTAGGGTTTCCCTATCCAACCCGAATTTCTACATTGTATTGATTATATGATGTGTATCCCTTCAGGCTTGTGTCAAAACCGAACTTTCTTTGTATCCCTAGCTCTACTAGTGTATCCTGATGTAGCTCTGCTGGCAAGCACTTACCTATCAACACCGGAGCTGAGATAGCAACATCGCTGCGGTGCACTTCCAGTAACTGCTGCGACGTCCAGTACTTACATGCTCACTACGAGTTACGCACAGGATGTAACTTGAATAATGACCTTCATCGTGGGAAATACGGTATTGCAGTCCTTTGACGCCACAGACGAAGACCCACTTTCACGAGCACAGCACTGCGTCCTTCCCAACTACCCCATCCTCTCCTGGCTTTATCCTCATCTGCGCGCGTCTATCGTACCGGTGCTGCATATGCTGTACGACGCATAGCACATTGTACAGACCAACAGATTAGGCACATTCTAGCGCGTCCATTCTCGAGAAAAATGCTGGCTTCGCCACTCTACCCTGCGCCTCCCTTCTCACCAGCTCGGAATGCGGAGGATTCTTCCCAGTATCGCCCAGCTCGCGACATCGAATCTTTCAACAGTCTTCTCCCCCCTGCTATTGAGTTTGTAGAGGGATCATCTTCTGGCACGTTAGCTGTAGCGGAAGGAAAATATGAGCCGATAAATGGGTCGCCGAAGGCCCGAGCTGTGGCTCAGGTGCGTTCTTATGGTTGTTTCGTATGACGGGCGCTCATACCAGGCTTAAGACTAACGGAGCATCCCCTGTATCGAATGTGAAGACTCCTCAGAAACATAAAGGATCGAATCCCAGCCCATCAACCCCGTCACTGCATTCGGGGACGTTCGATATTTCATGGCCAAATGGGGTCACTGTAGGCTCTGGCCTACAAAACATGGGAAATACTTGCTTTTTGAACAGTGCTTTGCAATGTCTCCTCCATACCCCCCCGCTCCTTAGAGTTATATATGCTCACTCCCAAGCGGACCCGTGTAAGAGCCTTCCTCAACGCACTCCTAGCTTTTGCTAATGCAACGATGTGATGTCTTAAGGTCGAGTCAAGAGTGGTTTCTGCATGGCATGTGCGCTAAGGGCGGTGATGCTGGAAGCGCATTCGGGGAAAAGGCGCGCCTTCAACCCTTACCAGATTAATACCAGATTGCAGGGTGTGTATTATCCATCCTTGTCTGTCAGCTCACGGTTAAACATCCCTTCCAGCTGTCGCGAAGCACATGAGGAAAGGGAGGCAAGAGGACTCCCATGAGTACCTTCGGTACGCTATAGACGCCCTGCAAAAGTCATGTCTGGCAGGTCTGCCGCAGTGAGTGTTACGCGTTTCTTTGCAGAGTAAGACCCTCAAAATACCCCCTGAAGAAAACCTGACCCCAAGCTTGCTGAGACGACATGGGTTCATAAAATGTTTGGCGGCCGCCTCCGCTCAAGAGTGACATGCCAGGAGTGTCAGCATAACAGCGACACTTTTGATAGCATTCTCGACCTCAGCATTGATATCAACAACTGTGGAGGGCTGAAGGACGCCCTGAAGAGGTTCGTAGCTGTCGACTACCTGAAAGGGCAGAACAAATACAAATGTGAAAAGTGAGTATCACATTCCTCATCATCTCGTTGGAACGTTTTGAACCGGGCTTTTACAGATGTAAGAGAGCTGTAGTGGCTGCGAAGCGCTTCACGATACACGACGCGCCTCTGGTTCTCACTGTCCATCTAAAGCGATTTACCCCCATGGGCCGCAAGATTGGACATCCCCTCAGATACGACGAGCGTCTGTCTTTGCAGCCGTACATGAGCGATGGGCAGTACGGGCCTACTTACTCATTGTACGGCATTATCTCGCATGCCGGTGGGGGCCCTAATTCTGGCCACTATTATGCACATGTCAAGGGCAGCAACGGTCGGTGGTACGAGATGAACGACGAGTCCGTCACCCCCGTGCACAGTGCGCCAACGAATATGAAAAATGCCTACATCTTGTTCTACATGCGGGACAAGGGTCAGGCGCTGGAGGCCGCTGTGTCGTCGGTGCCTTCGCGACCTGCAGCTGTCGTTACCAAGACCGGTGTCGCAGCTGCGATGAAGAAACGCAAGATTGTCCAGAGTGACGACGAAGAAGATGTTGGTGTCAAGGCTGCCCCTTCGACGCCGGCACCCTTCATTGGCCCTGTTCTTCCTAACCCGCCTGTGGTAGCTTCTACTAAAGACGCAGAGCAGAGTGCCTCGCGCCCGGACCCGCAGGCAGAGCTTATCAAGAAGAAGATCATGGCTGCGAAGGAGAGTCCGGCTTTGAAGAGTCTTGCCCAGTATACCGATGACGATGATGAGGACGACGATGGAGAGAAACCTGCTTCTGCCACGCAGGATGCGGATCCTAAGCCCCAGGCGGAGGAAGGCAGCACGAAGACGAACCCAGCGGCATCTGCCCCTCCGCCATCACCAGCAGCTCCCCCTTCCACGCCGGCTCCTGCGCCACCGTCCACTCCCGTTACCACCCCTATCCCGCCCGGCAGCTTCTACGCTCCTCTGAACTCGGCGAAGAAGAGTGAGACAGGTAGCGCGAAGAAGCGAAAGTCCCCGGATAATGAGGACGACAGAGGGTCGGAAGATGCGAAGAATTGGGCTCGGCAGCCTCTGACATTCAGCTCGCCCGGGCGATCTCAATCTAAATGGAAGAGTAATGGTGGGGGCAAACGTTCGTCCCTTGCTAACCCGTACAATCGCCTGTCAGGCGGGAATAACCTCCGCTCGCCTCGGGACGATACACACCAATCTCGGAGACCGGCCAAGTACGGCAAGAGGAGGCGGCTCATCTTCTAGAGCTGCGGCAGACGACACGACGTCGATGAGATGATTTATTAATGTTTATTTTGGACTCATTCATCGGTGTACCAGTGCCACTTGCCATTTCATCGCCTTGCACAAGTTTAGCGGAGGCTTGTAAATAGACGAGACGTGTATATACGACGAGTACAATCATAATTTAGCCTTCACGGGCCCTGTCTCTGTAGTCTCTGGTCGCTCCTCCCAGTAAATTACGGTGACAGTGATGTCGTCTCGATACCGTCTGGAGTGTGGTGCGGGTATACTCAACAGCTGTCTTAGCGCCATCTCGTTCGCACCAGCCAAGGCGTTTCTGAGTAGATGTGCGCCAACATGATCATCAACGAATGTCCACTCCCCTGGAACTTGCTTTGGTGCTTGGGCTTTCCCATTGACGGTGGCCGCACCGCTCACAGTAGGCACCAGTGATGGAAGAGTCACCTTGGGTATCGAGCCCTTCAACCCTGACAGGTAGCCTCCAACAAGAGCCACAGCGTCTTCTGATGATATCCTATCCCAAAGCCCGTCTGTTGCCAGGATGACGAAGCGGAAGGTTGACTTCGGCTTCGTTTCGAGGTCGGGCGATGGAAGTGATATGGGGGTTTGGGTCACGACTGGTCGGGATGTGACATAAGGCGGTGTTTTGAGGCGAGGGGATGGTCCTCGCATCTCGTCATTGTCAGGCATGAACGACTGTTTCAGCCTAGTAGGAATGGTACTCAGCGACGTGTATGGATAGTACCAGCATACTCACACTTGCTGAATTTCCCGTGGCCATTTGTATCGCGCATCGCCGAAAGCCCTTGTGGGCTCCAGTCCTCCAAGGACGCGACCGTTCCGGATGACATCCTCGGCTTCATCTTGAGGGTGCTCTGAGCGCATCCTGCAAATGACCTTTGAGTTGATTGATATGCTTGACACGATTCAACCTACAAACCTCTCTAGTTCCTTGGGGTTTCGTCCTGTCTGATCTTCGGAAAGAGCTTCGACACGCCAGTAGCCCGTACCGTCGTTGTTGTCTTCCCAAACGCCAGCAACCGCGCGGCTGTCTCCAGTGCATGCTACGTATAGCCTCTTGTGTGCGGTGTCTAACAAGGCTGCAAGAGCACAACTTCCTGACATGGTAAACATGAGCATACGCCTGCAGGAGAGTGACAGACTACCATACCTGAGAGAGCCGGACGTAAGGTCGCGAGGGCCATGGGATGTTGGCTAAGATCGGGCAAGGTTTTCTTTTCCCTATTAGTCCGATCTATGCTCGCGGCCAACACACGTAACGGCGCATTTATCAGCTCTGAGTCCAGGTTTACGAACGCCCGTTCGATAGCTGCTGTCACTTTTTCGGGGTCGGAGTCGGGTGGTACTGCTGAAGATGGAACGGGCCAAAGTAGAGCTTTTAGGCTTTCCAGGAAGCTAGTGGGAGCCTTGTTGTTCGGGTCGTCTATAACCATCGTCTTCAGCTCCAGCGTGACCGCTGGTATCAGGGTCCTGGAAAGCAAGCGCGAGGTGTATGGACCTGAATGTCCGTCCATGACAGCGAAGAACAAGAAGTCGCCGACTGATCCTCGGGATATGGTATCCCTCGGAATTACGCCATTCGTACTGGCGTCTTCGATAGGATCGTTGGACGCCAAAGAGACTGTCGCATGTTTCCAGCTAATATTGCCTTGCGAGGCAATGGTCTCCACGACTGCGTTTTCTTTGATTCGTCTCTCGACCTCATCCTTGGGGAGCAGGGGCACGGTCAGCGTGCTCATCGAGGCCTTGCCGTCCGCTCCCCGGACTCTGACGGGAAATTCAAATGTTTCGGAGTTACGGGACCTGCTGTAGGAGTACCAGAGATAGCTTGATGTTCCGGCGATACCTGTTAGGGCTGCGACTGGCTTCCAGGCGCGTCTCAGCATTAGGGTCTGCACAACGAATGTACCGAGGGCCCGCGCAGTCGGTGAAGTGTCGCAAGACTAGGACCTTTCAGAACCGATTTGTATATTGGTTTACAAGAACTATAACTTGGACTTACGCTTCACCCTTGAAAGCAGGTAGACGGCCGAAGTCACACCGGCTCTAGTATCTTCTGCGCTATAAGAGAGTGCCTTATATGCGATAACTCTGATGCTCACAGTTTGCTTCAGACGCAGTTTGCCAGCTTTCGTGGTTGTCTATGATTCAGACTCGAGAATGAGTGACTGGCGTGGTCGCAGTGAATGAGCCACCGGCGCTTGAATGGGAAAGGTCGCGCGTGACGCGTCGCGGTCTCACGTGACGATTCCAAACGTTACCGCGGTCGCTCGGTACCGTCCATCGTCTACACACCGTGTTGTAATCCAGTCATCTACTCCCGTTGTCGTCTATCCCGGGCTTGCATCGAGCCCTCGTCGCTCATACTGGCGCTTCAGATCATTCTTGAGAGCTTCTATAAGGGCCTCTTTGGCTCCAACGAGGACAAGTCCCGCTCAATGTCGGATAACGGTGGCGCTTCGGGCGGCTTGGACTCCTCGCAACAGGCAGGCAGAAATGTGCAGGGAAGTGTTGGCAAAGGAGATGTTGTCATGAGCATGGAGCGCAATGACAAGGAGCTCTCGCATGTAAGTCGAGACTCGTCTGGTGGGGAGCGGGTGACCTCAAAGGATCCGTGGTGTATGCCTCAAAAGCCAACTGAAACAAAGGAGACTGCGTCCATGATACGAAGACTCACTTCGCAGAACAATGCGCAACCCAAACAGCCCCGACGGATCGGCGAGTCCTATGCCCCTGCCACTTTGGCGTTGCATAATATCAAAGTACGCGATTTTGCGTACGAGAGCACGTTGCCCCCCCTCCCCTCCATTACTTTCCCCGTCCGCCCAGTACATATGGGCCCGAGGCCTTTGAAAAGAGCAAGGAAGGAATACGACGACGAGCCTTTGTGGGCGCGTATTGCCCCTAACGACTATCGAGCCTTCCAATCCAAACGAGCTAAACAGTTGGTACGAGTTCCAACAGAGCCGGTAATCGACGACGAAAATTCCCAGCCCAGGCGAGAGCACGCCTACGCCGATCTATCAGATTATTCCTCTCAGGAGCCTGAGTCACAGAGTCAAGACGCCGGCGGTGGCAGTTCTCACCGCCCCAAGCCTTTACAAGGTGAACCGACGCTGCCGGTCTTCCCCGTCCGGATGCCTGAAGAACAAGATTTCAATCGCGAACGTACTCCATCTGGCGATACCGAGCCGTATGTAGATACTCCGATCGTGACGCCCAACGGTTCTCTGCAATTCAAAGACGTGGCCTCAACGACCGACCCAACATCCTCTTTGAACACCGCGACTCCGGCCCAGGCGTTAGTCGATGTATTCACCGAATCCTCTCGACCCGCGTCTGAAGTCACAGGCGTGCAGAACGGCTTCCGCCCATCTTCCCCGTCGGCGCTCCCGCCCGGGAGCACACCTGTGCATTCATCCGGCTTGTCGTCGGGGGACGAATCAGATTCCGGGTCTCCACCCCGAAACAAATCTCGGCGAGTCAGAATAATCAAGTCCGACTCCCCGCAGCCACCGAAGAACGAGACGAATGGTGCAGAGCCTCCAAGATACTTTTTACGAGAGCGGCGTGTATCTAGGCCGCCGCCGGCCAAGTCATCCTCTGCAAGGTCACGATCACGATCGAGGCGAAATGCCAGTCCCTCTCGTCGGCAAGCTGTTAAGCCGGCAGCACCCAAGTCGCTGAAGAGAGAGAGGAGAGGAGCTTCCCGGGTGCGCAACTCTGATGACAATACGACGTCTGCATCATCTTGAGGGGACGTTACTCGAGCTGTGGTCACCTACTGACTTATGAGGTATGTTTCGTCGATGTTCTGAGTACCCGTCGTTGACTGATGAGATTTATCCTGCCAGATATTTATCCTGTACCTGTACGTATGCCGATGTTGTATCTTGGGAGATTACGGGGACTATAGTAAAGGATTGTCTGTATCCTTACTGTTTCTTGCAAGTTGGCCGATGCACGATCACTTTACGTAGATGTGATCAGAATGTGAAGCACGATGGCGAGGGTATATAATGGCAGTACAGATGTACGAGACGTTAGCGATGTATATAAATCTCCGGACAAGAGATACCCAAAATACAAGAACTATATCCCATGCCCATCAGCTTAACCAGCCTCTTCCCATGGCGTACCGCAGAACTTCTCTTGCGCTGCGGGGTCCCTCCAGTGTCGGTATTTGCTTTGACGGTACGTGGGTCTTTCTCCTCCCACTCTGACCCGCATTAGGCTTCAGAAAGGGTGACACGACGGCAGCGAGCAGTTTTTCCACTTCAACAAGGCACTCGTAGCATTCTCGTTCGGTGAAGGTATGCTCGGAGATGGTTGACGTCTTACGCGAGACGGGTGGAGGCTTCAGCCGTTTGGAATGGAGCAGTTTGAGTGTCAGGTAGTGCAGCCACTGTCGATCGGTTAGCTAGCCGAGTCGTATCATGTCCAATTCACAGACACTTACCATGACGTTGGTTAGGGGTCGGAAAGCCGACCACGACTTGCCTATATGCTGGCGCATCATTCTGTATATGTCGAACTGATAATCGCCTGAGAACTGTGGTTTCATTACCATGAACGCCAATATCGCGTAAAGTCGACTGACCTGTGCCTTCGAAAATCTCTTCATCAAACGGTGTCCAATGAGTCTGGACACCCTCGTCGTCGCCCGCGTCCATGCGCGCAAGACCAAGGTCGATGACAGTGGCCATGACACCATGGCCCGGGCTATCCATCAAAACCTTGGACCGGGGGGCTTTGCGCATCGGTCCGACTGATGTATTCTTCACCAGGATCTGGCCCCAGTGTAGATCGCGATGCTGAGGATGAAAACGGTTTGTAAGTCGTCCAAAGGGTATCGGATATAGTTACCTCGAATGAGACTAGGTCTTCCGCTTCGGCTAGGGCCCTCGTGACCTGCCAGAACACGCTGCAGGCTTGACGCCATCCGTTCTTGCTGGCGGACGTGAATGTGTACGACTCGAGATCCGGTCCACCGTTCGGCAGGACGATGATAGCGTACGTTTGCGACACAGGGAAATTATCTGAAGGGGAAGACGAGCAGCTCGGATCAGGCAGGCCCTTGGAACGTGCAAGGCAATTTACCTGGCCGGACGCTCTCCGAGCCTTTGGTTTCGTAGAAGTCATCCCATAGATCCAGTAACAGGGAAGGATAACGACCCCGTACGACATACGTCCGCAGCAGCTTTACGAAGCCGTCGCACATCTCGCCCATCGCTCTCGTCACGATGATCTCCTTCAACACGTCTTTGGCATCACTGGGAGGCGGCGTCTCCACATCAGCGGGAATAAACTTCCGCGCTTGTGGCTCTTCGTCCCGCAGTGGGATTATCTTCAAGACCACATCCCCGATGCCGAAGACCTCCGAGTACGACGCCTCCCCGATCTTGCGGAATTCGTACCTGGATACCGGGGGCCCGGTGGGCGTGTCGAGCGGGCGGACGACGGGGTCGAAAGGGAAGGTCTCGATGAATGCTGAGAATTCGTGCGGTGTATCCTGACAGCATTCTGCAAGGAGTGGGCGGAGGTATTCCGGAGGAGGTGGGGATTGCTTTGCGGCGCTCGGCGTGATCGCGAGGTCGGATAGCTCGAGGGACAGATCAAAATCAGAAGGGGTCGTCGGTGAAGGAGGGGAGCCGGCATGCGGGAACAACGCCGCTGTCCTGTACCTAATAGGCGTCAGCTTGTGTGTCTTGGAAGCATGGGGGACGGGCGTTAGGAAGGTGGCGGGGGCACTTTTGGGCAAGTGGTACGGTGGCTCGTCGAATATGAGTTTCATGCTGGGTGCATGAGTAGGAGGCGGATTAGAGCGTTTCGGCGGGTCAAGATCAGATGGGGAGTCGTCGGAGTCGGATGATATGACTGTCGGTTTGGCCCGCCTTCCTGCGCGTTTCTTCAGTTGAGGGATTTCCTCGGCCTCCTCCTCGCTGTCAGAGATGACAATGGGAGGGGACTTAACCTTGGGTTGGGGAGCCCGGTACGTAGTCCGGGGCAACGGTTGACTAGCTATTCTCATAGGATTTGTCACTACGTCCGGCCTTGAGACCCTTCGCTCCTGGCTGACCATCCTGACTCCGTCCAAAACGATGATGTCCATGTTCACCGCTGGTGAGTGAGGCTTCTGAGGCTTCGGGGGAAGCCGTTTCGAGCCTGCTACACTGGCCTTCTTCTTCGTACCGGCATAAAATGCAGGAGAGTTCGGGGGTACTGAGGCGAGCGGTGGTCGAGGACTGGCTGCTTTGGATGTGGTGACAGCTTTCGGTGAAGCCTTAATTTGCCTGGAGACTTGCCGCTTCCTGATCACCTTCGCAGCAACCACAGGCGAAGGCGACGAGCTCATGGGAGAGAGCTGTTTTGCTGTCTTCTGGACCCGTTTCGCTCGGGGAGAACTCTTGGATGAAGAACTGTGTAGCTCTATATATCGAGTGGCCTTTGGTGCGTCTGGCACAATATTATAGACTCTTCCTTCATCCCAGTCTGCGCTGCGCCGGTCGGAGACGCTCACGATCCTTTGCCCTCTCCTGCCATACGCCGTCACTTGTTTTGTCCTCGTTCCAAGCATGATATCCACCCAGGCTGGAAGACGGAAAGAGAGACAGAGCAGCGAGTCCTTGCTTGCCACAGAACAGGCTATCGATGGTACTTGCAGAAGCAGCGTCGGTGGCGGTCAGAACGAAGCACGATCGCGACAACGCGCGCTGCGGTCACATGACCGATCGTTCAAGAAGTTCAAGTTGGGCTCACAAGTCACAAGTCACACACAACCAAACAAACGCGTCAATAAAGCAGAACGCGTCTCTCGCTTTCCTGCAGTTCCCTCTCTTCCTTCTTCGTGTGCCATCGAAACCCTCGCTTTGCACTAGCTCGCGTTTTCTGCCGATTCTTGAATCCATGACACTGCATCATCGCGGCAAGAGTCAATGGACGGAGGAACTTAGGTCAGAAGGCTATGTGCTGCTTCGCCGTTCGGCGCCAGATACCCTATCTACGTCGACCATTCGGAATCCAGGGGAGGCAGGTACCTGCTATTCAAATGGCTGAACATACCTACGACGATGCAGATCCTGACCTGTTCGGTCTTTAATGACGATCCGACTACGTCAGATAGCTTCAAACGGGAAGACTTACCAGTGGAGAAATAACCGCTACTTCGGGAAGGAGTTATGGGGCATAGCTGCTACCTTTATCTCCCTCAGGGACCTCACCCACTTCCGCCTAGTGCGTTATGTTCCCTCTGTATGATGTCCTGATGCGTTCCACACTCAGCACCTCCGAGCTCCGTTATATGGGATAACTTCCAGCAATAAACCTTCGAGGAGGATCCATTCACATGTTTCCTTGGCTTGAATGACGCGCATTGTTCCTGCCACGGAAGCATGGGGACGAATCCGTGAGATCGCTGGGGCACATTCGCGGCAGCACCTCCGAGGATCTCTACCGTTGGCGAACGGTATTTTCGCACGTACACGCCACGAAGCCCCCGGCTCGAGGAACACTCATACAGAACACTTTGTGCCGTCATCTGACGTCTCCTTTTCCAACAGAGCTCGGTGAGGCGTATAGTCCCCGATGGGTCGATGATACCAGATGATACTCTGCTCGGCGGGGTTTCTTCGGTGTACAATTCAGGCTGGAATTTCTGACCGCCGCTCAAGAGCTCGGATAGCCGACACCATCACTCCATTGTCCTCCTGGAACGGAGCCCCGACGGCGTGTCGAACATGCACCAGCCTGTTTCACAATCCATGCGCGGCGCGCCCCTGTTCCCGGGCGCTCGGGATCACTACGCCCGTTCCGTGCGCCTTGGTCGCCGTCGGACAGTATGGCCTCGGACCCGCGAGCGTTATCTAACCACCCATGGAATTCCCGCCGCTTCCCCGTTTCCTCCGGCTAGCTTCCTCATTCTCCCGGCCTCTTATCAGCGCATCCGAGCTCCGTCCCCGGGACCATCTTTCCTCCCCAAGCGGCCCTGTATGTATTCGAGGATGAAATTAGGATGAGATTCAGATTACATAGATTGATTCAGCTCATGAAGATACATAGACATTCGCGGGAAGTCCAGTATGTAGAGGCTGCCAGTGTGATTGATACATTGGTGGAGATGTATATGCGTGCGATGTCAAACCAGAGCCCCGTGTGTGTATGGAAGATCCAAGAAAAGATATGTACCGCGAAACCGAAGCAAATAAGTCAAGACCAAGATTGGACGGGATGGATAGATGGACGGGACCGAATGCGAATCATAATGCAGGGTGATGAAGAACGGAGGAAGAGAAGATGCAGGGAGAATGTAGTCAAATGTAACGTGAAGAGTATTTTCGAATGGGGGGTGGGTGGGTGGGTGAGGTATCGGGAACAACTAGTGGTACAATAGTAGTTGGACAACATATTTTGCGGGTGGGGTATGATCCAAGATCCAAGAAGGAAATTTTGAGTACAGTTGCGTGCGGCCCGGATATGTACAAGGAAGGTCTTGTCTGAATGGATGCCCGTCGTAACGTCCATCGTAGCCGGTCGTGGAGGATGTCGTGTCTTGAACTGCGAGTTTTGAGCTATCGGAACTGCCGAGCCAAGGTCATGTCGAGGTAGCGTGGACGACGCCGACACCGCGAGATCTGAATCCAACGCAACCCTAACAGCTCCGCAACAGCGCCTGAGCACGCTTAGCATTGCTTTTATCGAGCTAGGAAAGGCGGGTTGAGAACGTTAGACTACAGTCACGTTCGAATGGTCGCCGGACAACACGCACCAGCAAATTAGCACTCATGAAAGTACTGCTATACATGTGGTTCACGCCATTCTCATCCAACACCCTTGAGAATCGGTTCACCAGGCCATGCTTGTCGAGCCCGTATTTCCTCAAGTCGATCTGGAGGCATTTCATGAGAGACGACGCCTCCGGCGATGCCTGCTCGTCCTCGTCCTCTGCATCCTCAAACGACGGGGGAACAGGATGATCGGCTACGTCCAGCTCTCCGCTGCAGATGACCATGTGCCGTTCAGGAGCTGGGAACAGCTGCGCAAGGACGCTAACGTCTGTCGTGAGAGACGACGACTCCTGCGTCCGAGTGAACGAGAAGAATGGAATCGGAGCTGTACTGTCAAAGGGAGATTTAGACGACCTCGGCTTGCGAGGAGAGGCTGCCGGAGGGAGCGAGGAGACGGGGATATGAGGAGTCGAAGTAGGATCCGCGGGTGCAGTTTCAATATGTTCCGTCTCCAACTCGGCCTTGACATCCCCATCGTCGAGTTCGATTGGACTGGCTATGCACTCTTCCTCCTCAGACGTAGGGGACATGGAAGACGCCAACGACGACTCAGATACAGAGTGGTTCCTATTCCTGGTCCCGAAATAAGGCTCGTCGTCCTCATCTTCGTCAGATGACGAGCTGTCTGCGGGAGAGGATGTTGGCGAGGGCGATTCAGAGTCCTGCAAACGACCGTGGAGCTTCAGCGCGCGCTTCGCCTCCTCGGAGACAGACTTCCGAGCGACGACGCCGGGTATCAGATCCGGGTACGCGACGAGCTTCACTATCTTGAGCGTCCACGTCTCTGCAGCATCGTCAGCTAAGCCGACACATGTTAAGTCTGGGTCCAGGATCTGCACGTCGGTCGCTGCAGGGGAGTGCGATGATGTGCGGCTGGCGGGAGGGGGTCGAGAGGGTACGGAAGTCGGCTCTGGGGAGAGAGGGTTCAGCGGCGAGAGCGAAGCAGCAGGTGAAATGGACGGGGAGGTGGACGGATGTCTGTCCCTGATCAGGGAGGCCATACTGCGCAGTGAGGCATCCGTGCTGCTTCTTGTCCTCGTGAGGACGGCACCGGTACCACTGCGGATCAAGTCACCCATTGGTCGATCCTCGTTGAAGTCGTCGGCTTCATCCCCGTCGTCATCGCGGCCCGTGGGGCTGACGATAGGGCTCATGCCATTGGTGAGGTTCTCGGTATCCTCGGTGTAGAGGTCAAAGCCTGAACCGCTCAGGAGGCGCATCACTGTTTTGATTCGGGACGACCGAACAAGGAGAAAGTCGGAGGTATAGGACGACTGATAAAGGATGGAGATTCCAGCGGACGCCAGGGGTCGCGAGAGCTCGTGTACCCGAGCACCTGAGTTGTCTGGGGTTGACCGTAGGTATAGTTTGACTCTGACTAGACCGAGACGGACGCACCAGAGTCAGAGTGAGAGTCGATCTGCAGGACACTCCATGGCTCCTCCGACACCTCGATGTCCTCCAGTGCCCTGGTCTTCCGTGACCTCCTCCTGACCGAGGAGAAGTCCGCGTTCATGCTCCAGTCCCCGAAAAGACTGAGCTCAATGTCATTACAAGTAACGTTGAGGTATATAGGGTTCGGCTTGAGCAGCTGCTTGACGACGGGGTGGGTATAGTCGGCGAGTCTCGAGCGGGGGATGTGTACGAGCGCGAGCTGGACGGGGAGGAGGGATATGGTGACCTGCATAGGGTCGTTCGGGGACATGACGGGAGAGGGAGGGAGGGCAGCCCGAAGGCGACGGGAGGGGGAATATGTACGAAAGGAAGAAAATGATAAATAAAAGAAAACTCAGGGGGACTTTGAAGGAAAACATCAATTCTGAACGCGATCGGCCACCCACAACAGGGTCCCATCAAGAAGCCGGCCCGACGCCCGGCGACGTCACTAGAGCGGTCTATTATGGACACTACAAATCCACCGTAGACCCCACTAGTCGCGACTATAGTGGGACTATAGAACCGTCTAGTCCCACTACAACGTTGTCAGCCCTTCACACCAATTCAATCACTTGTCTATGTCTCGTGTACCCCCTCGTTGTCTCTGCGTTTCCCTCGTTAACGGTACCCTACATCCTGCATTCTCCGTATCGTTCCCACTCTTCTTCCGCCGGATTTTACGTCTGTTCTCTCGGTTCCTCGCTCTGCCCTCCAAGGGAACCAGCATACGTATCGATGGTGACTTTCGTCGGCGGATCATTCCAATCGCGTCCATTTGAGCCCCTTTTGCGGTCTCCCGGCCGTCTTCTTGTCCTTTCGAGTCACCCACCAAGACTCCCATCATCAGACATTCCTCCTCCCGTGTTATCTCGATCTTTCCTATGGTCGCCTGCCGCAGTTATCTCTCCTTCGGCATTGGGGACCCCAGATACTTTATGTCCTAATAGCTACAAAGAGACTCGACGGACGGTTCTCTTGCTAAACCATGACCGCGTAACCCGATTTGTTGACGCAATCGAGTATACTTGGCCATGGTGTCTGACCCCTCCCTCTCCCTCGAGGGGGGAGATGGGTGAGGCAGGCCTGTGGCACTATGATCGCGGCAAGTACTAGTAAAGTCAGAGTGGTCTGGCCGTGGGCTGTCTGCGCATTCTGACTGACGATACGGTGACTCGGCTTGACTCAAATGGCATTATTGACGGGCTTCCTTGATTCCAGCAGCATGTGGATGACCATTGACGGTGAGCACGTTGGTGATGCACGTCGAGGACACGGTCCAGAACGCATGTATAATCGGCGCCCAAAGCCCATCTTTCTCCCCTACAGCCACGGCTTCAAGCTTCACTTGGGGATTCTCGGCGCTGCGCGGCACGCCAGGGAACGATTCCCCTGTGAGGTAGAAAGTAAATATGTCTATCACCCTCCAGGCTGTATTGTACTAGGCGCTGCGCGGCATGCACGACTAAATTCACTATTTGTATCATACATCGACTGCGATGTCCACTTGGTGCTCGTTCGCTGCCAGTCTCCGACTGGCAGCTCTCTCGCACCCCTTGTGTGGACCACAAAATGAACATTACAGCTAACAACAAAATGATAGATATTCCTCTGAATTTACAGGATGGAGTCTCGGTGACATAGAAGGTCCCTGTCAACACGAATATGATAGCGTGGACCGGTCTCCCAGTCCACATCCCCGGCCATGTCCGTGCTCCAACTTCCAAGCATGGCGTCCTACCGTATTTGGTGTCTTCTCTATCATCCGTACTCCATCCCAGAATTTCTGCGAGTCTATCGTTTTGTCGTTAGCTGTAACCAACCGGTCCCAAAAGTAGTGCTACTCAATTGCTTATAGATATGTCAAAATGTCATACTTTCACCCAGATCTGAATGTTCCATGGGCAGAAAATACAATACTTACATGGCTATACACATTTTACATTAGGAGCAGGCCGCCGCACGCGTCAGACATACCGATCGCCACATAGACAGGAAAAGAAATTGTGGCCGGGGGAGTCTCCCTTTGGAGAAATAGCCCCTGTTGATAGGTACCACCAGGCACGCCAGAGAGTGCTATCCACTGAAGATACTACCGATTCTTGGGGAATCGGAAAGCCGGTGGGTGGGAAAGGTGGGACTAACCGCACCAGGTCCATGACACCGTCGCGATCCCTGGGGTCCCACATGCGATCCTTTGCAAGAATTCATTTCGCATGTTAGACTCGTTCCGGTGCCACAACCAGATCATAATCACGCCTATCCTCGTTATTCTTGGTTCAGTGCTGCAATAGCGTACTGGAGATCACTAGTGGGACATGGCTCCCGTACGGGTTTACCTTCACCTTCCGGCTTCGTTTCCATCCTGCTAGAAGATCCAGAATTCAGAATCTTAGGAATGACGTGGAACTCCTCGGATGCTGCCTTTTCTTTCCCCACCTTGGTGCGAAAAGACAGCCCATCAACGCCACCCGAGTCGCGCTCCAGCTGACCCTTCAATCAGGGCTAATGCCATGCCTGCAACCGTGCAACAGCGTAAGTGGACGCTAGTCAATGATGCTACACCAGAAACACTCGCTCGATAAGGAACTCGCGGAAGCCGGCGGTATCGCCAACCGGAGGCATACCCAAGTCTTCTCCCTGTCGTTCTCCCCTTCTCCCTCCTCATATTGGGTTAGGCCAGGTTACGCCGATGATGCTCCTGGTATCTCAGTCTGCATCCTGGGCTTCCCTGTCCGCTGACGCTGGTCCGATGACTTCAGCTGCTTCTGCTACTACGCTAGGAAGGAAGCAACCACAAGCTCTCAGAGGCTCCTGGACATCGGCGTACCGCGAACGGTGGAACGTGCATACGGAACGCCACGCCGGCCGTATGGCGCAGACTGGGACTATGCAGGAATAGGAATCGTGGCGCCGGGAGGCTAACCTCGGCGGGTTCTGATCCCGTCTTTTTCAGCAGCTATCGAGCCGGGGGCTTTCGCTGGAGATCCAGATGGACAAGGCCCTGGTCTACGGGCCATATTTTCCCCAGCGGTATTTTTGTTCATAGCGCAGGCTCCGCTTATTTTGCGTAGTCGCCACGATCAGACATGGCTAATATCGGGTGCAATGGCGTCTAAGGTGCACTCGCGGATGGCACTAGCGGCCGTGGGCGCGCAGTCTATCATCCTTGTTAGTACCGAACCATCACTGATGCAGTGAGAGGCTAGGAGGCGAAGCCTCAACTCAGGTAGAAGCACCCCCAGTCCACTACGCGATAAGGCGAGCGTTCTACGAAATCCCTTTAACCATTATCGGAGCATCATGTCCTAGCATGGTATCTTCATGTCCTTGTCCTTTCCTTTCCTCTGAGAAACGTCCGCGGAGGAGTTCTACGCGCACGGTGAGGCAATCCTACTTACGCCCTTCTTGCAACCACTCTGGCTAGATTCATGTATCAGCTGCCTATAAGGTCAAGGTTCGTACGCTACATCAGCATGATACTCCTCGGCTTGACTTGAATTAAACCTAGTAATCGCCAGGCAGGAGACGTAATGGCGAACGCGGCTGCTGGATTTGCGGTCTGATTGCCTTTCCAGCAGGCTGTCGCGCCATCCTGCCGTTGGCCATCATCCTCTGAACCTCCTCGCGACAACGACTGATGTTCGATGCTCGACTCCTAAAGGTGAATACGATCGTGATATGACGCACTCCGAGCGGGTGAAGACCCTCCCAAGGCTAACGTAACCCCTCATTCCAATGCGATGACTGACGTTAACCATGACTCGGATGCACAGGGCGACTTCTATCCTGTGCGGGAGCAACAAAAAACCAGCCGGTGCCAAGTAGGAGACGGAAACTACCGTCTATGTTCCTATCGACGTCTATGCCCGTCTGTTCCTAGCGAGCAGATATCTTACAGCTCGATGACCGTTATCAGCCTCTGTGACCGTTGACTGACCGAGACAGTGAATTAAATTAGGAACACCGGCAGTACGAGAGAGGTGCGTGATACATAAATTATCCTGGAGACTTATGATACTGATACAATACTGTGCGCAGCGTGACGATCGTAATGGTAGACTAATGGAATAATATGTTACAATGCGGAATGCGACCCCCACCTGAACCCCCGCCCGACTCCTCGACGCCCCCCTCCCCACTCGCAGACACCTTACTCGTCATCGTCAGAGTCGACTGGGACTATGCTCACTGTCACAGGATGCCTGTGCGTTCGTCGGCAGGTCCCCATATCCGCCTGCGGTGTTATCAGCGGAACTTTCCGCGTGCTGTTGCGGTTGCTCTTCCCCCCCTTCGACTCGACGCGTATCCAACGATCCTCGTCTCGTTTGTGTGGCACATTGTCCCGCGAAGAGAGCCGCCCAGCATCTGGGGTAGTCAGAAGAGTGCGATCTTGGGTCGGTTTCGAAGGTGGGATGCTGAGGTAAGACGGCGCGGGAGAGGGGGATTGTGCGCGGGTAACAATGATTTGTGGGACGTTTATGCGGCCACCAAACGTTCGGGTGTCTGAACGACTAGCGGCGCGGATGGTGGGTGTAGCATAGGTAGGTGGTGTACTTCTCTGAGCCTTGCGCGGTATCGGGACGTTGTAGCGAGAGGGCCCCGCCAAAGGCTGATCGGACTCCTCATATACGTTCTCGGGTATGCACTCCAACCCCCTCCTCATGCTGGGACTGTAGTATGGGCGTCGAGATGGAGACATGTGGTACGTCTGAGGGGGAGGTCGTACAGGTGAGCAATCTGACGGCGAGCACAATGCCACGGACAACGCGCAGCGTACATTTAAACGGTGTAGTGTACGGGCCTTATATTGCAACTGCCTTGCGATAGCGCAGAATAGGATGGCGGGGTGTGGCGCCATCTGGGTTCGGACGCGTGCATAATATAGTACGTACGATCGGGATGCTACGGGTGACTCGAAAAGGGCCCGTGTCTTCCAAGTGCGAAACTTACTCTTGTCCGAGTCACCGCCCCGCCACGTTCGGCCCTTTGTATGGGGGATTGTTCCAGTGCGTACCTCAGCGGTCAGCATTGATCGGGAGATGTAGTCTGTTTATACGACGTCCGATGATCAAGAACATACACTGGCCGGGCTGTGTTCTGTTCTAGTCTCACTACTGGAGGGCCGTCGACGAATATCGGAGTTATGATCGGAGGTCAGCGGGCTTATCGCCCCTAAGCCCTCTGCATTCGTGCTGCTCGGCGGCTTGGAATCCAGGAAAGCAGGCCCAAGTCCGCGTCTTGTCTCGTCCCACCCCTTGGCCCCATCATGTTTATGATTAATCCATGATATCATGATCATCCCCCACCGCCGCATCCACAACTTTGAGCGGGACAACTTTGGATGATGAGCAAGAAAGGTACTGGATGCACGCGATGCTGTGTCATCCTGGACCAACAGGAGGGTGCAGCCACAACGGGACCTGTCAAAACTGTCGATATCCCGCTGTATTCGAGCCATCCCAGTCAGCCATCAGTATGACATATATAGCCTCGGAGGTATACCGTAGCACACGATTGGAGGGTTGGCACGTCCCGCGACGGTGACCCTTTGACACGCTCACTCATCATGGATCAAGCCCTGGCGCACGATGAGTGAGCGTGCTATAAGGATTCCCGGTCCGGCGACGCAGCGTTTTATTATGTCCAGAGTCAACCTTGCATTGGCAACGGGAACGGCGAGGAGCAGCGGTCTGGAGTGCGCAGAACGTCCCGAAGCCAAGTCTGAGGTCAGAAAAGCAAACTTCGCAGCTATGCAGACGGCAAGGATGGACGCTGGCGTCTCCTTTTACGTGTAGCAGCATTTAGCGTTCGTTTTGACTGGCCCATGACCTATCCTTATGAGCTCTCGGCAGATAGGACGGGGAAGGTCGAGAACAATCAAAGCAATGGGCTAGGCAGCAATCGTCGGGCAGGTTGCGACTCCTCTCAAGAGCAACTTGAAGGTTTCGGCAGCGACTACATATCTTCGGCATGTACGAGTACCAATGAATACGTTTGCCTGGAGGGATCTTAGTGACAACCAGCACCGAGCGGGAAGCGCGGCATCTTGCGAACGTCGAGGTAGGTGAGTGTGCAAACCATCGACGGCAACCATAAAAGTCACGATCAGGAATCTGCAATTCGCTCCGGAATGTGGCTTTCAGACTAGTAGCCGTGTTCAGTGCCGTGTCCTCCACTAGGCGCGAAAAGTCGCATTTTACCGATACCCAAACGAATGTAATCCACAAGCACGCAGACGTACAACGACACTTTGCACTCACAGCCCCCTCTTCTCCCCCTTCCCCTCCTCCGGCCTCCGGCCGCTCACCTTCACGAACCCGCTCATCGCCCAATCCGCGCCCGTCACCCACTTGCAAAACGCCCACCCAAAGCTCGGCAGCGTCTCCCGCGCCACCCCGACAAAGTTGACGTACCACGGCAGGCAGAGCGTGACGCTGTGCTGCTCGTCGAGCGCGCGGATGACGGCCTTGGCGACGTCGACGGGGTGCAGCGAGGGGAAGAGGAAGTGGTAGAGGAAGGGCAGGCGCGCGAGCGGGGATTGCGGCGGCGGGAGGCGCGTGGTGGAGAAGAGCGGGGTGTGGGTGTGTCCCAGGAGGAGGAGGGTGGTGCGCACGGAGGGCGCGGCGTAGTGGGTGTCGAGCTCGGCGCGGAGGGAGGCGTGGAGGGTCTGCAGCGCGGCTTTGGAGGCAGAGTAGTCGGCTTTGGAGGGGGCGGGGTTAATGTTTATAGTTATGATTAGAGGGAGGAGAGGGGGACGTACACATTTGGGCGCAGCCGACTTGGGACATGACGGAGGAGACGGTGACGACGTGCCCTTTCTTTTGCTTGATCATTTCCGGGAGGAAGGCCTTGAGCGTCCAGAAGTGGGCGAGGACGTTGGTGTCGAAGGTTCTAAGAGCACAGGGAATAATATAGCGAGAATCTTTCAGGGGCACTGCGACTTTACTCACTGCTTGATATCCTCCGGACTGAGATCAAGGATGAGTTTGCCCTGGACAACGCCTGCGTTGTTGATGAGGATGGTCGGGTGGCCCAGCTTGTGCACTCGGTCGTCAGGCTTAGCGTTCTGGAACTCGTCGAGGGCAACGCACCTCTTCGATAACTTTCTTCGATACGGCTTCCACCTCGTCCCATTTGGATACGTCGCATTTGTAGAAGGCGATGTTATCTGCGACGGTGTTGGCACGGGACAAATGCGCAGTCTAGGTTAGCAGCACGCACAGTTCTCGGTGACGATTGGCTTGACGTCGAGGACTACGACGGTGACGTTTCGCACAGCGAGCGTGTTGGCGATGAGCTCGCCGATACCGGATGCACCTGATACAATGGTAAGTCACAGACAACGGTGAGGCTTATAACGACCGTACCTCCAGTGATGACGACAAGCTGCTCACTCCAGTCGAGGGGCGCGGGGGCGAAGAACAGACTCGCGTTGTTGGCATACAGACGGGAGTACCATTTCACGAACCCTACGTTGTATTAGTGAAACTGACCTGATGCAGTTGCGGAGTACATACAGAATAGCGCTACTGCGAGACAGTAGGCTGTCGAGGAAACGATGATGGTGCCAGAGGGGCTGTATCCCAAGGACCAGTAGAAGATGGGGATGAATGTGAGGAAGAAGGGACCTGCAGGCGCATGTGTCAGCGCGGACGCATGCATTGCATACGCTAGCGAGCCATACCGAAGAGGGTGTGCGAAAGCACTTTGACGACGAGGTCGATGTTGAGCGTGTCCCAGACCGGCGACGGCTCCGACGGCGGCTGGCGCGAGGCTTCCATGTTGGATGAGGTGCAAGGGTTCGAAACGAGGGCCGGCCTCGAGGATACGTGTCAGAGATTGTGAACAGTGCGAAACTAGTCTCAGACAAGCATGCATCCCGCCTCTTGCCATATCGGGCAGGCGTCGGGTTTGCCGCATCTGCCGCCGGCAACAGCCGCGGGATTCTCGCAGCTCCACTCCGCCAACAGCTTCATATCAACTTTGCTTCCAGCCTCGCTGCACAGGGCCACACATCAGACTGGACGAGCTAATACAGATGATATATATGCGACAATCTGCCGCAACTGTCAGCACGCGAAATGGGGCACAGTCTCATGGATCGCTCTGCTTGCTGCCGTCTCACGGCAGGCCGCATTCGACGACGACGTTTGTCTGACAGTTTCTGGCGTCGGCCGCCTGCATCGGTGAGCGCCAACTTGAACGAGGATGCCAGGCTGCCGAAAGCAGAAGCCGGAATGCCATTCTGAGCGAAAGAAGACGCGGTAGTGACATACCGCCAGTTCCCTTGCCTTCCGCTTTCTCTCGCCCCCCTGCGGATCTCGAATCCGGCGCACTGCGCGCTGCATTCGTCTGCCGCCACCCTCGCCGATCGGCACTTACAACAACGTTCGAACTCGCCCGTCCTTTGCGCTTGCCTCTCCCTTTCATCTCCTGCCCAATGTCCCTCCAAGACGACGTCGACGCCAGCCACAGTCCTCTGCGCCCGTCCAGCTCGTGCAGCAGCATCTGCACGCTCGTGCCCGATGACGAGAGCCTGTCAGATGTAGACGCTGAGGTCGAGGCCTCCGGAAGGGGCGATAAGCCGGAGTCGGTCCGTCCATTCTCTCGCCTTTCTTGGACTTCATTCCCGCTCAACGCGTTCCTTAGGCCCTTTCCAAAGACAGTGTTTCATCAACCGGAGCAACAAACGACGAGGTGAGCGTCATTGTTGCCGGGTCTTATTCTCGGGGGCAAAGACTCAGTCTCGTCATTGTTCCAGCCTCTTGACCGGGAAGCAGCGCGCAGAGATGCGCTGGATTTTCTAGCGTCTAGGCACATCTGCCTCCCTACAACCTACGCGGAAGCCACAAATGTTCGTCGCTTTGTTTTCGTGTCAGGCATGTACTGATGTATGGGTGTATGCTATCAGTTAGCGGCCTATTTTCCGCAGCATGCCTCTGCCATCTTGTCTCTACCGATCCGCTCCCCGAGGCCCTCGAAATCGCGCACGCCGTCCTCGAACGAGACCGGCGTCGCTCGGCCCGTAAAGAGGACGGATTCAATCCCCCGAACACATCCGTCTGTAGGTCGCGACGCCGGTCAGGTCTCAAGATCTGCGTCTGCGCATTCATCCGATAAGCCCAATTGGGCGCTGGCGCCAGACGAGCCCGAGAACTCTCAGTCGAAGAGTCCGACTCGTGGCCGTGCTGTATCGCGCAAGGACGATAAACCCAACGCACTGGTGAGAGGTCGCGGACGGGAAGAACGTCGCAGCAAGGATGCACGCATTCCCTCCATGCCCGCCCCGCTTTCTAGGACACCCGAGCGCGGACTCTCGATGAAGCCGGAGCCGATCTTACCCTTGCAGGTGACCAAGTGGCTGCAGTCCCTGCCTATGGAGCAGGACAATTTCAGCATTGAAAACGCTGCGTCGTCCACCCTCGATTGCGTGGAGCCAGTGGTGCAAGTTCGTGTCCGCGTTCCTACAGAGGAACTCATACTTTCTGCCCCTGCATTCGCTAAAATTACGACCAAATCTATCCATGGTGGACTTCAGCTAGCAAGTGCCGGCCCGGCTTCGAAGGCTCTCCCCCAGCAAAGTCTCGAAGCGCACCCTCATCAACAGGGGTCCCAATCTGGCCATGACGTCTGTCCGGGGAAGGCACCAGGCGCTCATTATCCTGCGGCATCTGATGCTGCCGTATCCCAGCGACACCACGGTCACCACCACCCCGAATCGCAGCGCAGTCAAGTAGAAACTCAGCGAGTCAAAACTGCTTCCGCCTCAGCTCGCACCAGCAGCTCGTCCTCCCATCGACCCTCGTCTCTTATCCTCAACCCACAGGTTCATTTTCACCCGCATACAGGGGCCTTTGGCAATACCACGCGTCGCGATCCACTACCCCCCTTGTTTTCCGCCCCCTCGCTGGCGTCTTCTCTGTGCGGGCCGTCGCCCGAGTCGCCTACGACACCGACGAAGCCGCTGACAATGAGCTCGATGTCGCGCTCGGATATGAGGTGCGATCTGCCGGAGCTGATGCGGCGGATGATGGCTGACGAGGAGGGTGCGCCGGTGCCGCCCCCGCCGAAGGGGAGGGGCACTGCGAGTGCGCGGGCGTCTGACCAGGGGAGTGGGTGGGTGAGTCGAGAGATTGTGTTTGGGGAGGGGAGGTCGCCGAGGAGTCCCGTTGGGCGTGCGCGGGAGGAGAGAGGGAGCTATGGGACTTGCTCGAGGCCAACGAGTGAGCAGGGGCGCGGTCGTCCTGCTGCTCAGGCGGGAGGGGCGAGTCCCCTTGGACGGCATCAAGTGGTGCCTGAGGATTACTTTGATCCTAGGTTCGCTGTGCCTCACCCCGAGCAGGGCGCAAGGCGGGTGCACCATGGGCAGGCGGGGTCGAAGCAGCAATCTCCTGCACCCGCTATCAGGTATCGCGTTCCGCTGCGTCGCGACTCGTCGCCTGCTACTCAACAGCTGTATATGCATCATCCTCCGTCTCCGCTTCATAGTCAGATCCCTCGGCCCCGTCAGCCTGCCGGCAGTCCCTCGAACGGACCGCAGCTGCTCCCCAACAATACCGCATATAACCACGATCTCAATCGCCATCTGTATTCACCTTCACGCCCATCTCCAGCCGCATCTTCCGTCCATAGTCCTATCTACACAACGAATCAGCGATCGCATTCGAGTCCATCGTCGACACCACCTCCGCAAGTAAAGGACGAAAATATCAGACGCAATGCATATAACCAGATACCCCAGGCACAATCGCATTATCATACCCAAAGTCATCAATCCTATACCCAGAAGGAGCGCCACCGCGCGCCGGGCAACCAGCTGAGCCTGGACGAGATCATGAACTTGCTGCCCCACGAGGGCCTGACGCACCCGGTGCTGTACGAGTATGTGAAGGCGCAGGTGGAGGCGGGGCTCGACCCGCCGCCGTGGTTCGACCCGAAGGTGTGCGCGGGGATCCGCGCGAGGGAGGCGCAGGCGCAAGATAAGCTTGCAGAAGCAGGAGAGAAGCCTGCCCACGGTGACGGGGAGAAGGTCAGCAAGGATGTCGGCCTCGCCCAGTTTTTGCCGGATGGACCGCCGCGCGACGGGGTGTTCGTCCAGGCGAAGGAGGATGGGTGGATGTCCTTCGGGCATGGCAGGCAGCAGGTGCCTGCTACCTGAAGCTCGCGATCGACCCTCCCCTGATCGGCACGCCGTGGTTCTCCGCGTATAGAAGGCGTGCATAGCTGTGTTTTTCCCGTTTCCTTCTGATCGTCACGACACCCCATGGCTCTTCCTCCAGCATGGATCGTTACAGTCTCCAGTCCATATCATATAAGCAAGGCAATCGTACAGTATTCGCACACGTTAGTATCTTGTAGCTCAGCATTCTGATATGTCGCATGATAGATTTGTAGTATATCTTTTACACCTCTGTACTTTTACTGTGGATCTCCTTCATGAAGTGGCCATCGTGGTTGGCGGGATATCGGTCCAACTTCACCAGAACCATGGTGGCAGCAACAGCAGGATATCATGAAATCTATGAGTATATTGTGACTGCCACGGACGATGTGAATGACATGATGTGGTCACAGCGACAGAGGAGAAAGTCTGTTAACCCCCAGCGGCGTTGTCAACGTCCAGATATTATAACCGGCCCTCGCACGTACAACGTGTATGAAGGAAGAACAGAGCACGAAAACAATGCGGTATGGACAAAGGTGGCCTAGTGTTACATGAAGGGAATGATCTGCAGTCCACGCTGGATTACAGGGAATAGCTTAATGTATTAAGTTAATGCATGGAAGAGTCGTCGAAGGTGTTGGGTATTATGCAGGGTGGATGGCGGGATGCATCCATCAAGGACAGGGCTTGCTGCGCTACCTTCGTGATTCCATCTTTATGATGATGGATCCCTGATGGAAAGCGCAGACGGGGTGTTGATCGGGAATAGGGAGCAAGCGCCGGGAAGGGGGGCAGCATCGAGATGTGAAGCGTGTGGTGGTCGAGAAGCACCGCCAGAAGGGATAATGCAGATGTCTAAGTCATATCAAAGTCGTGGATGACCGCCGCGGAGTGGCGGAGGATGAGTAGAGGAGCAGTCGAGTCGCGATCCGTCAGTTCGAATGCCCATGCCGTATGTTGCATCCCGACAGTCGAGAGCCGGGTTTTGGTCATACATTTGTACAGCGTAGCCAAGGCGCGCAGGAGAAGGTGAGGATGGTGAGGGAAATGCAAGTCTATGTCGAGCGTCGAGGCAGGAGTGTATCGGAACTTATCAGCATTCGCCCAACCAGGAGTTCTTCGGCCACGGTTGGCCAAAGTCGCCTCTCCAGGTCGTCAAGTTCGGGTTTGCGTACGCAGGCAGGTACCTAACATCCAACTTGGTCACTTCCCAATTCACCAAAAGATCAACGAAACTACGCACTCGTTGATATACTTCTGTGTCGGGAAATCCTTCGGGTCACATCCGATGTTGATCGAATCTTTTCTCTGGTAAACACGAATATAATCAACACGCATATGCACCGGGAACGGCAGATGCTCTAGATCGACATCCCCGAAGTTGGTTGACATGCCAAGGTTCATGATGATATACTACAAATTGGACACGTTAGCAACTTTACAGCGTGCATACACCCATAAATGTTGACTGACCATGGGCTCTTGCGGCACTGGTCGAGCAGAGATTTCCGTGGCCGCGTCCGGCCCCAAACCCGCGACGTTCAGAGTCCACGATATCTTGTTGTCCGATATCCAAGTGATATACTGCCACATAAATCCATCAGTACCTGACTCTAGAGCCTGACGGGATATCACTCACAGCGTCATCGAACCCTGGCTTGTACTACACCGACGCAAAAAAGTCATCAGGCATCACCATCACATCACATCATCGGATAGAACGCGCCACCGACCTCAAACCCGTATATCGAATAACACCCCTGCTCATACTCATAGCACACCTGGTTGGTCGCCGTAACGACAGACGTCGCCTGCTGCGTCGCACTGCCAATGAACGAATTCTGCTGGCTGATCGACGGGTCCACGATAACCTCGTTCTCGGACGTATTCGCCCAGATGTACCCCGCATTGAAAGGCTAGAAATACAGTACGAGTGAGTGTGAGTGATTATAGACCATGAAAGCCTAAGCACTCACCGCCCACTGTGCGGATTGCGAAACCTGCGCAACCAACGGCGTCCCGGTGATCTGCGCCTCGAAGACATCAATCTCCGGCGCCGCCCGTCCCACAAATGTCCCATCCGAGTGCTTCGGCCCTGGATGGCTCTCCCCTGGACACGTACACCGCGAAAGCCTCTGGCCGGGTAGGTACGACAGAACGCCACCCTTTCCCTGGTCCCCATTAATCGTGGCGGCAACCGGTTGTCCGTTGATGGACTGGTTGGCTACCGTGCCGACGTCACAGGCATCGTAGGTGTATGGCCACTATACAGCGACGAAGCATGAACGGGACGTACTCGCGATATTCACGCATATAGACACGCACCAGGCCTTCGAGACTCGCACCATACCCCGCTCTTCCCAGATTGCCCATCGTCCAAATGGCAGGCCACAGACCGACAACATTGTTTACACCCGGAAGCTCAACGTTCGTCTCGATGTATCCCCCCGTGAAACAAAATTTGTTCCACGTCGACATCATCCCTACATCCTGAAATTAGCAAAGCGCATATACCCACTTGCCAACTCGGTCACTCACCTCCCTGGTAGTTTAAATTATGGCTCGCCTTCCGCTCCAGCGTAATAACAAGACTACCATCCTGCGTCGTTATCTGATCCGGACTGTACCACTCAATATTGTTCGTCTCCCAGTAGTGCAGGTCGACGGCCTCCCAGTACGGGTCGTCGCCAGGCCAGAACGTCCGTCCATCGACGTTGAACTCGTCACTGAAGACGAGCTGCAGCTCGCTCCCGTCCGCCCATGACGTCTTCGTGTAGGCCTCTTTGGGTGTCTCGGCGTCAATGATCCCGTAGTCGCCTGGCAGACTTGGGATCTGAATCCGGCACTTAGACAAGGGAAGAGAAGAGGGACGTTGGATGGCTTACCTGCCCACTGGCGTTTATGCCGCCGATGTTGAACGCACCGAAGTTGGACAGTGTGCTCTTCGTCACATACATCGCTATTGGGAACCCAGCACTACGATCCTATCAGTATCTGTCCCGGCTGCGAAGAATCATCCGAATGCTACTTACAACAGCCCCAGAACCCCGATAATAAGCACAACCAGGCATCCGAGATTCGCGACACCTCTCGACGAGAGATAGTGCCGGTCCGTCTCCGGCTTCGGTTTCACAACCTTCTTGCCGTCCTGGGTCGCATAAGGCAGCGTCGGTGCGTGCAGCTCGTCATCTTCCTCCGCTAGGTCGCCGAGCGTAACCCACTCGCGCGGGTCCTGTGATAGTGTGAACTGGGAAGGAAGACGGTGGTAGGTTAGTCTCTCCAGTGAAGAAGGATAAATATCATCATGATTGAGAGAGGAAAACGAGCGTGGAGAATGCATGATAGTGAGGAAAGGATAGGATGGTGCTCAAGACAATGGAGCACTTGCTGGCAAAGGAATGCAAAAGATATGGTTCTCTGAGGGATCAGCATGGGGTTGTGTCCCAAGGAGAATCAGTTGCCCAAAACCCGACAGCGGTCCGTCCGGATCCATTTGGCGGACCCCACTGTCCGGAGATCGTTTGAAGGACGGAATTAATTATGGCCGCCCTTGGCCGCCTCGTAAGTACGCAGAGCAGATGGTGCCCCCCACCATCAACCGGGAGCACGAACATGGAGACGAGTGCGACACCATCAAAACGCCGCACGTCACCGTGACTACGGCTATTCGGACATCATCCAACGTCGGACATCAACTTTAGGCGCAGCTGCGAAGGCCCTCTTTTCCTGCCGCGAGCGTACGGTCTGACGTGGAGGCCTGAATATGAGCTCACCTTGTCGGCAATTGACGTGACTCTTGAGCCAGTGCTAGCAAAGGAATATCGCGAGTCTGTCTGTGCGATGCAGCATTACAGTCAGCCAGGCTCCACTGACAGCAAAGCAGGCAAGCGTACATAGAAGGAACTCTGGTTTCTAGGTATCCTGGGGACGGCCATCAGCGCGGTGGTGCTCCTTGGACTGGTAGAATCGCTGCCATAGCCAGACTTTTCTACAAGGTGAATGACAGAGGACGCAGAGGACGCGGCTTCGCCACCACTGTTGCGGTCGGGGAAGGGGACAGACATGGCCGCGGACGTCGTCGACGACGGTGACGGGGAGGAGGAAGGGCAATCAGCAAAGAAGGCAGGCTACCAGCTGGCCCAGGGCAGCACATTATTGCGGCGGATTCCCAAGAATAAATCGCGAATTCGCGCATCCCTTCTCATTCCCACGTCACGTGGAGTGATGTCAGTTTTAGGTTTCGAGTGCGTTTCGCGACAGTTCTGTCACTTGCTTCACTGTTATCGGTGACGTCGGGAATTCTCCTTTTGTTGCCTGGCTTTCCCAGCTATTTCGTGATAAATCACGTTTAGTTATATGGGATCACCACGCATTTCCTTGTAACGATGTTTGCATATGTGACCTTGCCATACACCAAAGCCTACGCGATCGCTGCATCCTAGGACCCCTGAAAATACCGATAGATGCCGGTGCAGGACTTGATTTTGTCATGTCCGGACTTTTTTTGGCGCCCCCCCGCCTTTATGTCCGGATAAAATACCGGCATCGGCCAAGGTCGGATCCATGTCCGGACTATTGCCCCGGCCTCTAGGAAACAGCAAAAATCACCCGTTGTAGTCCACAAGTCATTCTAGACACTAGATACTAGGGTGTATGTATGAAAACCTGAAACGTGCATAGTCTGAGGTAGAAAGTTCAATAGATAACGGAAGAGCCTTCGGGCTTGAGATCTCCAGCATGCAAAGAAAAGACGTGGCAGGCAAATGAGTGATTCGGCAGGCATTGTGCATTGCCAGGGTCTGAGAGACAGCGCGAAATACCCGCCCGTTCATGGCTTCGTAGCCCTGGACGGCGAGATACGATACCGCCGCGATATTGG